ACAAGGTGGGAAGGGGCTGGGGGGGCAGGGGGAGGAAGATCCTCTGCAGGTGAACTTACCTTCCACAGTTGCAGTGACAAACTCGGTCTTCCCCTCTCAGATGTGGTAAGATGTAATTGTGAAATCTGTCCAACAACGCATTCATGTCCATCAAGCAAGCTATTGCCTGTAAGAGCCCACAACCAAGGCATCTGGTCAACTCTGGATGATGGAATAAAACATTGACTCTAGTTTGATTGCCAAAGACTGAAGCAGTCATAAAGAAAATAATCTTTGGTGTTTACCGGGGCACACACACATGCACACACACGCACACACACACGGAGGTGCTCAGGCTGAGGGACGGTGCGGGGGGTGGGGGGGAAGGAAGGGGAAGGGAGGGGGGGAGGATGATGGAGGGGAGGGAGATAAGCAAAATCTCTTACCATAACGATAGAGGCGCCCAGGATCATGAAAATCATGGTGTTTGCATTCATGGACATCAATAGGGGATGGCCAGCGGTCGGGTCCGTGCGCCCCAAGCCCGCGGAGGGCGAGCGGCGGCCGCGCTATTCCGCAGAGCCGAGCGCGGGGCGCATCGCGCTCGCTGCCCGCACGCTGCGGTGCGGCGGGGGGCGGCGGGGCGGCGGGGCGCCCCCCGCGCACACACACGCACTCCCCCGTGCCGGGGATGCCTCGGGCTCCCGCGCCCCTGCCCCCTTTTTTTTAATTTTTATTTTTCTAGGACGAACGTGACAGGTAAAAAAGAAATAAAAAAAAAAAAAAAAATAAATAGTAATAAAAAAAAAAAAATTGGTGCTCCCCCCGTTCGTTGGCCCCGGGCTCTCCCCCGGCCGCGGCCGCCGCGGCGGGTGCGCGGTTCCGGGAGCGGGCACCCGCCGCCACAAGCACAGCCTTCATGCAGCAACTGGGAAGCGAGGCAGCCAAACCCGGGGTGCGGGGGGGGGGAGAGGCTGGAGGAGGAGGAGGAGGCAGGCTGCAAAAAAATCACCCACTCCGGGGGAGCCTCATTGCATCCTCTCCCCCGACCCTCCCCAAAATCATCCCCGCTCCGGAGCGCTGCGAAATGGAATTGAAAATAAAATATACCCCCAAACCCCAAAATCAGCGCGCCCACCCGCCCCAAAAATAAGCCCCCGCAAACCCTCCCGGCTCGGGGCTGCGTGTCCCCGCCGCTCGCTCCGCGCCGGCAGCCCCCGGCCCAGCCCCTCCCGGGCGCGGGTGGCTCCGCACCGCCGGCCGGCCCCGCACGGGGGGGAGGGATGCGGGATGCAGGGGAGGGATGCGGGATGCAGCGGGGAGATGCGCCCAGGCAGCGCCGGCCGCCCCCTCCCCACCCCGGGCATTTACCTACGTGGGGAGGCGCTGCTCCGGGAGCGGCTCATGGCGAGCGGCGGCGGCAGCTCTGCGGGCCGGCCCTGCGGGGCTCCCCCCGCCCCGCAGCCGCACGCGGAGCCCCGGCAGCGGCGCTTGGCCGCGTTTCGAGTCCCACACGCCATCCTCACCCCGCCCTTCCTCCGCCCGGGGTCGGCCCCGGCCCCTCTCGCCTCCCGGGGGGGTGGATGCGGGACCGGCCGCATCCCGCGCCGGGGCCCCGCCGAGACCCCTCGCCCGCCCGGGGGTCCGGGCACGGCCCGTGCGGTGGGTGCGAGCCCCGGGCTCCGCCGCGCACACGCCTTCCCTCGGCACCTCCCTCCGCCCGCTGCTGCCCGCACGGAGAGCGGCCCTTTGGGGGGGGGTCCCGGCCCCGCGCCCCCCGCCCCGGGGAAAGCGCCCAAAAGGGCACCCGAGGAAGGCTGGGGGTGCCCTGCCCTGCCCCGAGCACACTGAGCACATCCCACCTCCCTGGAGGAAAGCTGGGATGGTGCAGACACAGGAGACCCCCCTCGCTTTTGGGACACGAATACCAACAACTTTGTCCCGTCTGTCAACCCCCAGATGGAAGGGCCAAGGAAGAGGTTGTGCTTCGGGTTCTCCACGGCTTTATTTCACCGCGGTGTTGGTCAGTCCAGCTCAGGCCACGTATAGGAGCTTCTGGGGAAATTAAAAGAAAATAAGTGGCCAGCCAGTAACTTTTTGCTTGTTTGGTTGTTGCTCCTTTTCCTGTGAAGCAGGATGAAGGGAAGCGATTCCGGCCACCACGTGGGAAATGCGTGGTAGCACAGGGCTTGATGGCTGGAGTGCCCTGCAGTGCCTTCACCTCCCCGTCCTCACAGCCCTCCTCAAGGTGAGCTTCACCTTGCTACAGCCCAGGTATTTAATTTTTTTAGGCTTCTCAGGGCCGTCAAAGCAGAGTTTGCTGGTGCTGGGTTTTGCATTTTTGCATATTTGTTTTCCTCCTGCTCCTCAGGCCACAATCAGCCTTCTTATGTAATGACTTGTGTTATATAAACTCCATTCTTCAAGGAACAGTCATTAACCTACTACTGGGTATTGAAAATACCAAAATACTGTCACACAATTAAAACCACTAAATGGTGTCCTCAAATTAGAGCACAGATTGCATTGCAGATGATTTTTTTTTTTGATTTTTAATTTAAACCACACACATGAAACGTTTGACAAGCCAGGCACTTCATGCCTAGGAAGGCATCTCTTGCCACACTCTGCCCAACTCCTGAGAGTTCTCTCCTCAAGAACCCTCTGCCCTCAGCTACTTCCACTTCTTACTGAGCTCAGAAGTGGATTCTACCATTGATTTGCAGAGCTCAGAAGGACTAATGTGAAGAGAATGCAGCTGGTTACTCTGCTGGTTGCAGAAAAAAGAAGCATTTTTGAAGTAACAGCCAAATAAAATCACAGGAGAGAGCAGAGAACTTGAAGACAAGTCCCAAGGAATTGTGTGGAAGTGAAGTTTTGCCTGGCTACCAGTCCATGTCCCTCATCTCCGAGCCATCCCCACGAATTAGGCATTTTAAAGCCACCTCTCCTGGCCTTAGGGGAGCTGAGAGAATATCCCAGATATTTTTCCCACTTCCTTTAAACCAAAGTTTCTCTTGAAATCTTTTGACACAGAAAATAGCTTCGACCCTGTGTTTAGCCACAGTTTTATACCTATACATGTATACTTCGTGTATGTCAAACAAGACTAGGACACCATAAAATTCCTGTACAAACTGAGCTTCTAAAATCAGAGGATTTCAACGCAAATGAAGCGTGTGGAGACAAAGTAACTACATAAATGCATAAATTTTTCAAGTTAAATGAGAAGTAACGTGTCAGAGTATGAAGAGCTTTAGCTGAAGAACAAGTTATGCTCATAGAAAGCTGAAATACTGACTGTGGATCATTCAGAATACTGATTTCTCCTTCCAGATCATCCATCCATCTTTCTGCACTCTGGTAAATAAACAAGTGACAAATGACCAGCTCCCAGTGCTGCTTTGCCTTATGAACAGGATGTTTAGGATGGAAAGAACTGTTCTGTAACATCCTGTAGACTCTATTATGGTTTTAGGCTTCTTAGTTAAGAGATGCAGTGAATTTCTAATTATTCCATACTTAGCACTACAGCAGCCAGAATTCTCTGCCAGCCACACACACGAGAAGTGCAACCTTTCTGTAATAAAGAGGACTCTGCTGTGAATCTCCATATACACACAAAACTTGGGTTAAAACATCCTGTGTGGGTTTTTCCTGCCTTCCTGTGAAATAACAACAAAGAGCTCTGTTTAGGACGAATTAAGTTGAAAGCAAAAACATTTTTCAAGCACTCCCCAGGTTTCACCTTGCCAAGAGCAGAACTCAGCGCTGGTACCGCATGGGGAAGGAAAACTCTGCTCAAAATGCTCAGCACTGTGCCTGCTTGGAATGCCTTTTTAAAGAGATCAACTAAAGCAGTTCAGTCCTCACAGAACCATCTCCTTCCCTTGGCTGTAAATATCCCCATGGTAACAGAGATGGTATCAGACAGACAAACGAGGAGGAGCAGAGGAGGCCAAGGAAATCCATCAAACACAGAGTCTCCAGGAACAAAATGGGACAGGACAAGCCAATTGGAAAACACACACCCTGCAAACCTTATCACAGCTGCTGCTCCAGCTCCCCAGCCCCTATTTGTTCTGATCCAGTCGTTCTCCAAGACATTTTTAAGTATTTTTAACAGACAGGCAAAACAGCACAGGTAATTCAGGGATATTAAACACTCCCAGGACCCGAGGATGATGCACTGACCCACTTGGACACTGTCCAGGACACGGATTGAGCTGGCAGAGGTCTGAGTTTTACCACAAAGCAGTTGAAACCACAGCCAACCCCCAAGATCCCAGGAGCAGTGAGGTGTAAGGTTTCTTTGGGAGCCTGACTGAGACTTCGGGATTTGCAGCTGCCAAGAAGTTATTTTCCAACAGGGACTTGCAGTTCTCAGGTGTGGAACCCGAAATGCTGCTCCTTTAATACCTGTGTGTTCTCTGACAGAGGTTAAGCAGCATCACCTCATGATTTACTGCCACACAAAGTTGTCTGCACAGAGGGGTGACGCTGGTCTGAGCTGAAAGCACTTGCACCAAACCCCTGCATGTGCAAAACAGTTAACAAGGAAAATGAGGTAATTCCTGCAAGCTGCCAGAGGTCAGTGATGGAACGGGAGAAGGCAGGAGCACAAACCCCAGCCAGGAACACAAACCCCACTTGATGCTGCTTCACTCCCAGCATCATGTTTGTTGTCCTCAGCTACCCCAGAAGAGCCTCGTTTGCTCCAAATTGTTCACAGGTTCCTTTAAACAAAACAACTTTTAGGATCCTCTCTTGCCTGTAAGCAACAAGGCTCTACCAGTCAATGCTTCTATTCAAAACTACTTTGGTTAAAAAAAAACCACCCAAATCTAAATTATTTCTGTTGACAGTGGAGTTTGCCATTTCTCCCCATCTTCCTTATTCATTGGGCCCTGACTGCTACAGTTACAGCCTCTCAGTTTTATTCATCTCACACAGATACTTTGTGTTTTACCTCAGAAACAAGACACTTCCTCAGCTGCTACTTTGAAAACAGACAAACTTAGAGGTTTTTCATTTTTATTGGATGCTTCCAACTTTATAGCTAATAATATACAGATACTCAGTTATTTAATTGTTCCATTCACATCCTCAGCCATTCTGTCACGTTAAATTTAAAAAAAAAAAAAAAAAAAAAGAAAAAAACAAGCCAAAAAAAAAAGCACAACTGAAATAAAATAAATTTGTAAGCTGGAAAAATACATTATAAACTTATATTCAAGAAACATTCTCTTTATAATTAAAAACCTACTTGCAATAATTAAAGTAGGATTTAGAAAAGAACTTGAATTTAATTTTTAAATAGGTGGCCTTTGTGTATACTTTTCATCATTTCATATGTACAAGCCCAACCAGTACCTCTGCCTACCTGTGACAGAACACCTGAAACAAAAAGACACTGAAAAGGAGTTTTTAAACAAACAAACAAACAAACAAAAAAAGATCAATATTCATTTTCCAGGAAAATACAGTATAATCAGAAATTTAAACACATGCTTCCCTCATCTGTATTAAGGCCTAAGAGACAGATGTGCTTTAATAAAAGCAGACAGTATGAAGAAAAGTCCTTCCACTTTTCTCTTCGAATTCCTGTAACAGCTCATCTATTTCATTTTCCATGTCTTCTGTGTGCTGTATCTAGAAGAGAAAAAAGACTAAGCAACCACACTCCAAGGATATGATGCTGTTTAGAAAACTGTAACAATCCCAGGCTTTTGGCTCCCTGGGAAATCTAACCCAGCAGAGGCTGTGCCCGACAGTGCAGCCCTTGGGTGCTTTATTGACACTGCCAGCACTCCCAAATGCACAGATATTCTGCTTTATGTTTATCTGCAGATCCTTCCTTCCCCAACCCACCCAACTGGCACTTCACTAGCACTTTGTCGAGTAGGCAACATCCCTCCCCACCAGCTTAGAACCCTCCAGAATAGCTCCAGGCACACACTGAACAGATGGCTAAAATTTCAAGTCCTTGAACCCTCTTAGGCTTTTTGAATCTGGAAAGGATTTGAGACCAAAATAGACCACACGGGCTGGCGTTAAAAAAAAGAAAGGCTGTTGCCACCCTGGAATAGGTGAACTCCTCAACCTGGGCAGTGTAAAAGGACACAGGTCCTTGCTCTGCTCTCAGTTCCCTTGTCTGAGTGCAGCTCATTTCAGTCTTACACCAAGGGCTGGGGCACCAGTGTTTTGTTCCACATCACACACACAGCCCTGTGGTGCTATGAAACACACCTATAAAGGGATTATTTTCAAGAATATCGGGATTCAGAATGCAACTCTGACGTTTAAGTCCCACCTAATTCAAATTGTTTCACTTTGGAAACCACGAACCCGTGGTTAAGTTCATCTATTTGCCCAAGAGCTCTGAAAATAACCAGGGGAATCTGGGAACTTACAATCCTTGACACGGATTTTACTGACCCCACTTCTGCAATATGCAGCACCTCTCAGGAGCACTAAGCAAAGCCCAGCCCCCTGTGCAGTCCCAGGCACCCCCAGGCAATGAGCCCTCTCTACTTACACACTGGCAGAGCTCACAGATAAGGAAAGCACCCAGAGTGGCCTCCTCGTGGTTATCCTGAATGTCCACATTGATCACATGGACTGGCTGACACGTCTCCTGCTCTCTGGAATTTAAATCTATTTGAAAACAAAGCACACGTAACAGCAAAAGTCGGGGTGGAACTGTATCGTGTTTTACACACAAAGTATTAACAAGGCTTTTAAAAATGCACAGGCACTGTCACATCAGTCTTTCCCAAACCAGTTTTTAGAATATTTTTTTATTTAACATTGTCTTACACATTGTCCCTTTCATTTCAAAAACAAGAAATGGATTTTGGACACAGAATAATTCAGATTTGTGGAAGGGTCACGCCAGTTTATTTGCCCTGCTCAAGGAAGGTTACTGCTCACTTTACTCTTTAAAGACCACGATCAGGAGTCTCAAAAATCAAGAAGGATTTTGGGCTTCCTCACCTGGAGGGTTTTAATTGCTCCTTTTTTAAAAAAAAGCACTGTTCATCCAACACTCTGAATGTGACACTGCAAGGTGAACTCCTACAAGCCAAGCACTGACAGTCACATTAAAAAATCCTAGCTTTAATGTGTCCACTTATTAACAAGGGGTGGAGGGGGAAAAAAAACCTCCAATCTTTTCCTACTAGTGGGCCCTTGTACTATTGCTGTGCCTCTCTGACACCCTTCCTACTAGACATAAAAGTTCTCTCCCATCCTCATCCAGCACCTTCATTTTGGCAAACCCCTTGAGGCCTCCATGGGTTTCACACCCAGAGCCATTTGGGCCGATTGTGAAGGGCATTATTACCATGAAGGGAGAGAGATGCACAACTGGAAAACCCTCCCTTCCTCAGGAGACTCACCTAAAACATCAGAGGGAGAGCTCCTTTCTACGTGAGACACGCTGCACTTGCTGAAGGCCCCCTCAAGTGCCAGAGCTGCCCTCAGAACTTACTCACACATTTCAACCCTTCCCTTAAGCATTCAGAACACTGACTGCTCGCTTTGCAGGGGCCCAAATGTGCCCTGCACTGCCTGTGACGTGACCACTGAGGATGGAAAAGCCAAGGTGACAGCCCTCTAAGTTGTGTGTATGATACTAATTGAGCTGGCTGGTCTTTCAGTGTGAAAGGAACCCCTTAAATCCTGTATCCAGCATTTCCAGAGGCAGACAAGGTTTCTCAGCCCAGGAACTGAGTCACTGCTGAGAGCCCAAGGTTTTGGGTGAGTTCACATGGAGCCTGTGCACTGAGATCATGTGGCACCCAACCCCCAGCACACATGCCTCTGGCACATCTCACTTTGACTCATTCAAGGCAAAGCCATGCCACGTTTGCACAGTGTTAACAACACTCAGGAACAGCTTCTCCACCTGTACAAGAGGCATTTAACGTGGATAAACTGCTCAGTAGGTCACAGGAAGCCTTCTGCAGGGAAGGGAAGTTGCATAAGGAAGAGATCTTAAGGCTTTGCTGCTCCATCAACCCAGGGTGGAAAAATGCTCATCTCATACAACTTGTTGGTTTTTGAGATCCATGGGCATTTCCAAACCAAACGTGTTACCTGAGTTTCTACAAATTTCCTTATGTCAGCCCTTAACATTGCTACACATACACTCTCCCTGTAGCTGCCAACATCTTTCAGAAACAAGTGCTCAGCCATCCCAGCTCTGGTACACAAAGTCTGCATCAATGACTGCAAGCTCTTGTCCCCACTCGTGTTCCAGCAGCAGTAGTTGGAGGAGACAGAGGTGGTTCCAGATTTGTGAAGGACTTCAGGGAGGAGGGGGGGGGGAAGCACCCAAAGTTAACTTGGTTTATCAGTTCAAGGTCCTTACCTTCTACTACTTGATCATAGACTCTTTCTTCACACGTTAGGATCAAATCAAAAACATCTTTGCAGTTCTGGAATCTCTCTGGTCGTGGCTTGATTCTCTTATTTCTGTCCAACATGTGTAAAATCCCATTCTGTGTGTATCTGAAGTCGCTTGAGTTAAGTACCTTCACTTTAAGACAAGTCACGTTTTTGAGCAAATGACCAGTACAAGTTAAATTATTACAGTATCTTTAAAATAAGATTCTTTCTGTTTGCAAATATAAAGTTCAATGACCATTAAAGAGACTCCCAAGACGACAGTGTGACCCCCATCAGGGTAATTCATGCAGAGACCTGCCACTGTCACCAGTGCAATGGCAGGACAGCTTTAGGAGGCCCTCAGAAGAACTCAGAAGGACAACTTTTCTTGGGCAACTATTTTTATATCCATAATGTTTAGAACACACAGCCTGCTCTGTTTGCATAAGCAGAATGTCCTACATTCACTCCAGGGGCCTCCCTCTTCAAAGGCAATTCCAGGGTGTTTGTGGTGTCACCTGCACAAAGCCCCACCTGGGCCTTGGGTTTATGCAACTGAACTCCCAAAGAAAGTCAAGGAAATAACAGAAGCACATCCCTTAAAAATATCCCAAGACACATTCCCATTTAGGGAATAAGAAAAACACTGACTTTATGCCTGTCAGAGCCTCATCACCGTGTGAAAGGAATCTGTTATGCTGCCTGGGAGCTATATTTGTGCTGCTACTGTAACCTCGAGGCTTAACATCCTGCATCCCCCTTTCAGGCAGGATTCACCAATCCCACTGTCTCCTGAGCCTTCTGGGACACACAGTTCCATCAGGAGCACTCCAGGGCTGACTGTCACACGAATCTACTCGCTTGAGTAAAACCAAACTCCCTCTGAAGGCCAAGCTTTATGGGCAAATCAGGAATGCCAGGAAAGGTTTGAATGGAGAAAGCCTGGAGGCAGATGCACCTCTTCCTTACTTTGACACTGCTGTATTTTTAGCCATCTAAGTAGGTATTTTTACATTCAAACAGCAGCCTATAATTTCTTGAGGTAACAGGATTCTGAGAAAAAAAAAATCATTAGTAGCAGTATGTGAGGGGTCATCTTGGCTTATTTCCCTGCTGAAAAGGTCACATACATGTATTTCTTTTCAGAGAACAGTCCTAATATTTTTGTAACAAAAGACCAACAACTTTCTGCCTACCTTTTTGCAGTTGCCCTCTGGTAGCCCAAGTTCTACTCCCCCTTGGTAGCCAGATGTGCACCATGTGCTCCAAGGTGTTCTCGAACAGTCTTCAAGCAAAAAGCCTCCAAAGCTTTTAAATCTTTCAAGTGTTTAAGCTCTATCAAGAACTAAACCCATCTTTCTACCTATTAGATCTACTTTATGTTGAAAATATACTTGGTTCTTTTGTGTCTGCACCACTGCACTTCAACTACTTCAGAATTCTGCACCACAAATGGAATGATAAGCTATTTATCACAAATATATGTAGTAAATTCTCTCTCTCAGTCAACTGACTTGGACCACATTTCTTTTCTCCAGGTCGCTCCCAAGCCTTTTACCACTCTTCTTTCCCAAAAGATTTCTCCTTATATTATTAAAGAATTGTCCTTCATAGCCCAAAGGTCTCTCACAAGCAGCTCCTGCACACCAGCACCCACTTCTTCCTCTCAGCACCTCTGTAAACTCTCCTTGGGTTTGTCATGCTTGGAAAAAAAACAAACCAAACACTTTGATGAAGCCATTTCAGACCTCTGGTTATTTCTAGAGCATTTTGAAAATGACTGCATTTTCAAAATACCATTTTCAAAATACCTGTCAACACCTGGCTGTGCTGCTTTGTTCTGTTGGAAGGGGAGCCCTTTCTGGGCTCCGTAGTCCTCGTTTCTACATCATGCAGTTCAAGGGGGAAAAAAAAAATCCACAACATCCCACACACTTTTTTGGGTTCTCTTTTTTCCCTTTCTAGGATAAAATGTTGCTGGCATCTGTCCCCTAGCTTTCCTGACTGAGCCTGGAGACAGAATTACGCATATTCCAAAAACCCACACAAGCTTTCTGCCTCACAGCCGAGCTTTCTGCTGCCAACTTACAGCTATTTTTTTTTTCTCCTCCAAGGGTCCATCTGCCTATAAAAGGAGACTGAAATAAGCAGTTAAAGATTCATGACACTTTCATATTTGGTTGCCTGAAATCTTTTTCACCTGGCAGAAAGGAGCACAGCACCCCCTGAGCAGGCAGGGGGATGTGCTCTGCACGACTGCCCCCAATGCATGATCACAACCCAGCTTCTTCCTCTCTGTGAGCTCAGGTGAATGCAGATCCTACAACTCAGTAATGGTTTTCACTACACTGCCAGATGTGGAATCATTGAAGTCAGGCTCTGCTTTCCTTCCAGCAGATTTTAACCCCATGCTCCCTATCCCGTGCATCTCTGCTCTTTCTCTTCAGCAGCCACTTCTTCAGCAGATCCTCCCAAGATTTCCCCCTGCCTTTCCCTGCTGTCACACCTTCCCTGCCATGCTCACACTCAACAGAACATGCCTGCATTTCTCTAAGAGGCCTTCACCTCCTGCAAACAATGGCATAGTAAATCCATCACATTTTTACAGGGAGTCCAGTTCAGATTTCACCTTTATTGCAGTGACTGTGCTAAACAGATCCACAGTGATGGATCTGATGATCCCTGTGTGACGGCTCAGCAATGGAAAGGTTTGATGTAAAAAGGAGATGGTGCAATACAAGTTGGGTTTTTGCAATAGATACACCAGTGTTGCTCATTCTTATATGGACATGGCCATACCCACCTATTTCTATTGTTTCTGACTGTGCATCCTCTCCTTTTAGCTAAGGACACCCCATAATAATCCAGTGATGAAGATATACACGTATTTAAAAAAAGGAGTTACGTGTGTGTTTGGATGAACCCCCTAAAGCTTTCACAGCTTCTGCCACCCAAATTTAAAATTCCTGTCCTACTGTCTTAGACACCAGAAATGCCTTTTACCAAACATCCCTCACCCCTCCAACCACTTCATCAGTAATTTGTGTCACTGACAGGGTGAACACTTTTAGCCATGAGCAAAAAGTCTCTAATCCTGTATGATAACAGAAAAGTGATCTTACTGATCCAAGTATTCAGTAACTTTCATTTTAACTCCCACGTGAAGCTGAAGCTCCCAAGTGATCTGAGCTGAAAAGTTTTGGGGTATATAAATTAATTACATAGTCATCTAAAATCCCCATCCCTGGAAGTGTTCAAGGCCAGGTTGGATGGGGCTTGGAGCAACCTGGGATAGTGGGAGGTGTCCCTGCCTATGGAGAGAGGTTGGAAGGAGATGATCTTTAAGGTCCCTTCCAACCCAGGCCATTCTGTAAAAATACACTAGAGGCCACTTCATTAAACATAACTGGGCAAAGAACATTTGCTAAAATGTATACATACTTTTTAGTGTGTGTGTGGGGGGGAATCTTTAAATTAATGGTTGGCACCCAAAGTTTCTACATCTTCAAACAAATCTGACATGCTGATTATTCCCTGTGGTGCAGGTGCCACCATATTCATTGCTGTTCTTTGGGAAAACCAGCAGCAGAACAGAATGCTTCTCACACCTCCATGTGCAGGTCTCTTTTCTACACCATCTAAATTTATTTATTACTACCTGCATTACAAACAACTCACATTGTGTTAAACCCTGCTTGGCAATTTGTCTAAGAAGTAGATATTTCCTTAAAGGACGTGGGGGGGGGGGTGAGGCTGCCCAACCTTCTTCCACCTTCAGCATCAGCTCCTTTTACAGGGAATGAAAGCCTGAAAATGGGCCTGGGCACTACAAATCTACTTTCCAAGCTCGGTGATTACAGCTGCAAGAACTGCCTTCACTCCACAGCCAGAGCACAAACTGCCTTTCACTTGAACCGAAATTGGGTTGGGTTTAGCACAAACCAGTTTGGTCACAAGTCTTTCATGGTACTCTAAAGTCTAAACACTGAACCATTCTATGATTCTACTGGATTCAAAATGAAAAGAGAGTAGGTTTAGATGGATATTGGAGAGAAATTGTTCCCTGTGAGGGTGGGGAGGCCCTATTGCAGGTTGCCCAGAGAAGCTGTGGCTGCCCCATCCCTGAAGTGTCCAAGGCCAGGTTGGAGCAACCTGGGACAGTGGAAGGTGTCCCTGCCCATGGGAAGGGGTGGAAATGGATGATCTTGAAGGTCCCTTCCAACCCAAACCATTCTGTGATTCTTTGATTCTAAAACAGGCCATTCCAAACCATAACAAACATACTAAGCTGGGTTAAGTAACATTTCTGGTAACATCTGTGCCTGCATTAATGACCTGCAAAGAACTGAACTTGTTTTTCCTCGTGAAGGACAACTACCTGGGATTTTTAGGCTACAAACTGCACCGAGAAGTCCAGCTGAGCCTGCACAAAGCAGCTGGTCCAAATATAACCACATGCCAGCCCTGCTCACTCCCTCAAGCCTGGCTGAGCCCCAAAGCTGAGGGTACCTACCCAAACATCAGCAGAAGCAGGAAACATCTTGAGTTTAAGCCCAGAGCTCAAATGCCAGTGACTTGTTGGTGCTGAACAGCTGAAACAGTATTTGGGGATGAAACTGGAGAGAAACAAGTTGTCAAAGGGGAAAAGAAATGGAGCAATGGGAAAACCAAAGACCTGGAGAAGGGACGGCACAGATATACTGAAGGGACTAAAGGAAGATAAGGATACCAGAGACAGACCACAAGATGACTTTGAAGATGTGTGGCATGTCTGCCCATGTCATCCAACAGCTGCACTTCAGCCAAGTGTGAATTTCAAGAGGAGTTTGGATTGCTGGAATGTCCAGTGTTTGATCACTTGGCTCAAACTACTGCCAAGTTCAGTAAGTGACAGGGACATGTAAAAAGGAATACAACAGTCACTGTCAGGACCAGTGGGCAAGAAAGCTCAGAAGTGTCACCCATGACTTTTAGATGCTCTTCTCAGGTTTGGAAACCACTGCCAGGTTCCAGAGGATGAGCAGCAAATGTTGTAGGACTGGGCTGAGGGGGAAGAAGAGCTCTGAGGAAGCTGTGAGGAGAGAGAGAGGTTTGTGAGAGAGAAAGTCACCCCATTTAACATCTCAGGGAAGCAGGGGCTGCAACAGCCCTTCTCAAATTGCCTTCTGCTGCTCTCACTGCTTTGTGCTGTGAAACTCAAAGGTAATTTTCAGCTACCTGGAGTTAGAGCTGGAGAGGGAACCTCAGATAAAGCAAACCCCAAGCATTACAAACCCTAAATCAATTAAGCCGTTTCATTTAAGGCATCTGGGAAACCTGAGAACACAATCACAAAGACAGCAGGGCCACTGTGGAACAGCAGCACGCAGGGGAAGCAACACGCTGGATGAGTCTGCAGGAAACAGTCCTCAGTGCAACACTGACTTGCAATTAATGCCAGTTCAAGAAATTACAGTCACTACCATGAAAATGGATTTGGAATTATTGTAAGGAAAAGAAGGTATAAGCATCCCTTATGCTGGCACAGAAGTTTTGTGTTAACGGGAGGTAAAGTCTTCAACGCTCCTCTCCTTCAAGTCGGGATGAAACTGCCAAACCTGGGCCAATAAATGAAATCATTCCAATTCTAAATGGATTTTACAAGAGTCCTCAGCCTCAGATAGGATCCTGCAGTCAGAATTCCTTAGAACATCTGTTCAGGACTCACCTTGGCTAAGGAAATAAACCTTCCAAAGACTAGCTGGCAGACTGACAGGATGGCAGAGATGTTTTAGATGCTGAAAAGTATTTAATATTAGATTGGAGTCTGCAGTTTCTACCGTGTCCCTAAGTTCAAACACAGGGGAAATAACATTTAAATAATATATTTCTGGTTTATATATTTTTAATAATTTTATATCTTTCCTTTTAAATGTAAATGAAGCCAAGATTAAAGGCATTCTGACCAGAAGTCAGACTAAAAAGTACTGAAAAATGCTGCGTTTGAAAGGTCTGGGACTTTGTGAAGTGTGTTGGTCTTATGATCCTTCATGGAGAAAAAGGGATTGGAAATCAGCTATGGCTGGAAGCATATTGATTCACACAAATGTGCCTCTTAGAAGCCTGTTCAAATCCAGTTTAAACACTGCTTCTGTTTCTAGGAGCACTGAAGTACTTTGAAAGGCATGTTAAGGAAGAAAATGAGACTTGTACTGCACTGCCTTTGGAAGAATTTTGCCACTGACAGGTAGGCCATGACTTCAACTATTTTTAGCTCTTGGAAGGTCAGGCTTCAAAAAAAAACAGAGAAGAAAAAAACCAAGCCCAACCTAAAAAAAAAAAAAAAAACACCAAAACCCAACCCTAAACATATCTAAAATAAACCATCCCAGAGTGGTCTCCAGACACAGAAGCTACCCTGCTGACCACTGCAATGACAGCTCAGAACAGAAGCTGACAACTGCTTATCAGCTCAAAATCCATGAGAAAAACTGATAAAATGTAAGATAAATACATGCATGAAGAGCTTACCTGAAGTAGAATTAAATAAGTTACTGCTCAAGACTGAGCTACAAGGCAATACCACACGGGCATCCAGCTTCAACATGGAGTTCACAGAGAAGAACTAGATCCCAATCACCAAGATTATCACTACCTTTTTTTTTTTTTGACAGAAAAGAATCAGTATGTCTTCAAGTGAGATGTACCAAGCCAGTTTTTCTTCTTCACTTCTGAAATTTTCCTCCTAACAAGCACACCTTTAGGAATGTCTTGAGGACACCTTTTCCACCCTCCCCTCAATTTTATATCCTCATGTAACTATGGAGCTAAAACCGGAATCCTATCTACAGTTACAGAGCAGGTCACATTAAAAGAGGAGGTAAAACACAGGGAAGAGAACAAGAGACCAGGTTTGCAGATTAGATGTAGGCTGCCTAGAAATCCTAATTAAAAATGCCCACCTATCTAAGGAAATCATTAGGCATCTTTAATGTGAGGGTCACAGATACACCAGTGTTGAGAAAAGGAAAGGAACAATCAGTCAGGGAGTTAGTCAGCATTGATAAAGGACCCAGGAGCTACTGCTGCAAAATTTTGGTCAAATTTCCATTTGAACAGTTCCTATCCCTGGGCATAAAAGCACCTGCTGATGAAGATTTAAACTGGTGTTTAGCAAGTTTCATCCCTGACTAATTTTTGAGTTCACTTGAAGGCAGGGTTCACCAGTTTTGCTCTATTTTTGCTTCATCTTTAAAGTCACCACCATATAATTAGAACTGAGTCCTCAAACCCCCTCACACAGTTGTAAGGGGCAAGTAATCATGATCTTGGAAAGGTGGATCACGCATGCAAGTACAAGGTGGTGTATCTGTACTACACACACAGCCCCAGAGGTGCTGCCTGGCCATGTCTCCTCCAGATTAGCAGCAGAATCTTCCTCTACTGTTGTCCTAGAAATAATAGAGGAATATTTTAAAAAAGCAACCAAAAGCCACATTCAGAACAGCTTTAAATGGTTTTGTCACAGCCCTCTATTAGGGCTCAGGGAATTTAAATGCTATATTCTCCAAATGCAATGGGGGATGTGGGTACTTATTTTAACTATAAGTTTTAACTACCACATCTTAAAAGGCTTTGAAGTACTTCCATTTTAGACACACTGTAACCACCTACTCAACCAAATCTCTTATTCCTGTGCTTCTTAAATGCAACATATGCCTTCAAGGTATGTGAGCCTGTGCTCTATATTTCACTAATTAACTATAATGAAGGTGCTTTTAGTCTCTGTAGAGTGGGTTTTTAATAGTTGTCCCCCCTTTTCACAAGTGAACAGGAGAGGTTCAGTGGATCTTCTCTCTAACACAGTTTTAACACCTTGCTCTGAGGGAGGTCCAACACTGCAGCAGCTCTTTGCTGTTTGAAATCACTGCTTTCTGAAACTGGGGACATTTCTTTGGGCAGGGAATAAATGTTCCATGTCCCTTACAGCCACAATTTCACTGAGTATCTGGTGTGCAGAGTGCCTGGGATCCCTGCTGGCACGTGGGACTGGATGGAGATCACTCCCCAGTGAGGCAGAACTGGATGCTGAGCCCTCACACTGCCCGTGGCTCCTCGCTGCCATATGGGAATGTCCCCAGGACACACCATTTCAGAGCACAGGGGAAGGCTACAGTTGAGAGTCATGTCCACTGAGCTGATGAAAGCAAGGCTGGGGAACAGAACAAGCAGCTCAATCATATGGAAAAACAGCTCCTTTTGTTTCCCCACCCCAATCCAAGCCCAGGAGAAGAGCAGGCCCTCCCCCCACACAGGCCATGTCCCCATGCCCACCACCCCTAGGAATTAAGGCTCACCCAAAAGGACTGAGGTCCCTGGGACCCTGGTTCACAAAAAACCTATTCCACACCTCACTGATGAGAGTAGGTCTGCTTTTGGTTAAAGTCTTTACCCTCAAAACCCATTTCTGGGAATGGAGTTGATTTCTGTGCTGAGTCTTCAGTCTGAAAACCTCAAATTAGCCGAGAATCAAAAAAGCAAAGTCACAGAGGCAATTGCTCCTGCCCTATTTCCCTTGAAATGGCTGTTGTTTAAACCTGCTTTCCTTCATCCTGAGAAAAGGTTTAACTGTGACACTGCAGGTACATTTGGGGAACACAGCAACCGTGTCCAGCATGGAGCAGAACCACGATGGCAACTCCTAAACATGCTGAACGGGGGGGCTGGGCAGGTTTTCTGTTGTTTGGGGTTTTTTTTTTAAGTACTGCCGTACTCAGGACAGCAGCAATGAAGGATGCAAAAAGGAAATCACAAGTCGCTAGTGCTTGTTAAAATTAATTCTCAATTCAAGTTATTTTCTTTTGAAGCAGTTCTTTTAATCAAGATATGGATATGACATACCTCATTATGTTGGGTTTGCAAGATTTGCCTTTTTCTCTATAGGCGGAGGGATTAAAAAAAAAACACCAACAAATAAACCAGCACATCACATGTGATACAGTAAGACTATATCCTACATTTTGAATTCTTTTTAAAAAAAAGATCTTTGTTGAAAAAAAAAAAAAGAGTATCTAGAGTGAGTGCCTCAATTTTATAGGTTTGTGGGTTTTCCTAAAAAAAAAAAAATAAATCAACTTTAAATATAGATATTTTTAAATCATGCAGTTTGACATTAGTCATGGTTTTTAGCAGTGTGCCTAACCCTGATCACCTCTGCTCTCCAGGATTAAATATGTTATTGGGCTCTCCTATGTCCATTCTTTATAATAAACTATAGGGTTATTTTTTTCTTGGTGCACAGATCATGTACCACGAAATCCTCAGTGAGAAGGGTGAGCTCTTTAATGAAAGGTATCCTCTCTCCCAGAGAAAGTATCTGTAAACCTTACCTGGCAGTTTGTCTGAGCTAAATACAACATTAATGTCGAGGTGGTCGCTCTTCCCAGATCCATTATCAGGACAGTCTTTGCACTGAGAGCGTGTGATCCACAGTGCAGAGCAGGCAATGGATAATCTGTGAGTACTGATGTGCTTTCATTCAAGAGCTAAACATGTTAACACACTACAAAAGAGCATTTGGGATGTGTGCATTGTAACTCAGCAATTTACAAGGGAGCATTAGAGGCCCACTGTAAAAAAAAAAAAAACAAAAAACCTATAAACTGAAATCATTTTAAGTTCGCCAGTCAAGCAACTCTCTGTTCCTAATGCACAATGCCAAGTAATGAATTACACCTTTCAAGGATGAACCACACTGGATTTTTTAAAGAGGCCATGCCAACAGGGATACAGTTCTTTGTCTTTCCTAAGCAGATCATTGTACATCTGATCATATGTTGTTTTGAAGTCATAAACATTTGGCTTGTCCGGGGCAGGTCCTGGCAGTTTCACGTGAGTCCCTGTGCCAAAGGAGCGAACGCTGAATCCTCGTTTGCTGCAAGACAGAAGGGAAGGGGAGAGGGAGGGCAATTAGACTGGGTGATTTCCAACAGGAAAAGCGCTCAAGAACACAGTGAATTTTAAAAACACCTCTCAGCAATCAGCCAAATCACAAGCAAACAGTTCAGCAACCAAAGTGGCAATCTGTGTACAGATTTCCTTGCAGTTACAATCCAAACTCACACACCATTTCTAAAGGAGCACCTATATTTGATAGAGATTTTCTTACAATTATGGTACTCAGCTTTTTGGATGCTTCTTTTGTGCTTTCAGACATCCTGGATTTGCAAGAAAGCATGTGTCTTGTATTTCCTTCTCAACAATATACAGTAGAGGCAAAGATGTTTTTCTCTTCATTTAAGAAAGTAAGTAAAAGTACCAACTGATCAATACTTAAATGTTCTGCTAAAGTCTCTGGGATAACTACATTCCTCTCACTCTTGCCCAAACTACCTCTGGTGTAATTTAATTAGCCCAGGACAAACATTTGTGTGCCTGGTACTTTGCTCAAGTGCACTGCAAACCATCCAGTGTAATTACATTTACACAAGGGGGGAGATATTCTGCTGGCTGGTGCCTAAAACTACGGGGTAAATCAGGGGTTGCTCCATTCCATTCTTATGAACAACCACTTGTTTAATAGTTCTAATTAAAATAAAAAAAGGGAGGCAGGAACCTGCTTGTCTTTAGGGGTAATGTCAAAATGTTCTTTCTGATTAACTAAAATATTTGTACTTGAGCCTCAATACATTCTTCAGTAATATTAACAAACATGACAATACATTTGTTGAATAACAGGACCAAAACCAGACTGTTTTCTCCTGGTCTAATGGACAAAGTTACATGGTAAGATACTGTTGCTGTTGTCCATTAGTCCTGAAACATTTGGGTCTATAATGACAATGTAACTTCAAACAGGTCAAGACCATGACTTAATCTATTTTTTAAGGACTCCCACTTCCACCTTCAATGATTTTAGCAGAGACTGAATGGAGTGAACGATGTTAAAACAAAAAGCAGGCGAACAACCCAATGCCTGTGCCTTCCCACTCCCCAAAACCCAATTTGTAGAGTTTGCCCCTGAGAACAGTGAACAGGAGACTGGGGACCAGTGCAAGAGTCACTCCTTGGTCAGCAAGGAAATCCAGGAGAAGACACCAATACAAGTTGCCTGTTTGCCTTCAAATGGTGCCTTCAAAGTGATCCAAAAATGTTTCTGTGCACAGACTACTGTGACCAAGTTCTGCCCCAAGCTCAGACACTGCTCTGCAACTATCAACACTTATTTCCTCTCATTCCTCCTATAAGGACTCAGCCCCTCCTTTCTCTTTTCTTGCTTCCCTACTTTTTCCTCCAGCAACTATTTATAGGTCCCTATTTCTGTAAACAGACAGGATACATGATGATTTTTTGCTTCTTTCTGCAGGACTAATGACTGAAAACGGATGCAAGTGGAAAAAAAATGCAATTCTTTGCCCCTCCCAGCCCTCCATCACATGTAACTGGTGCAGTTATGAGTCACTGGTAATTTATTTTCCCTGCAATACTTCCAGACCCATGTTTTTATTCTGCTGCTTCTACTGGACACAAAGTGAGTCATAATAGGTATAGAAGAAAATGCAATGCTAAGGAAATAATTCAAGTTGATTTTTTTCTTCTATGGTTTCCTCCTAACTTTTTTTTTTTTCTTTTAATATTATTCTTTGAAAGAGGTCTGTTTGCATCACAGGCATCAAAATCCCCCGCTGGAAGTGTCCCTGAAGTTTGTGTGATCTCATATAAAACAAAACAGAAATCTTCATATGGCCTTCCACACATCAGAAATTTGTGCCTCCAAGGCCAGTGACCCATTCAAAATTACTTCCTTGAGTAGCTGGAATACGTGTTCCTCACGTGGAATTTCATGCTTTGTACCTTGGCAACTGGTAGTGTCAACTTTTACATTGTTTACACATCAGGTAAACTGCTACGAAATATTCCAGAAGTGTTTCAACACCTTTCTTGCAACAACTGGGGCACAGGGGAGGGAAGGATGCCTGCACAGAGCCTTTATTCACCAGCCTGCTTTTCTGAAACAGCTGGAGAGATCCAGTGTAGCGAGTCACCGAGTGTGTGTGCTCCTGTGGCACAGCCTTTTCAGGATGCACAACTCCTACAAGACAATGTGTATCCAGTATTTGTTCTTGGCCTGGTAAAACTACCCAGGAGATGGAAAATAATGAGCTTCAGCTTTGTCATGAACAGCAAAGGGTAAGGCAGACTAACAGACTATCCTAGCACTGATTTCTGGAAACGCGGAGCTTAAACATTAACAAAACTATAAATGGTGCCAAATTTCAGGAAGTTGTTTCTATTAATAGCAACGAGACTGACGTAGATAAACTACCAGTATATTAAGGACAAAGTGAGTCAGTGTACAGGTTCATTTTCTGCTCACCTCAGTCCAAGCCCAGAGCTCATGACAACGAGTTCACGTGCACTACTCATGTCCCTCCACAAACCCTCAGAGCTCCCTGCAAACACCCCCTGTCACAGGGACACAACTGCTGCTGAAAGCAACACAGACTGCACCAACACAGCACTCACACACCACAGGGCTGTACCACTCAGCTTCACTGACAGGAGAAATATTCATCTGTGCAGACTGAGATGGGAGCTTCTGTCCACACCTTTCTTCTGTTTCATTGTTGTTTCGAGATCTCACACGTTCTTATTAAGGTATTTTTTCAGCTTTCTGTACAGTCGTAACAGCACAGCTTCTCTTTACAGTGGCCAGTAGTGAGTATTACTAAACTTAAAGCAAATGCAATGAATCCTGCAGTGCTACTGCAGCTGGTAGTGGTGAGGATTTTCAGGGGACCAATCACTAATTTTAACACAACCCTTTCCACAACATGTAGCAGGAAAATAACTACCAACAGTGCCCTCCTTGTAGGCTGCTTAGAAAGCGTACTGTGCCATTCAATCAACCTAAAAAACCCACCCCCCAGACAACCCCACACTGTTAAAAGCAGGACAAAAGAGTTGGCAACTAAATTTTGAATACTACTAACTTGCTGTAATTTGCATTATCACTAACAAGATGTCAAATGAAGTGCTTTAATCTAAAAATCTGAGAACATTTCCTTCTTCTTGAGGGCTTATTAATACAGTTTAAGTAGGAAATATAAATGCCAATATCTCACTGCATTTAGCTGCTGACAGATGATGCCAGGAGACAAGCTGTGACTAACAAGTTACACAAACAGCACTGGTGTTCTCTCACAGGGTCAATATTGAACTACAAGTCTTACCATCAATATGAAATTTAAGTTTTAGCTACTGTGGTTTCGATATTTAAAACTCTCTACTGCCACTAAGACACTCCTAATTTCCCAAGACTTTGTTTCCCAAAACAAAGGAATATGTGGCTTAAGTGTGTATCAGCCTCCTACAGGTTTTCATTACCAGCAGAACAGAGACTCTGAACTCAGTAACTTCCTTTCAAGGCCATCAAGGTATTATCAAGCAAATACACACAAAGGGAAATGTGGCAGTTGCTACATAAAAACATTTGGTTACCAGAGAAGAGTTAACTCTTCTGCCTCCCTCCTCTGTGTTTGAGGGAGAACCACGGCCTGTCTGCGTGCTCTGTGGTAACAAAAGATAAAAGAAGGAAAATAAAAGTCAAAAAGACCTACAGAATGTGCTGGGTTTGGCTGGGTTAATTTTCTTCACAGTGGCTAGCGTGAGCTGTGTGTTGGGTTTGTGTTGGTAACAGAGGGATATGCTGTTATTGCTGAGCAGTGCTCACACAGCACCAAGGCCTGTTGTGCTTCTCACCCCACCCCAGCGGGCTGAGGGTGCACATCACGTGTGATAAATAATGCAGGATGAGTAAGATGTGACCCAGGGACTGGTTACACACACACCCAGTCTGACAAGGAAGAGCATGTCCTTCTGCACAGCCCTTATTGCTGTTCCTGTTTTCCCTTTGCTTCCACGTCCCAGCAAACCCCTGGGGTGATGGCTCTTACCCTACCAACAAACTTCACCCAGACCTCCAGTTTGACTTCTGCTGGAAAATTAGAACAAAGTGTTTAAACCTGGTTGATTGCAAAACACACAAGCACACACTGAAGGCTGAACCCCAGACTCTGTTTTCTGATAGTCACCTGCACTTCTGATAGAATTTATATCCTTTAAAGTCTTATAATCCACTAACAACATACTTTAAAGTTTCATAATTCCCCAGTTTCTTCCTCTTTTAATCATGTGTTCTTTCCAACTGCAGTGCAACGCACAGCAAGACACTGCCTGAACTGGTGAGGCAGGTGGGCTCTGAGCCAACACAGACGTTTTCCTGACATTTACTGGCAAGTCACCATCCTCATTCCATGGGGCAGCTATTTCCTCATCTTTATTTTGCTGTTTATACAACTGCTGCCGTAATTACATAAAATTAAACATTTTCCGAATAAACACGTTTTGTTACGTTTTAATTCAAATTTTAAGGGAGAACAGACTTTAAACAAAAAAAAAAAACAACAAACCCGAACGTTCCCCTGCCACATTTGCCAACCCTCGGTCACACCGGAAGTGATTTATTTCTTCTGCAAAAACGCGAGAGGAAGGAAAAGGCCTGACGCTGGAAGTAAATTTAACTTCGTCATTAGTACTCAGGTTGCAATTACAACTCAGTTTCAGCGTCATTAGCAGAAAATAACAGCATCATGTTTTCACGGGTAACATCTGATGCCAAGTTTAAGCCTTAAAAGCACAAAATGCTGCTCACAGTAAGATGGCTGCCAGAACCAGATGCTTCTGTTATTTATTCCTCCGAAGGCTATTGTTTTTATTTAAATGTAGCACACAACCTACAGATAGTTGTTCGGCTTCTTGTGCCAGCTACGTGTATTTCTAATGTGAATTTTTCTTTGCAGAACTTTAACAAAATAAACCCAACCACCTTCATCATGTTCCTGCAGTGCAAAGGGAAGGTTTAGGGACATGATTTCAGGCAGATCAGGTCTCCTCCTGTCCCGTCAGTCCATCCTCAGTCTCCCATCCCCCCTTTTGAATTCAGCCAAGCTGAAAACACCTAGAGTCCTAAACAGATTAACACTTTTAATCTCAAAGACATTTAACGTTCTGACCCAAACACTTGGCCTGGTTCTCCCGCAAGAGGAAAGGGCTCCCTTTCAGGGCATGGAGTGGTTCCAGTCTTCATAGGATGTTACAGGGTTGGGATGGGCCTTAAATATCGTTTTGTTCCACCCCCTGCCATGGGCAGGGACACTTTCCACTAGACCAGGTTGCTCAAGGCCTTGCCCAACCTGGCTTTGAACACTTCCAGCCACAACCTCTCTGGGCATCCCCTGCCAGTGCCCCACCACCCTTTCTACCGCAGTAAAAAAAAAAAAACAAAAAAAACAACCAAACTTCTTCCTAACATCTAACCTAGAAATTTCCCCTCTTTCAATTTGTACTCCTTGTCCCTATTAATACCCCAGCTCCTGATGGAGAGTCAGGCCCTCTCCGGCTTCCCCGTGGGCCCCCTTCAGATGCGTTAAAGTGAAAAAAAAAAAAAAAAAGTGCGGGAAAAAAAAAGGGGAAAAAAATTAAAAACAAACAAACGAACAAAAATAAAAATCTAAAATAAATAAATAAATAAAAATTTACGAGAGGGAGCCTTTAAGCTTTCAGACGTCGAGACACCGGGCCCCGTTTTGGGCCTGTCGAAGGGGCCCAGCCCGCCGTTTTCAACGCCGACTCCAGAGGGCTCATCAGGGAGGGCAGAAACAGCCGCCACCGCGCCGGGACCCCCGAGCCCGGCCCGGGGATGCGAACAGGACGGTGGCACCGAGCAGGGCCCGCCCTGACAGCGGAGCGGCCCAGGCGCGGCCCAGGCCAGGAAGGGAAGTATCCGGCCGGCAGCCTTTCCCCCGCTCCCGCTTACCTGAGGATGTTGTGCGCCTCCATGCTGCGGTTCTGGTTGCTGGAGCACACCACGGCCACGCGGAGCGGCGCGGAAGGCATGGCAGCAGCGGCGGCGGCGGGGACAGGCAGACGAGCGGCTGCTGCCCGCGGCTGCCGGCCGCGGCTCGCACAAAATGGCGGCGCAGCGCGGCGGGCGGGGACGGGACGTGTCAGCAGGGCCGGGCCGCGGGGCCCCGAGCGGGGGCGGGCGGCGGGGAGGCGGAGCGGCGGCCGCCGCTCCGCCTCCCCGTCGCCCGCCCCCGCTCGGGGCCCCGCGGCTGTGGGGATGTTGGGGGGACACTGCCAGGAATTAGAGGTCCCAATCCCTGGCAAGTTTTATATGCGGGTCTCCACCGTGTCCCTCAGGCGCGACGTGGAGGGACGGGGTAGTCCCTCCCCTGCTCTGCCGGCCTTGTGCGTGACGGTTTGGGGGGGGCAATAAAGAGTATTAAAAAAACAGTGTATATTAAAAAAAAAAAAAAAAGGCATTAAGCTGTTAGAGAGGGTGGCGGGGGGTTTTGAGGGGAAGCCCCGTGAGGGGAGGCTGAGGGCACTCGGGTTTGTTCGGCTTGGGGAAATGGAGGTTGAGGGGAGACCCCATCGCAGCCTGCGGCTTCTTGCTGAGGGGAAGTGGAAGGGGCAGGCACTGATCTCTCTGGCGATCCCAGGGAATGCCCTGACGTTGTGCCAGGGGAGGATCAGGTTGGATATCAGCAGAAAAGGTTCTTCCCTCACCGGGTCGTCAGGGTTTGGTCACGGCCCCAAGGCTGCCACAGCTCAAGGAGCGTTTGGACAACACCCTCAAGGGACAGGGTGGGATTGTTGGGATGTCGGGTTGGACTGATGTCCTTGTGGGTCATGAATTCCTCAGTCTTGCTGGCTCCTTGGGCTGTGAAATTAAAAACACCCACTTGCCAGAAAAAGCAGAGGGTTTGGATAGTTTTCTGTCTCGGCACTAGGTGGCAGCCAAATGTCAGCAGTGGGGCCGCTGGGCTGGGGACATGGAAAGATCCCGAGGGGAAGCGTTCGGATGGAGAATTGAGTCATCCCGAGGAAGAAAATTGGGTCCGACACCCTGGATAATCCCCCCGCCATGGCTGTGCCCAGAGCGCTCTGTGCTGAGGCATCTGAAGTGAACATAATACAGACACATGCTTGCTGTTACGATTAATCATGGAATTAGGAGTAAACGCTCGGGCTTTTTGCTGAAAACTGCACAAATAAGAGTGTCCAAAACCAGGGGTTATTTATGTACCCACTGCCTTGTAAAATGCACGGATTTCAGAATTGTTTTCACGTGGACAGGTCAAAATTATCGTGGTGCTCCCTGCTCAGCCCAGCCCAGCCCAATTCCATTTTTCCCTGAGGTTTACGTCGTCTTTTCCCCCTTCCACCTCACCCTGCTTTTCCACCTTGGTTTACTTTCACTGTTTCAACGGCAGAAGCAGGTAACAGGGAGCAAGAGAAATACAAGATAAATCAGGACATCAAAGGAACAAATCTATTCTCCAGCCCACCTGAACTTCACCAGCAAGGCAGGACTCTCTCTCCTCAGTGCTTTCTAAAAACATGTTCTGTCCTCCCATTGGTATTGTTTTCCTTTGTGCTTTCTGAGGAATTTTTTCTGCACTATCACCCCAGCACTTCCAGCAGAGCCTTTTCCCACCTTTCAGCACCTCCATCACCTGCTCCCACAACCCGCCGCTCTCCTCTCTCCTTGTTGCAAAAGCCTCGTCCTCCCTCAGCGCATCCATGCAAAACCCTTCATCTAGTATTTTCTGTTAAAAAAAACCCCTTTTGTCACTATTCTCTCGACTTTCCCAAAGAAATCCTTCCGTCTCCCCTCAACCGCTCCCTTCTCCTCAGATCTTCCCTCTCACACAGCTGTTCTGTCACCCAGCGTTTCCAGCCTAAACGTGTCCCCTCAGAGCTTCCTTCCTGCAAACCCCTCTTCCTCTGGGTGTCTGCTCAGCCATTCCTAATAACCCTGCCCACTGTTTTCTTCATTCTTTCTCTGCAAAGGCACCCTGGAAATCACCTGGTGGTTCTGGGATACCTGGTTAAGTGAATTATCGGAGATGTAGCAACCAGAGCTACGATAAAGCAACACCAGTCTCAGGGTGTGTTTGCTTAGCCTAAAACTGCCAAAGACCCCGTCCAAGCATCGCTGCTGTAATTCCAAGCCTTTAACAGGAATGTGACACTGTTATCTGCCACTTTTTCTACTTTCAGCCCACTCTTCCCAGCCTTTCTTTCAGAACGTCCTGGTGAAATACAGCAGCAGTTTGCTGTCTTGTAAGACTACAACTCCAGGTCTCCATGGAAGCAAAATACCAGCTTTCACTTGCACCTCCAAATAAAGCCGAGCAGCCTTTCCTTTTATGTACCACAAAAAATACCATAATGCAATTAAAAGAGATTCTTTGCCTGAGGCACAGACTGTTTCCTCCAGAAGATTCAAAGCTGGGGTCAGGCTGGGCTTTGAGCTGCTCACATTTAAACAGTAGCTTTCCTCACATTTAGCACAAGGCAAGGAAAAAAAAGGTTGTTAATGAGCATGTGATTCTCCGTTTTAACTCCTGTAGAAATGGGTATGGCCTGATATTTGTACTGGAAATTATTGGATAAATGCAAGATAGTGTAACACCTAAGAACGTACCACACGTATGGTACGTGTATGGTGTGTGGGAGGAAAAAACCCACACTTATCAGGGATCAGCAGATGTTTTGCTTGATGTCACATAAAATGAAGCAGGGAATACCCTGATTTTCCATACACCAAGATGTGTTCAATTAAAACTTAACCCGCTGAAAATGAATGAGAAACTGAGACATTGTTCTCCACATTCCCATTTATAATGCACGGAAAGGAAAAAAAAATTAAAAATAAGCCTTTAGAGAATTAGATATTTTCTTCTATCAGGATTTATATTCTTGTTCTACATATTTTGGTCTTGTCTACCCTCTGCCCAGCATGCTGTTGCATACCTTAATGTTGTCATAATTTTACAGTAGGCCACGGAATACCATCATGACCAGTGTTTGGGCAGATTTTCCCACTTTCAGTCAAACAAGATCTCGAACCATTAAATATTTATGAAGTCTTCATTTCTTTTCATTATTCTCTTAATTTATTAAGTTCAATGCCAAGGTGGTACAAGGCTCATTGTTCCTACAGTTTGATTTTCACATCTGGCAATTCGTGACGAGATGAAGAACAAAACAGTAACACTGGTTGACAGAAGCTGACAGAGATGTACAAAATCAGTGGCACTCTCATGGGCCTGTGCAGAACTGGCTACAGGAAAGGCTGACTTGAAACCTTCAAAGACCTTTGACCAAACTCCTAAAAACTGATCACCTTTTCTTTGCCAGGCTGCTAAAATCAAGTATACAGGCAAGGTAATAAACAGAGAACACTTAAACTGAGTCAGCTGCATGTGAGAAAGAAAACAAAGCAAGAATAACAAACAAATAAAAGGTATTTCTGCCTGATGAAATCCAGACCTTCAGTTTCTCAGCCACTCCCAAGTTATTGAAGGGATTATGATCAGTACAAATACTGTGTATTATTAAGGATTCCATATACTGTCTATACTTACCCTCTACTACCAAGTTGATACTTCACAAACTACTTTCACAAAGAAAAGCAAACAGGTCATTCACCAGTGCTAAACATTTACACAAACAGATCACACATGAACCTGACAGCAACACCCCTTTACAGAGGAGTCGTTCTCCTACTTTTTTTTGCTTTAGGTGCTCAGTTTCTAAGTGATATAAATTAATTCTGTGTTACAGCAGTTAACTACGTACGAACAACACGAACTAAAAACCAGCTCACTAAATAAATACCTGACGGTAACTATTTTGTGTATCTATAGTAAAGTTCAAGTAATGATCAGCCCAAGTTTGTTTTTTCTTAAGAAAACAAACAACCAAACAGACAAGACCAACAACCACCAGTTTCAGAGACAAGAACACGAGGGAGATACACTTGTCTATGAGGACTACAGGAACAGATATACCAATAAAATGGGACAAATTCTTAGCACTAAGGCACAATAGAATTAATACTAGAGTATGGCTAAAACCTTACTTACTACAGCATCGAGTGAGTAGTTAATGAGGAGTGTTCCTACGCTCAAAACGCTTGGCTACATTAGTGAGTTCTGTGTTCAAGAAGCGTCTACCTTAGTGTAGCTGCACACAGCATTGCTAAAAGAGGGGATTTCAGAGGGAGGGACGGTGCTCACCTACACTGTACTTATTTTATAATTAAGGATTGGGTCATACTTGCTCGACAAAATGGAGTTTTCAAACTCAATTTGTCCCCTTGCCATCGCTCTTTGTGGAACTACCAAGATGACAGTTCTAATGGGAGAAAAGCGGGTGTCAGATGTTGATGCTCGCTCGAGCTGACCAGAAACCCCCATTTTGCTTTGGACGGGCCCCAAAAATTTGTGACCGGCGTAAGGTGGGATACAAAACCCACTTAAGTCACGAGATTTAAGTGGGCCTTGGATCAAACACACACTTAGCTATGGGGTTGGTGGTTCCAGCGGTCTGTTCTCCTGAACCTCGAACAACTTTCGCCCACAGGAAAAAAATCTAGCACAGGTCTAAGAGCAGGAGGGTTTAGGCATAGGTTTAAAATAAGGGTTTTCTGGAGAGTCTTCTCAAACAGGCCCTTGTAAGATCTGCCGCTTGCCCTTAAAAACAGACAATTTCTGGCACTTGTGGACCTCTGCCATTGTTTTTTAATCCACTGAGATCCCATGAGTTCAGTAACCACGCACAGCTCTGGCTGAAAAGCCAGCCTAGGAGGAAGAAGAGCTCCAAGCACCGAGGGAAACCCAAATCCTCGAAGTTTAGGAGTGGCAAGCCCACGGCTGCGAGAACAGTCTGGAAAACCTCTTCCCTCTCCGGAACGCGCTGGAAGGACGGCGGCGGGCGTGGTGAACCCCTAATCCTGGAAGTTTGGGAACGGCCGCGAGAAGAGTCTGGAAAACCTCTTCCCTTCCCGGAAGGCGGGAGAACCGGGAGCCTCGGCGCAGCGGGACGGGGAGGGAGGGCTCGCAGCATCCCCCGTTACGCGCGGCGCGGAGCCGCGGCGGCGGCGCGGGCCAGCGCGGGGCTCATGAGGTTCTCGGTGATGTAGGCCACGAGCAGGCAGATGAAGACGAGCATCACGCAGATGGATCCCCCCACGGCCGTCATGGCCACGACGATGTCCCGCATGGCCGCGGGCTCCACGCGGAACTCCACGCACTGCGCGGGCGGCGCGGGGCGCGGCGGGGCGTAGCGCGGGCGCAGGCACAGGCGGTACCGCACGCTGCCGTGCGCCTCGGGCAGCAGGTAGTCGCGACATGCGGCGCCCAGCTCCACGCTGTCGCAGGGGAAGCGCGTGTAGGTGCCGTCCCAGGAGCAGTTGAGCGCGAAGCCGCGCAGGGCGGCGGCGGCGGGCGGGCGAGGCGGCCCCCAGTGCCGCAGCCCCCACTGCAGCAGCACGCTGCCGTTCCGCAGCACGTTGGCCACCAGCGCGCCGCCCGCGGAGCGGTGGGCGCGGCACCCGCGGGCCGCGCACTGGAAGCCGCGGGCCGGCGGGCGGAAGCACAGCCGCGCCCCCTCCGCGCCATCCGCGCCCACCTTGTAGGGGCACCACGGCTCGTCGGGCTCGGGGTCGCGCTCGGGGTCGCGCTCGGCCCCCCGCGCCCCCAGGCAGAGCAGGGCGAGCAGCGGCGGCAGCAGGCTGGGCATGCCGGGCATGCCGGCGGCCGCCGCATGGAGCCCGGGCCGCGGAGCGGGGCGGACGCGGCGCGTTATAAGCGCGGGCTCCCGCAGCCGCTGCGGGGCCGCCAATGGAGAGGCGGCGCCGCCGTTAACTCTCGCTGGGCTGCGGAGCACCCGCCGCGCCGCCTCTGACCGCCCGGGCGCGGGGCTGCGGGGCTGGACACCGCCCCCGGCACCGCTCCGGACCCCCGCGGGGCCGCAGCCCCCCGGCTCGGGGTGCCCCGAGGGATGAGACCCCCCGTAAGGGCCGGCGCGGGGGATGCTCGGCCGCCGCCCTCCCTCCCCCGGGCTCTGCGGGCTCGGCTGCGTCCCCGAGGGGCTGGGGAGCGCGGCTCCAAGCGCTGCTCAGTCCTGCCTTTTCCGAGTTGCAGATTTCGTTCCACATCAAAAAATATGTAGGTTTTGTTTGTTGGCTTCCTGGGGGGGGGGGGTTGCCTTTTGTGTGTGCGTGTGTTTTTATCAGGTTTTATATAGGATCCTCTTTCAGTTTTTATAGCAGAACATAAGCATTTGTCGATATCTAACTCTCAAAAATGCAATAATCATCACCGTTTCATGGCTGAACCCCCCCTGAAATGTGCCCGCGGATGGTCGGGAGGTGCCTCTGCCCCCCCGGGGCTCACACCAGGAGGGATGCAGATCCACGGCAGGGCTGTGGGAAGTGGCAGAGCTCCTCTCCAGCTGATGCAAAGCTTGCTCAAAGAAACGGAGGTTACACAGGCTTCTTTTTTTTTTTCTTTTTTTTTTAATGGTTATACCTTCTAATCCAGGCTGCTTTAACCTCTTGGCACTGGAAATTTAAATAAACTCGGCACGGATCTAGTACAGAAAGACACCTCAGGACATCAGCTGAGAGCAGTGATAACGCTCTGGGTCTTAGTGCACAATGGGAGAGCGAAGGAAAAAGGATACTCCTCTTCCTCCTGTCTTCTGCCAAATGCCATTTCCTCTCTCTGCAGCAGGACCAAACCCAATCCATCCCTTGGATCTGGAGCCAGCAAGCTGATTGTGCAGCACAGCAGGAGACAGCAGTGCTCCATCCCAGCATTACACCGTAATTAATGCTCTCAGAACGACCTTGAATGATGTACACGAGCGTATAGGCTTGTCTAAATATGGAAACCAAAGCATTCTAACGAAACACTGATAAAAAATACAGATTTAAGCAGTGTTGGAAGAGCCTTTCAACAGTTAAATTGGTAAAAGTTCCTTTAAGTCCTGTCTTTTCCAGGTTGCAGGGGAAAAAAAGTGGCATTTCTTTTTGTTTGTATCTTGATCAGGTTTTACATAGGGTCCTGTTCTAGACTGTATAGCAAAATGTAAGCATTTGTCTATATTTAACTTGTAAAACAGAATAATTATCATTTTGCTTGGTTAAAACTCTCAGAAATGTGCCTAAACACATTGCTGTAGCTCTTCACTGTGTTACCTGTTTGGAAACACGAGATCTGCAGATTAACTGTGTAAATTTTCTCTTGAAGTGTTTATTATCTTACATAAGTCGAAAATATAACAAAAACAATGTTCCAAAGCCTATTTTTATTTCACAGCCTAAACAAAAAAACCAGACCCCAATCACACACCTTGCACTTCATGGAAGGTGTTACTTTGCACAAGAAGTGTTATTTGTAGCAATGTGGAACTTGTTTAAATAGTTTCATTTTCTGATGCACTGAACAACAAGGTAACTCAAGGATCTGGACATCAGGACCCCCTTTCCTGTCAGAAAGACTGGCCTTTTAAAATATATAGTCCTTAATGAACTCTTTAATTTAACAATACCAAGTATTATAAGTTATTTCCACATCTAGTTTTTATTCAAATTTAATGGGGGTGCCTGCTAGCCTTTAAAAAGTTGTTAGAAATCTCTTTTAATACCAAGAGTTATCAATCAAAAAATAGGATCAGCACAGAAAAGGATGCTGATGTCGTAGTTATGGCTGCTCTCCTTGGAAAACACTGTTGTCAGAGCAATAGGAGGTGCTGTGCTGCTGAAGGCACTTCTTGGTGGCTGAGGCAAACTCACCTGTGGAATCCCAGCTGGATGCAAAACTGAAGATCTGAAAGCCCTTCCAGAGAAACGTGAGGGTGTTCAGGAAATGGCTGGAGCCAAACCAAGCAAGTTTTGCCTCCTTCAGCTTTGTGCCCTTCTCCCAACTACTACGGAGAGCAGATTGCACTCCAGAGCTGTTACCATTTCCATGACCAGGGAAGGCATCTGGCACCAGCCTCTGAGGGGGCTTATGAGGGTGCTTTGCAATTCACTTTGAGTTGTGGTGAGAGATCCAACAGTCTGGCATGTGGTACAGGGAAGGAAAATAGCTGGCACAGCAATGGAAACCCTGAACCCATCAAAAAATTTGTACCATCACTACAGGTTAACTACACCTTCTGCCCCGTGTCCTTCGGCCCTGCACTGTGCTCTGAGCATAAAACAATTATCTATGCAGGAGCCAAGCAAAGCCACATGCTTTGGCTTGGTCAGTCTGCCTGTGCTGGCTTCATATGAACCTTCTGTCTCATTGTTTGTTCTCTTAGTAACCCAGCTGTTTCCCAAGCCCTTCTTCTGTGCCCTAAATAAAACTCAGCCTGGAGTTCTCATGTCATCACTTCAAGAGTTCACTGCTCAGGCAAAACACCAGGATTTGCTGTAAGCAGTGAACCCCCAGCAGCACATCAAAACCAGCAGCATCCCAGCTTGCTTTGTAGGCCAGACTCAGCTTTGACAGACCCAGCACCACGGGGTTTCAGCTTTTCTGGTTCTCCTTCACTGAGTTTATTGTCTCCTGTTAGAAGAAACAGTGAACTGGTATGAAAATGGGGGCAACTTGCTGTAGGCCAGGCAAGGAAGCACCAACCAGCCACAGCTCACAATTTATGCAACACTCTTGCTAATTTTAGTCTTGGATATGGCCAGGGCAGACAATCTCCAGAGCAGAGATGCTCAGCTCTCAGCTAAGGGCAGCATATGACATATGGTTGCTAAAGCATCCTCCTAGCAGGGAGCTTTACATTCAGGCCTGAGTTGCTGCAGTTCCCTCCAAGTCATAACTTGGAGGATTACTCATCCTAGACATGCAAACGCAGAGAATCTGCCTCCTAATCCAGAGAGCTCCTGCATCTGAATCAGTGTGCAGCCTCTCCCCCACTGGGCTTCTATTTCCAGTGCTTGATTCACTTCCAGCAGGGGCTGAACTTACGTGCTCTGACAGTCACAGGCCACGGGGAGCACGTGAGAGGAGCGAATGAGCTGCAGCAGGCACAGAGCTGCACTAAATACCTCGCTGGGGCAGCCTGGGCACGAAGGTTTGGCACCCAGGCCATGGTCTGTGTGGTCATGGATCCTGCACTGAGCTGTGAAACAATGACATCTCGGCAGCCCAGCTGAGAACTGGAGGTATTTCTGGTCAGGATGCTCTGAACCAGTAACTGCAAGTCCAGCTAATCTGTTCTGAATGTGCTATTTATAGCAGGCACTGGGGGCCCAGCAGTGTTGCATCATACAGCAGGGCTGGCATAGAAAGAACCAAGGCAGCATTAACCATTTCAAGGCATTTTGGATGCCTTAAACCCCCCTGTAGCTTTGCAGTGAGCTCCTCAGTGGGCTCAGTGGGCACTTGGCTAATAGATCATTTCCTAGACTCCCTGGAGCTGCCACTGACTGCTCTTCTGCCTCTGGCACCTTTGCTTATTCTGACCACTCCACTCTACCCCGGAGCTGGACTTGCACAGCTGATCATGCTGCTAGGAAACACAAGCAGAATAAAAATTGAAGAACCAAAAAGACCTATGAAGTGCAAATTTCAAGCTCCATTACAACCAGTGGAAGAAAAAAAAAATCAATACTGTCAGAATGAAAAAGACTGAGCTTATTGGGAAATAAATACTGTTTTCCCAAGTGTCTAAAAGTGCTTACCAAATATGCCCCAAACAAGGGATTAAAAAAAGTTTAACTAATCCAAATAGAGAACAAAGATCTCTCCTCTGATCTTTTACCAGGTGACCACATTCAAACCATTCGTTTGGTGAGTGATGTCCCAGGGTCCAGGACTTCCGAGTGGGGATGAGGAAGCAGGAGACAGCTCAGACACCTGGTTCTTACACAAGGCAGGGAATGTGACAGCTCTGCCCTGGTAGGATGACTAAAACAGGTCCTGGGCTTTGAGATATCATGATTAAGCCCACTCTCCTTTCAGCTGCCTCCTTAAATCCCGGGGACTCCAGCTGACTCATTCCTTCTTTCTACCTGAGGTCAGGGAAGATATCTTTTGGAGATCAAGTAAAGCACCACAGGCTTCAATCTACTGCATCAACAGAACACTAGAAATACCCAACTTGCTGATTAAAACCTGTCTAGAAGATGCAAAATTGATCTTAGCTCCCTGCCAAGTGTTGGGAGACTGGAAAGGAGCTGAACAGGATGGAATTACATTAGTTGGGGTGCAAATATTCCTTCTTTCCCATTTCTTTGCATGGTAGTCCCTGGCAACACCACAGAAGAGCCTGTCTTAGTGCAGGCCAGCCCACATCTCCAGGAACCCAGGGAGCAGCAGCTCTACCAGGCCAAGATGCACAGCATTAGATGGGGAGGCTCCAAGCCCAGCAGGACAGTCATGGCTCAAATCCAAGGAAAGGAGAACTCCACAGGGTTCTCCTCTGGGTCACTGGGAGGTCTCTGCACCAGGAAGAGGATCCAGCTGTTCTCACACACACACAGGCACACACACTGCTGGCACACAATCACTTCTGTGGGAGCTCGGGGTTGGTTATCATCCCTGCACTGCCCACACAAAGAGCAGGATAATTTCCTCTGACTCCCTTCCCACCTTACTCTGAGGGGAGCAAAAAGGCTGTGTTAAAGAAACACCACTGAGCAAAATGTTTTATGAAGAGAGATTCCTTTGTATTAGCAATCAGTTGAGTAAGTCCAGGGACCGGTTCAGGCACCCCTCTGCTGCCCAGGGGGGTAAAATACCCCCAAAAACCAACAAAAAAACCCCTCTCCAGCTGTGGAGGGGATATGGAAAACAAGAAGGTGAAGAACACAGTAAATCAAAAAGTGCTTCTAAGAAAAGCAGCAGGATAAAATCGTTCCTACAATCTGGGAGCACTTCCATGCCATCGACCGGAGAGCCAACGGCCCCCACACAGAGATGTAACGCACGTCTGCAAGGCCCCTGCTCAGGGCCTGCAAGAGTTACCTCCTCCTGCCTTTGTTCTGGGCAGTGTTTAATACAGGAGCCAGTTCCCAGGAGGAGTTCCCATCCCCTCATTCCGAGAGTATCCCGTTTTCCTTCAGCGTCTCTCAGTAGTAGTCGTCCTTCTTGCCACCAGCTCCCTGCAGGCCCACACGGTCCTTCCGCTCTTGGACAAGCTCCAGGTCATCGTTGTCATCCACCTCACCTCCATGATCCTCCTGGGTGCAGAGGGAACAGCCAGGAGGGAAAAATCAGCAAGGCCTGGAAAAGGAGACCCCGACTGGCAGCACACTGTGCTGCTTCCCAATACAGCTGTGCTACCATACCAGCCCAGCTCGGAAACTTGGGAAAACAGGGAAGAGTCCGCCTCTGCCAGGTGTGATTGGCAGGTCACTTAGCCAAGACAGAGGTGTTGCCATGATCAGCCTGTTTGTTTTAAGCACATTTAATGTCCTGGCATTCCAATGCAACTTTAACATCTCAGCCTGCTGCCACTGTAGAAGATGATCCTCTACATCCACCACGTGGAAAACTGTGTCCCAAATCCCACCCGTGATAGGCAGCAGCCAGCACAGCCTCCAGGGACACTTTTAGGTCCAACTATCCAGCGTAGAGCCTACAAGAGGCCTGGATACACACAGGAAAAGGAAACCTCCTGACACCAACTCTGCTCTGCCCACCCCTCGTTTCCCCACTCTCTTCATTCCCAGCAGGCAGCCCAAGCCCTCAATTCCTCAGCAATCATGTTGAAACTGCAGGAAAAAATCCCACAGCAACCATTCACAAAGGGCAAGGAGAGGATGAATGAGACTGGAAGAGGATCCCTCATTTCTCTCTACGGGAGTCAGAAGCCTTCTGGGTGATCCTCTCCAGCTCATGCTTGGAGAAACACAGGGATCTTGCCCAGTAGCACTATCACAGCCTGTAATTCCCCCCAGCTCCTGTTTGGGAGGCATCCCACAGCCCAGCTGTTGCAGATGGATGCAGATGGAAATGAGGAGGGGAGATAGAACATAGAGGGTACTCTGAACCCCTGAAAAAGGGAGCAGAGGTAGGTGGGCCCCAGGGTTGTTCTGGTGATCCACCTCACTGGGCAGGCAGAGGCAAACCTGAAGCCAGTGCTCACATCTGGCTCCCTAAAAGCTGAGTCCTCCCCAGCTCCTGGCTCCCAACACTCCCAGTAACAACCACACCAGAGAGGGAAAGGGGGAGAACCTTGGGGTCGTACAATTTCTTGCTCCTGATCTTCTTGATAGTCATCCATTGGGTCTTCCCTGGGCTTGGCAGGTCTGCCAGCATCCTGCAAAATACAGTCAGACACTGTTGAGAGTGCCCCAGCCTGCTCCCATTCCCCGCCAGGGACACAGCTCGCTGGCATTGGAGCCCCAGGTCTGGAAGACTGAGCTGCACCAGGAATCAGGGGGAGCAAAGAGACAGTCAGGCAACACAAACTCCATGAGCTTCCTCCACCCAGTCTCTCTTCCCGGCTCCTTCCACTGTGGAGAGAGGTTTCTCCTGCAGCAGGAGGGTCCCAGGGCTGTTGCCTCAAGTCCCAGGACTGCAGGGAATCTGTGAGTTATTTAAGGAACACAGCACAGCCCCATCTGAGAGCCAGGTATTGATGTCACTAATTCTTTCCACATTTGCACTAATCTCAAGGAGGTGTTACTCTATCGGTGCCAGCATCTCTCTCTTGTTTGATTTCATTGGCCTGGAGGTCTTTTTTTTTTTTCTTAATCTCACTATTAATCACGATTTTAAAGCCTGACAGATAAAACACTCATTTTTAAAACAAGCAACACTCAGCTGCTTGTCAAAACAAGCTGAGTCTGGCTTCAGGCAGCGAGAAACACTTTGGGAAGTAAATGGATTCCATCTGCAAGGAGGCAAACAAGGAGGCAGAGCTCCCTTGTGTTGTCACTGCTGCCAGGAGCCTGAAACAGGCAGGGCTGCATCGACCAGAAAAGCAGAGACTCATATTATTGTCTCTAGCTTTGGTCTTGAGTGCATGAAAAGCCACAGCCCCTGTGCAGGAGCAGTTTTGAGTGAGCCATCCCCTATTCCACATCTCTCCAGCTATGTAGGTGTTGCAAATGCCAGGGGTGACTTCAACAAGCAGAGAGGACAGAACCAGAACAAGCTCTGGGACTGACCAACCTGCCAGTTCTCACTCAGAAAGAGGTTTCTCCTGCCTGCCACGTCCTGGCAGTGGGATTATGGATCCATCCAGGAACATGACGTTTTCCTTCGAGTCCTTAAGCCCTCTGTCTCCCCCCATCCACAGCTGGGGGTCCCCCCCATCCCTGCTGGTTGCCCTCATGTCAGTCACCTTCAGTGGCTTCTCCTTTGACTCTTCTTTCACACTGGGCTCCTTGAACTTCTCCAAACCTCCCACCTTCTCTTCGAAGTCAGGTCTCTCCAGCTCAGCTTCCTCAAACTCATCCTCGCCTTGGTTATTGGGATCCTGGGCAGGATCTGCAGCATCATCTGGCATCTGGACAAGAAAAGCCTCCTGTGAGCACCTGGCAGGATGTCTCCTCAGGAGGCAGAAGGCTTGATGCCTTCCCAGCAAGCAGAGTGCTGGCTTGCAGCACTTAGTCATGCCTCCCCAAGCCTGGTAGTGTTTGTAAAAACAAAAACCCCAGCCTTTGTTATCCCTCTGAACCCCTCCAGATCCTGGGTGTTTGGAGTTCCACACTATGGAAACTTCTGGGTAATTATTGACTTATTGGACTCTCATTCCAAGCTGGAATTGCATCCAGATGACAAGTGGCACCACTACTTTCCAAGGCCAGGTGGGATGGGGCCCTGAGCAACCTGGTCTACTGGAAGGTGTCCCTGCCCACAGCAGAGGGTTGGAATGAGATGATCTTTTAAGGTCCCTTCCAACCCAAAGCACCCTGTGATTTTATCATTCTACCATTCCTTACCATTGGCTCCTGGACAACAGTCTCTTTCTGAGGGTGCAAGTTCTCCTCCCTCTCAATCACTCCTGCATCTGCAAGGAACAGGCACAGTCAGTGCTGTCTCAGACTCAGTGTCACCAGTGTCTTAACTTTGTGCCAAGCAGGGATTTGAGGCAGCCAATGCTCTGTGTTTGCAGAGAAATGCTCCTCCAATGCCATGAGGGAAACCATACCCATTTCCAGTTCTTCCTCATCCATCCTCTCCTTCTCTCCTCCCTGCTCAGCTCTGTGATGCTCTTCCCCTCTCCCCTGGCTGGGGGCCTGGGAGCTGCCCCTCTGCACCTCCTGCCCAGGCTGGGGCTCAAACTGGAGGTTCTTTGGGTAACCACGTGCTTGTTCTTCGTCCATCTGGGCATTCACCTTGTTCACTATGTCTTTCCAGCTGCAACGAGGGTATGGAACAAAACATGAACCCCCTGCCTCAGTGCACCAGGAGATATTTCATAAAGCTATTTCACAATGGCAAGCAGAGAAAAAAAAAATACTCCAACACACGCAGAATTTTGTCCTAATTTAACCTTTTGACAAAACTGGCAGATTGTATTAATTGCTGTGATATCTGCTTGAAAGAGAACATTTAATATGCCACATAGTACAAAAGCAGTTATGCTTTATAAACACAATTTATTGTGAGCTCTCTTGCTATTATTCATATGATACAATAACATCTACATGGCAACGAACTCCAGTTCTAAACAGATTCTTACTCATGCCTCACACATACCCAAATAAACAAATCTGAGGGTTTAGAAAACATCAAAACCATAAGTGGTCTTTATTGTTCCAACTTAATTGAAAATGAAGACGCTGCTGAAGTAAAAGTGTAGAATTTTGGCTACGAGGAGAAAAAAAACCCTTTCAAAATAAAGAGGAAAACTGCAATACAAAGCTTTGCAACTGGGATGGATATTTTAACCAGCATCTGTTTATAAAACTCTTGCATAGGATGCATCTGCCCCTGTGCAAACCCAAACAGTGAAAATGTTCCGTTTCCACTGCATGGAAAGTAGTTTGAGGTCAAAGCAAAAAAATGGAATATCTTCATATTAATTTGAGTGAACCCCTGGGAAAGCCCAGAAGGCAGGGCTGTCTCAGAAGGAATGATTTCTTACCAAATATCCAAATATCCTTCCTCAGGGACAGCTTCAGAAGCAAAGAAGGGTAGAGGAAGGGATGAAGTCCCAGTAATAGGGACTCTGAAACATGACTGAACAAACCCTTTTAACCTGGGTGAGTTACAGCAGTCCCAAGCAGAACGACTGCTCGGTTCAGCCTGTCCTCTGCATGAGATTTAAAAGTCTGCTTAAGGATATTTCTGTGTTTAAAAGCTGAGAAAGGACAAGTGGCCTTGGCTTTAGCAGCTTTTTAAGCCAGCACACAAAACTTTCAGTGAGTAAAATCCTAACCCAGCCCTCAGCTCAGATTCCCCCCCTTATAAAACCATCAAAATGCAAACTGCCCCTCCAGGGCTCACGTGGAACCTCAGCCACCCAAGGCAGCAGTTCCTGGCCTTGGATCCATGGGCTCTTTGTGCTGTCCTGAGGTCCCTTATTGCTCTTGGCATGGACAAGGTTGGGTTATGTGCTCCTTATCACAGATCTCCCACAGTGCAAACAACAGCCTCCAGCTGCTCCTTAATTCCTTGATGATAGATCCAGGAAAAGCAAAGCACACCAAACATGCCAGGACCTCTGTCCTCACCGAAAAAGCACTTGCCAAACACGTCAGTGTTTGCATTTTCAGACTCACAGAGTGATGGTAACCTGGCTGGGCTCTGCATGGCTGAAAAAAGGCCATTGTGCCACCACCACCTCACCCTCAGTGACACCCACACAAGTCCCTCCCTGAATGAGCAGAACATCCCCTGGGCACAACTCCTGTGCCTGTCACAGCAGCCTGGGGAGGACACTGCCATTTGAAGGAGGAAGAAAAGCACAATCCCTGCCCTGGGAAGGTTACAGGTTAAGTGAACAAACAAAAAATAGAAGAGCAGAAAGGGTCAGGCTGAATCTAGAATGAAATCCAGAAGCTTCCTCTACAGATAAAATAGACATGAAATCCTGTTTGCTCCGGTAAGCTGAACAGATAGGACCTGGACACGGACAGGAGATAAATAAGTTAAAGGAGGAAGCACTATTTTCAGAGTCCCTTTTTGGATTATGGCCAGACTTTGATGAATTGCAGCTGCAGAGAGACATTTTTTTTCCTTTTGCAAAACAAACCAGTCTCCTGCAAGTGCTGCTGAGACAGTGAACAGTCTCCCCAGTGCCTTACACCGTCCAGTACAACAGGATCCTGACCAGACAACACCAGTAACACCCCGAGGAAAGGTTGTTTCTTCAACCACCTTCCAGGTAGACCCACAATAAACACGAGCAGAGAGAGACCAGGGGTGCCCCTGTTTGGAACCTTCAGCCTAAACTTTGAGAGCAGAAGGGAGTTGTGTGCCACCAACCTTTGCATTTGCCCCTGTCTGTTCCCTGGGGAGAGGTGGTTGTCTGGAACTGGAGGTTTTCCTGCTGCAGAGGGTTGTCTGGGACCAGGCAGGGCCAGCCCAGGAGCCTGGCTTTCCTCGTGGCTCCTCACCTGGATGCGCATCACCATCTTCACGTCCTGGAGAGGAGACAACTTGGGATGTGCACGAGAGCCTAATCTTACCACACATCCCCAGATCTTGCATTTGGGCAGGTTTATGGGCCAGAAAATCCCTTATCAGAGAAAAAAGATTCAGAAGTGCTCCAGAACAAACCTACAGCCCTGTCCAGCCTGCAGTAGAACAGGCCCTTCTCCTTCCAAGACAAAAGGAAATAATTTAGGTCCCCCACCCCACATCCTTATAATAGTTACTGTAATTATAGTCTAGCCACACTGCAGTTTATTGTCTTTTTTTAGATATTTACTGTCCAGAACTCGCTCTCAATCAGCCCAGGGGGCAGGGGGGGGCCTGATTTTATGATTTACTCTTTGCAGCTCTGGCAGAAGAACCTCGTCCCACTCCCCTGAACCTGGTGGCGAAACCACAAGTGCACAGGAGTCTGAAAGCACCCCAGGGCTGTGAGATTCACACACACACAGAGCACTGCAGCTCTCTGAGTCCTGAGCTCCCCAAGCAAAGCCCCAGGAACGTACGGGGTTCCCGTTTGGGAGGCTGTTCATGGTCCGGGTGAACCTCACCACGTGCCCGTCCCCACGGCGCGCTGGCCAGGCTGGCACAGCCTCTGGCAGCGAGTTGGCATCCTGGGGTGGGGTGGGGTGGGTTAGGGGCACGTTTGGCTGTGGCCTCGGGCCGTCCTTGCTGTAGGAGTTCTGTCCCTGCAGCATCGGGACTTCCGCCGGCCTCTGGAACCCGGAGACAGGGGATGCCAGCGGGACCCCGTTCTCTGGATTGACTGGAAAACCCTGCAAGGAAGAAAGGACAACGGCAAACTCTGAGCTGGAGGGAGCTGGGCTTGTTCCCCGTGCTGGAAACCCACAGGAGCCCTGCAGAACGCTCCTACCAGGGTTTTCCTGGGAATACCACACCTTCTGCCTCCCCAGCTGCAGCTGGCTGTGGGCTGGCACCACGGGCTGCTGCCCCTTCCCAGCTCCTCCTCCTCCTCCTCTGAAGCCTGGCATCTTCTGTAGAGCTTCCTTGAGCTGCCTGAACTCTTCCATCTGGGCCTGAGGGGGTGAGAAGGACACGGAGAAACCTCCCACAGTAACAGGGTTAAGCACCTCCTTGCTGGGAGCAGCCACCCTTTGTGGCCGTTTGTCTGGCACAGATGGACTCTAAAGAGATGTGTTTTATACATAGGAAAGGCTGGAGAAAACACACAACCATAAATGACAAGCTTGTTTTCAGCTTTCCCTCCAGATTTCATGGCTATTCTGTGTTCCCCCTTTGCCAGTCTTGCATCTTATTGGACACTTTTACCCTGGAAAGTGCTGAGCTGTGACACTGGTCCTTTTCCTGATGCTGTTCAGTGCGTGAGCCATTGCTGTAACTCCTGCCTTGGCACAAGAATTGTACCCTGGGTCTTAGTTGTGCCTCCCTCTCCTCCTGTGCCTCACACTCATATAGCTCCAGGTCAATTTATTTCCTTCCAGTTGCAGCATTTCTCCCTGGATGTGCTCATCTCAGCAGGGCTGGCAATAATTGGCATAATCCAACTTGACAATCCAATTTACTTTGCAAGACAAATGAAAAATCAATTCTCCTGGACTGGTAAGCAAATGCAACACTTTTTCTCTCTCTCTCCTGAAGCTTATTTCTTTCAGCTCCAACCCTGAAAAGTAGGGCTTGAAAAAGCCACTCAGGAAAAGCTCCCCACTTCCACCCTGGTTATTTATAGGAGAGTGAGGGGGGAGAGCTTTTCATGTGCTTGCCAGGGTACCTGGAAATGGACCAAATTAGGGACAGGGCTGAGTAGGAAAGCTTCCAAGCAGCAAGGAAAGTTTAGCAGGAAATTAATTCCTGAGCAGGCTCTGTTGATTTCAGTTCCTCCCCCTGAAATCTGACCTTAAAATTAACATTTAAAACAACAAAACAAACCCCGACAAAACCACCCAGCGCAGCTAACATAAAAGGAATGAGGAGAAGGCAGCCAAGAGCAGTTCATGGGATATGAACTTGCAGGATGCTGCTCCCAGGCAGAACAACCCGGATGGATGCGAAGCTTGTGCCCATCCAAAGCCTGTTAAGGGGGTCAGCAAACCAGGCAAGGCCCCTCTGCGCTGCTGTTTCTCTCTGCAATTAATTTAATAGGCATAAACAAAGACAATCCACCATCATTTGGAAGTGCTTGAGATGTGTGGAGGTGACAGGAGGCGTTCCAGGGTTGGGAATATGCTGGTTCACGCTGCCTTGAACCCCAGGGACTTGTGCAGCACTACCTGGGTTTTCAGCAGCTGGGACAGACTCCAGGGTGGAAAATTTTACTTGTATGGATCTACATTGCCAACACCTGTCAGCAGTGGGATACAGCTGATAAGAGTTAGCAATTAGAGAATATTTGATGTGCATGCAGACCCCAGTGTCCCACAAACAGCCCCTGGTGGGTTACCTGGGCATTAAGGAGCTGGGAGTGAACCTCCTGGTGGGCCTTCCGAAGGAGCTTGCTCTCCTCCCTGAGTTTAAACACTGTATCTGCAGGAGGAGAAGAAATTTGATTGAAAGAGCTATTTTTTGCCAGTGTAGTATCTCCCTTTCTCGCTGTAAATTAGCCTGCAGCTCACAGGTCTCTCCAAGCCCAGGAATTACAGTGAAGCACGAGCCAGAGACGGACAAACCCGATCCATCGTTCCTTCCAGCACTCCAAGGAACACCCTTCTCTCCAGAGCCTCTGCTAACCACTGCTCTCAGGGTCAGGCTCTCCCTGTGCTTGCTTCAAGAGCAAGATATTTGCTTCCTCATTTCTCCCCCCCCCCCCCCTTGCAGCTGAAGAGCAGCACTCACTGTCCCTGCCTGTGGTGACTGGAAGGTTAAGAAACAACCACAGGGGAGGTCTCTCAGGTCTCCTGAACCCCCAAGATGTGATAAGGAGCTTCCCTCCTCCTTCAGAGAGAAGCTGCCTCTTGATGGCACGAACAAAACACCCATGACCCCCTCACAGAAAGCAATCATGGCACAGCTCTGCCCTCAGGCGTGGCTATTCCTGGGATTTTAAATAACGTTGTGCCCTGCAGCCCCCCGGGGTTGAGCTTTTTCAAGCTCTTTGCACGCTCCTGAGTACTTCAGGGACATCAGGGACAAGACACGCCGTGTACTGACGTTTCATTGCCTTGGACATAATCCTGCACCCTCCAGTGTGAAACAAAGACTGTGTCCAAAAATGTCAGCCCTGTTTCGGTTCCTGAATCTCTCTTAAACCATCACCAGAACATCATGCACTGGGATTTCTCTGCAAACACAGCTGCACCTGCCACCATGGACTGGGAAGGGATTCAGCCCTTTGTTGTGGGCTGAGTTGCACACAAGGTTTCAGCTCAGTATTAGAGATATTTCTGATTACAGTGGCACATCTTTTCTTTGCAATGCTCAGCCCTGGGACAGGACATTCTCCCACTGAGACTGGGTGCTGTGCTCCTGCCTTGCAGTGAAGGTTGACATCAAACTGAGAAGGGAAGGCTCTGTCTTTCCTGCAGCCAGAAGGAAATATGGAATCATGTCCTGTGGGACTCCAGCTTTACCTGTTACCTTGTGTTTGCAGGCAGCTGGTCCAGGCCAGGTGACAGCAAGCACAGATGCTGCTACCAAGACCTCTGACCATGACAGACAGTCCCCCAGAAGAGCCTCCAAAAGAGCCAATCTAGCAAAAATCCCTCCATTCCACTCTGGCAGCCCTGAGCAGTGGGGGCCGAGTATTTCAGGAACAGAGACAATCAAATATTTAGGTTTCACTTATTTATCCTCAATTTCCTTCCTTCTAACCCAGGAGTGCTCATCAGATACTCCAGTGGGCTTTGTTGACCAGAGGAAAAAATAAACAAACAAGACACCATCAGATTTCGCTCTTCCAGACCTAATCAAGTAAGAACAGATGCAAACCTTAAAAGCCCCACGATGTAATTAAACAGCAGACTAAATAGAAACCACTCTTTGGGAATTAAAGGGATCAGCATTGTCTACGATACTTGCACCATTAAAGGCATTTTATAGATCCACAACACTAATTGCAAGAAGTGTGTTTGATTTGCTCCCAGGCTCAAACGCCAGGATTTGCAGGTTGTTCCTGCACCACCACCCGGGGCAGGATAACACTCCAGCCAAGGTGCTGCACACTGTCACACAGGGACGTCCCTGGGGTGTTCACAGACCCTTTGGGGGACCTGCAGAGGAAACCTCTGCCCTGCCCTGAGCTCAGCCCTTCAGCCTGGTGTTCCCCCAGCCCGCTCACCCTGCAGGCTGGTGACCTCGCTGTCCCTCTCCTGCTGCAGCTGGGCGTATTTCTGGCTGTGGCTCTCCAGTGTCTTGCGGTGTTCCAGCTTCAGGCTGTTGTGCTGCACCTGCAGGTCAAGCAGCTGCTTCTTGACATCGTCGTGCTGGTTCTGGGTACGAGAGAAGCGACAGAGTCAGCGCAGGGAGAGGAGTGATTCAGCTGCTGCCAAGTGCTCCCTGAGTGCCCCTGTTTAACAAGTTGCCTGGGGAGGCAGGAGATGTTTGTTCCCAGAAATCCCAGGCACAGTCAGGTATTCCCTGTGTCCGGTGGTTCAGGGGGGGATGTGAAATGCCAGCTAAACTCCACCTCGGGGAGCGGTTTGGGAGGTCTCCTTGGAAGCCACTAAACTGGAAGTGGAATGTTATGGCAGATTCACTCCCACCTGGAAGAGGTGGAGGCTCTGGGACACAGGAACTACTCCTGCTCCTTCCCAGCCTCCCTGCACACCCTGCTCTGAGAGCACACGGGCTGTGACATTTGCTGACATCAGACCAAATCCCTGTCGAATCCTTCACAAATCCAAGGTCCTTTCCAGAATCTCAACATGCTGAAGGACTTTACCTGCAAGGATAGTTCCCATGGAGCAGGGAGAGCTTGTGCAAGGACACCACATCCTCTGACAGGGACCAGAGAGAGCCCCCATTCCCCTCAGTAACATGGGGCTCACAGGCATCGAGTTCCGGGATAACAAGACTCTCCCAAGACCACAGACAATTTCAAGCAGGCCAAGAATTCAGCAGACAGAGGTGGGCTGAAAAGCTACTCCCTTCTCCCCTCCCCTCTTGCAGGGCCCAAGAACAAAACATGCAGAAACATCCTTTTGCTCGGACCCGCTGAACCAGAATTCACCTCCTTTTTTTTTTTTTTTTTTGTTCCCATGGTAACCCTGAGAGATTCCTTCCACATTCAGTTTGTCAACACCAATTATGTATGCAGATTGACTGGCTCTCAGGTGAACCCTGGCCCTGCCACACAACCCAACTCCCCCCCAGGAGTCCAGGCAGTCATTTCAATCAGCCTTCCTGGGAAAAAAAAAAATAAATCTTTTCTCTTTTCTTTTTTTTTTTTTTTTTGTTTTCTAAAAACCCCAAACCTCTAAATGCTATTGATGATTGCATTTATCCCCAGGAAAACAAAGTGTCTGTGGCCCAGGCCTTCCCCCTGAAGCAATTATCCTCCACTAAAAGAGATATAGCCGTGCTCCAAAAATACACGTGATGCAGAGGAGAAGGCTGTTGGTGCAGAGGGGTCCCAGAGCCAGGATAAAGAAGAGACACAAGGATGTCAGGTTAATCAGATCACAAGATCTAGAGGGGGAAATAAAGAGCACAGAAGATTCCTGCTTTGATTTCCACAGGCATTAGGCACTTGCAGTTCTCATCAGAGCCCCTGGCAGAAAGCTCTGCAGAGGAACCACTTCCTTAAGATCATTTTGATACTAAACACATCAGAAACCACCAACAGTAGCAAGTGAAGATTGATTTGAACAAGAAACTCTTAAGAAATTCAAGGAATTTTAAGTCCTCATCAGCTCAGGTCAATTAATTCCCAACCCATATTCTGCCTGGAAGGTGATGTGCATAATGTGTGTCCCCAGACTGCTCCCAGGCAGGAAGAAGGGAGGGAATGTTCATCCTCTGACAGCAGCAGGAAGCTGGAGAGGGATATGAGTGCCTTGCCCAAGGTCACAGGCAGCACCTGAGGCTGCCTCCTCGTTAAGCACATGGAGCATCCTCCCTCTCAGCTGCTTTCTGAGCGTGGTGGGACCAGTGTGTGCAGACCTGAGGAGGAATCCAAAGATGCCTTTGTGTTATTTGCAGGCAGGAAGTCTGGAACACACTAAACTGTTTTTCAGAGAAGCAATTTAATTACCTGTGGGCAGAACATTCCTGACCCAGGCAGTTCCACCAAGGCCAGGTACCCTGAGGAACCCAGGAACCTCTGCTGTCTTCCCCCCTGGCTGCAATGCCATTCCCTCCTCTCCCTCACAGTTCTGCTGTTCTACTCAGCCAAGCAGAAACCACAGGACAGAGCACATGAGTGTTGTGCAGATCATGCCCAGAGGCAGCTGGGCTGAGGGAACACAGAGACCACGTTGTCGTGGCTTTTCTCTGGTGCTCACGCTGCAATACGGGGAAATCTTATCACTCACAAGTCAGATCAGCCTCCAAAAATTGGGAATTCTTCAGCTCAACTGCAGGAACTCGGGGCAGCAGGTTCTCTCACCCCACCTTCCCTTTGTTGTTCAGACAACAGGTAGTGCCCAAATGTGTCAGATCTGTGGCACTGAGGTTTCTGGGGAATGGGCAGGTGAAGGGGGAGAAGAAAAGAACAGTCCCTCAAACCCAGGTATTTCTACCAGGATTCAAAAGCAGCTCTGTGGACAGCACTGTACAAAGTGGAATCAGTAAGTGGATGCCTTAACCCACAAGCAAAGGAAGGGCACAGCTCATTGCCAGTTTTCATGTTCCAGCAGTTTCAGGAAGTTCATGTCAAAAATTCCTTTGTTTGAAGCCACCCCCTCCTTGCCTGCCTGCTCCAGTGAATGCCAGGATGCACTCTGCAGAGTGATGGGAGCAAAACGCTTTCATCTCCACTCAAGAGGGAGAAAGGAATTGTGAGACAAAGTCTGGCCCCAGCAGGAATCCAGACAACACAGGCAATGATCACAACTGCTATTTTTGGACCAAGTCAAGGCCCTTGCACCTCTGAGCTGCTGTGCCAGCTCCAGATGTAAATCAACCAGGGAGGATTCCAGTGCAGGTCAGGAGAAGAGCAGAGGCCAGGGACACCAAAGCCAGATGTGCTGTGGCTTCATGGGACCCTTTGGGACCTGCAGCTTAGCAGAGTTAGTTGCTTCTGTTCAGTGTGACATGTCCACTTCCTAGGGAACGATATCCTGGCAGCAATCTTCCTCCTGAGGAAGCCAGTTTCAGTGGGAAGCATTTTTGCCTGGGCTCCAGTAACAGAAGTGTTGCTCACAGGCTCATAACTAGCAGAAGCTGGGCTAAATGCTCCTTTTTCAGGGTGGGGGGGTTGAAATCTCCCACTCTGCAGCCCCAAGGGCTGGTCTGTCTTTCAGCAGCTGTAAATGTAGTTTAAAAAAAAAAAAAAAAAGGGTGTTTTTTTTTCCCCCACCCCTCCAATAAAAGGAAGCAAGAGAAAGGGAGCCAGGACGAAATGCTCTCAACTGTCCCCTCGAGAGCAGCAAACCAGAGCATTCTGCTCAGCCTTAGCAGTTGCTATGAGGAGGAATGTTGCTATTGCAAAGCGTTCCCAGAGTCCACAGTGCTGGATAATACCCAAGAGACAGAACTGTACTTCCCTTTTCCCGAAGTTTGAATCCAAAAGCCAGGCAGCTGGAGGTCCAGCTCTGCTCAGGAAATACAACCCAGCGGTGCTAAGGGCTGCTGGAACCCAGCCCTCCTTCTGCAGCCCAGAATTAAATTACCATTTCGCTGCCAAAGCTCCAACTAAAAACCTTTAAAAACCACCATTGCCAGCCCCGGTTGTGTTGCTCTAACAACAGGAAAATTTAACATCAAGATATGCCCCAGGTAGTGCACGTGATAAGCTATAAAATGCTATAAGCTGCCCTGCTCTGAGCTTCTCACATGGGCTGGAATATGTTGTATTAGCCCAAAGGGCAAGCTACAATGAATAGACCCATTTTCACACTAAGGGACCCAGAAAGGAGCAGGCTGAACAGCAGAATCCTGTGTGATAAAGTGCACAAAGGCTGCCATTGAATGGAGGTGTAGGTGAAAGCTGTAATCTGATACAGAATAAATAGGAAACTCCCCTGGACCTGAACAGTCAGGAAGGAATGTAGATCAACAGAGTGGTCTCCTCCCTCCCTGCTGGCACTGACTGCAGGAAGCCCTGGGTCCCTGCTAGGACTCTCCTTCCCAGGAGCATCCTTTAATGTGCAGCAGATGGTCAGTCCATGACCCAGCCTCCTCCCTTACCTTCAGGATCTTGTGCTGGGAGCTGAGGGCCCCATATCTGTTCATGGAGTCTTGCTGGGGTAAAAAAAAAAGAAAAAAAAAAAAAGAGATTCAACAGTGCCATTAGATTCCAGAAAAACCCAAGGCGGGGAGGAAAACCCACCAGAGCACCTGCCCAGCCACTTCACACACACAGGTGGGGACGGGGACCAGCGGAACGTGCAGGGCTGGAAAAGAACCTTTTCACACCAGCTCATTAACTGCGCTCTTAATTCCCATTCAGAGTTGTTTTTCCCAGCCCTCAGCTCTGTATCTAGGCCAGGCCCAGTGCTGAAGGAGCTGTGCACAGTGAACCCCCTTCCCCGAAGGCTGAGCTCTGCTGGCAGCAGCTGAGGGGGAGGCAGAGAGCAGCAGAGCTGAGCCTGTCGCCTACACACCAAAATTGCACCATTTAACAAAAAATGGATCACTAGGCAATTGAGGGAGCCTAAAGCAAGCTCTGTAACTAGGGTACAGCAGCCAGACTAGGCTCAGCTGGCACAAACCAGCAGTGGAGAGGGATTTATGAGTGCCCACAGAGGGGTCTGGACCAGTTCAGCGGCTCTGCTCATGCCTTGCTAAGGGTCAGGTTCTTCCCCTGTGCCCCCAAGGTTCCACTCTTCACCACAGCACCAACATCTCCTCACAGCACGGGTGGAAGTCACCACCCCCTGTGCCCAAAGGCTTTGTCCCCAGGGCAGCAGTGGCACCTGAGGCTGCAGCTTGTCCCAGGACATGCTGGGACCCACGTTTGGGGACCTTAAAGCAACGTGGCTGATCCACAAAGCAGCACCGTGGAAGTGCAAACTAATCCCCGTGCAGAGATTCCCACTACAACTCCCAACTCAATTTATATGATAAATACACAATATGGAATGAAATATCACCAGCAAATGAGCACAGATTAAAAAAAATCAGATATTCATGGCCGAGTTTTTCTGTAACAGGCTGACATTGACCCACAGATGAAGGGGCTAAAAGCGATTCCCCTTCCCCAGCATCTCATCAGCAGATGCTCTGGGAAAGGAATAAACCCAGCCTTATAACCTAAGTGAATGTGACAGACTGTATCCCAGGGATGCATTTCTTCCCAACCCTCACTGAGGAGTCCTTTTCCCTGCTGAATGAGAGGTCCACAGGCAAGTGAAAATCATTTGACAATCCCTGGAGACAGAAAACAATGGATATGCTTTTCCCCACACCACATGGTCTTTCTTCTCCGTGTTCCCCGTGGTGTGCCTTGAATTCAGTTTCTCCAGGGCTCTTCTGTGCCGTGGAGCAGCAATTCTCCCTTCAGGCTGCAGCACAGGGCTCCCTGCCCCACCAGGAGCTGGGAATCGTCTCCTGGGCTGTCACACACGGGAGAATGGGCAGAGCAGGTCGAGAACTGTGTAGTCTTTCCCTCAGATGAAGTGAATCCTCACCCACCAGCAGCCTTGCCCAGTGGAGTCAGCCAAAGTTCACCCTGCACCGTGCACACAGACCCACCTTTGTGCCTCCCAGGCAGCAGCCCTGGCCCCCCAACCCCGAGGAAATATTTACCAGCATCACACAGACACCCCGAGGAACAAACCTCACCTACCTTCTCCTTGTTGAGAGCTTCCTGAGCTTCTAACTTGTACACTAAAAAATCTGGAAGTGGAAGAAGAGAAGGCGATTTAACGAGCTGGAATTTAACGAGGATCTGGTTTGTATTTTGGGGCGGGGGGAGGGAAGGGGGAAATCAGCCCCTTGCTGAGCAAAAGGCTGCAAGTCAACAAGCTGGAATGCAGATGCTGCCAGGAGACCACTCAATGCCCTTGGAAAGATGGGAGTGTTTTCCATGAGAGCTGTCCACCCAGCTAGACTGGCCCAAATGTCTTTGCTTTCCCACTCTATACTCAAGTACCTCAGTGATTTCCTACTTCAGCACACAAATGGCTACAGTTCGATGTCTCTGAGGCTGCAGGAGGATTTGGGGTGCTCTGAAGTGAAAAGACTTTGGGAAAGAGAAACCAAAGCTTCTGTGAGACCAAAAGGAATGAATCTGCTGATCTCATCTGCACCACCTTCTTAAAATGGGCAGGTGCCATGACTAGATAACACATATTAGGATATATTTGCTCAGTCAGTGCTCACCAAATAGATTAGAGGTGGCAGAAATGCAGCTTCTCCCTCAGGGATGCAGCCAAGCCTGGATGCTGCGTGGCAGCACTTCCAGAAAACCAGAGCACCTCAGAGTGAGGAGCACTGGTGTTACTCCACATACCAGTTTTGGAGATAAAAGCCAAGTTATTAAGTTGCCAGCAACAATCAGGTGCAGAGGGGCCTGACATCCAAGCACAGCACTCCACTGAAGGGCTAAACTGTTGGCTTTCTGCTTCCTGTTGGATTTCGTGGTCTTAAAATATCTTGCATATTTATATCTACTTATGTACATCAGCTCTAAAGGATCTGACAGCCTGCATTGTCCATGTGTCGTGGAGGGCAGTGATGCTGATATCATTAAGCACTTGTAGAGCTCAGCATCTTCAAATCACTTTTAGAGGAAAGTTGACATATTTCCAAGAAAAAAATCATGGTCCAGTGCCAGGTTTAGCCACCACTTAAAGTGCTCAAACAGCACATCCTGGGCACTGTTACTCACAGATTGCACTGAGGACATGAGTGGGAGTGTGAGAGAACAGAACCTCCTCCCTCCCAGCACCTTCTGCCCACGGACAATAAACACGTGAGTTCACTGTTCCCCGGGTACAACCCGGGGCTGAGCTCACCTGGGGGCACTCAGGGACAGCCACACACGGCCCTGAGGCAGGGAAGGCTTTGGGCACAGCACACACCTCTCCCCCAGGACAGCTGGGGGCTTGCCTGGCCACTGCTGGGACAACCCTGCAAGGGACTCACCTTCCTTTGTCTTCTTGTGCTCCCCTCGCTCCTTCTGCAGGGACCGTTCCAGCCGGGACCTGTGCTCGTACACCACTGGGGAGCAGAGAGAGGCACAGCATGAGAGAAACCTCACCTTCCTTCACACACGCTTCTTTTCCCCCACATATTTCCTCTCCTATCTGGAGCAGGGAGGGCACAGCTGGGCTGGAAACCGTGGATATTCACGATACAACACACTTTCCTCACCCCGTGAGTATTTGCCCTCAGGTTTTGCTTTGGAGCCCAAGTTGTGATGCCCAAGAGCTGCTTTAGTGGCCAAGGGCTAAACTATGTCTTTGTGAACCAAGTGCCCAGCCAGGGTTAAGGCAGCCAGAGCCTTCCAGGTCAAGAGCTGCATGCAGGAGAGACATTTTCTCCCATTCCACTGACTGGCCCTCATGCCAGTGAGGAAAAGTGAGCCAGGCAGCTCCCTGTCCCATCCCACCCAAAACAGCCCCTGCATGTGCCCAGGAGCAGAGGAGGGACAGGGATGAGGCTGCTTCATGCAGCAGCCACGTGACAAATCAAAGCACCACAGAAGCTTCCTGATGGATGGTGATTTTAATGCACTCTGATGGCTGAATACAAACCAAGAGCTCTCCCTGAGCTGGAACAGGCTCCTCATCCCCCTGGCACAGATGGACACCGGGCCAGAACAGCACTGGGCAGCAAGTCAGAGGGGAGAGGTGATAAAAGAAACCTGCTCCCAGAGCCAAGATCCCTCCAGAGCCAAGACCTTTGGGGGCAAGTCGTGCCATAACACACAATCTCCAGGAAAATGAACTAAGTGGGGCAAGGTTTTTATGCATAAAAGAAGTGTTAATCCATTCCTTGGTGAAATCTTGTCAAGCCAAGAGTCCTGAGAGACTCGTGCTCTCCCTCCAAGTGGATCTATAGAGCCTGCCAGCTCCACTTGGGCCATAATGGAGCAGCAAAGCTCACCTAAGTCCTCTATCACTTCATGCTCCCTCAGGGAGCAGGAAGGACAGTGCCCTAGGTGAGGAATTCCCGCTGTCACCAGCCACTTTATCTCCTTCCTTCTCTTTGTTACCCTCCCCAGACAACACAGACAGACCCCAATGGTGAAGATGCTTCCCTTGGACTGGGCCACTGCCTTAAGATTTTCCTCTGGAGCGAGGAGACTCCCATATTCTTCAAACCATCACAGCAGAAATACGTGGTTTCCATCTGGAGGGAGGTTTCCCTTGCAGAGCACTGCTGCTGAAGCCATCACTGCAGCTGTCCAAGTGTCTCCTTCATGACAGCTTTATTTTTAGAAACACTTTTCCCAACAGACTACTCAGATGTCACCCTGAGGGCTTCCCCAGCTGAGCACACCCTGGGTGCTCCTTCACGACTTGTTCAAGGCAATTGTCACCTTGAGAACATCAGCCAGTTCCCCAAGGATCTGGGAGCTCTGGGCACTCATGTTTCTGCCAGAAGCATCTCACTTCCTTGCAGTCCTATGTAGCAGAGCCTCCTGAGGGCAAGTCTTTGATGTGATGGGAACCTCATACCAGCAGTGAAAAGCATCTGTAGTGATGGGCTCGTGCAGACACCCAAAGCCACAGATCCTGATGCTCCATCCCGGAGCAGAGGAGGCTTCAGGAGCAGCTCCACATCATGGGCTGTTTGTTCAGAATTTTAGAACACAAAATCTGGCTCTCCTGACCCTTTTTTCTTTTTTTTTTTTTTTTCATAAGTCAGATAAACTGAAGTGACCCCCAGTGACTGGAAAAGAAAGTTGTAATCTCTCCTGCCATTCCTCCAGGTGTCCAGAGCCCAGAGCAGGGGGGTCCAGCTCTGCAGAGAGCACTGCACACAGTGGTGTCTCTGCTCTCAGGGCCAGGAGCTGGACTTTGATGATCCCTGTGGGTCCTTTCCAATTCAGGATATTCTATAATTCTGTGATTCTCTATTCTATACTTATCTTCATGGTGGAACATAGCAACTCATCCAACCAACCTGGCACTCTACAGCTCTGCAGGCCAGGGAGCCAGGAAGTCTTTAACAATTCACTATTATAAGGGAGAATAGAGGGTGGTGAGGATCTAAATCCTGGGATTCAGCCAGAACTCAGCACTAAGGAACAGTCACCTGCTGCCAAATGAGCCAGAACGCAGGATTCGAGGTGCTGAAACAATGAAGTTCCTGGCAGTGCCTTGCTGAAAAGACAGAACGAGGTGCAGAAGACACAGGAACTAAAGCCAAGACACAGGAATTATAAAGTCATGCAACAAGTGAGCACAGGGCAGGGAGGGAGCCCAGAGCCCCAGCTCTGCTGTGCCCAGCACCACAGAGCTGCAGGGAGAGCACAGACACCAGAGCCATGGCCAGATGAGCCAGACAGCCCTGCACTGCAAACCTTCCATGAACTGGCTCCTCTCTGCCAGTCACCAGGATTCTCCCACCAGCCAAACCCAAAAAGAAGCCTTGCCTTTGTTAAATTTGTTGGACGAGCAAGTGTCTTCTCAAAATAAAAAAGGGTAGCCATGGCAACAACTGTATTTAGGAATAGGAGGGGGGATAGAAACCCCAGCAACAGGCTACAGCTCTGCCATTCAGGCATATTTGGGTGGAAAAAATATAAGCCTGGCTCAGCTGTTGGCTTGAGCCTGTTGTTGCCAAAACTGGGGTTCCCTGAGGCTACCACTGTCAGCTTATTCTCTGAAGAACCAGCCCCTCTCTCCAAGAGGAGCATGAGATGCTGACACACCAGAAAGGAATGTGGGTTAACTTCTGCCCTGCTGATCTTTGCATCTCCCAAACCCAGGATGCAGGTGGAAATTGTGGCTGGGACTGAGCAACACATGAGGTGTTTGACTGCCTGATAGAAGGAATGGAAACAAGCCATAATAGCAGTGAACCAAAACACACACTAGATCCCTTTCCAAGACGGGTTTTTTAAAGCATGTTTCCTGGAGAGGAACACACCACACTCTGCTCTGGCTGTTTACAAACAGAAATACACAGCCCTGGGCTCAAGCAGCCCTTGGAGGATGTTGCATTTGCATCACAACACTGCACACAGAACCACCAGAGGAGATTTAACCCTGAAAGACATAAACGTCGAGTCACAGATCTGCAGAATTCCTGAGCACTACAGGCTCTGGAAACAGTATCACTGGATGGGTCCACCGAGGTCACGATGGATACCCTGTATTTGATTTAAGCCTGAGGAAGAGCTCTAACATAAACACTGCGATCTAAACCGACTTGTTAGACAAAAAAAAAAGGGTTAAATGCATCTCCTGACCTTGAGTGGAACCACAGCAAACAATATTTTGTGCACATAAAATTCATTCCGTGGGCACCCAGACCCGGCCTGCCCTCCAGCACTGCACCCCCAACTGCTGGCTCCCCAGAGTGGATTCCCACCAAACCTCTCCACAGGGAGCTCAGCAAATCCCTCTGGAGACTTCAAATCTAGTGACAGCTGCTGGAAACGTCGCTCTGGCAGATGCACTAAGGCTGGGATGACAGACTAGACAAAGGAGGTAAGAGTTCAGGGATGGAGTAACGTGTGTCCTCAGCCTTCCCTGCCGAGACCTCCCCGTGGGCTAAAGTGCCATTTTCCCACAGTTAGGCAGTTATGGAAGGAGGACAACTGAGGAGAGAAAGGGGGAGGAGGAATACGCACACTGTGTTCGCCTTCCGGTCCCCGGCAGCTCTTGCCAGAGGAGCCCAGTGCTGGTCAGCGGGCTCAGAAAAGCCAATTCTTACTCCTCCTCCTCCTCCTTCTCCCCCCTTTTTAGGGAGCTGTGTGCCGCGGCATCCTTCAGCCCCAAGCATGCCGGCAAGACCTTTCTAGTCACGGATCAGCCTCTTGAGAAGAAGGTGGGCTTGTTTCCTTGCAATGGGCAGCACAGTGTGACAACAAACTTTACCGAAGGATCCCTTCCCTGTCCCTTCACTTCCCGGACAGACACAGGGTAGAGAGAGGAGCCACATCTCGGAGCCTGCCCAGTCAGCCCCTGCGAGCCCTGTCTGAGCTGGTGCTGCTTCACAGAGGTTTAATTTTTACAGCCAAAGGGGAAAGAAATGGAATAGGCGTGACGCAGCTGAACTCGCCCATCCGACACGCTCCGCTCCCCTCGCTGCGAGCAGCGAGGGGGACTCACGGCTGTTCTAATTCCAGACAGCCACGGGGGGAAGGAAACGGGCACAACACCTTAGAGCTCTTTAAAGCCGAAGGCTGGACATGCCCGAGGCACCCGCTTGTGGCTGGGCAGCAAAGCCAGCGGCAGGTAACGACGGGAGCGAGGGAAGTTCAGGCAGAGTGTGCACACACAGACACGCACACAGGGCAGGTCACTCACCTTGGAGCTGCGCTGACAGCGCTTCCTGCTGCTGTTTGTATTTCTGGGCCAGGGCTTCTGCGTTCCGCACCTTCTGCTGCAAGTGGTTGTAGAGGAAAACTCCGGAGCCCAGGCACGCCACGGTGACCAGGCAGAAGGCGGTCTGCAGGAGCCCCTTCTGCCTCCTGGAGCACATGCCGGTGCCCATGGTGGGGCCGGAGCACAGCGATGCGGCGCTGCCTCGCCGGCGCTGCTAAACCATCTGATTAAATTTGCCCAACAGCCCCTTTCCTCCGCAAATTCGCAGATCCCTCTGGAAGATGCGATGCGAGTCTCGCCTTTCCTCCTTCCCAGCGCTCAGAGCAGCGGGAGAGGCTCCAGCCGCGCTCTATTCCCGGCTGTCCATCGGGGAGCGCCGCAGCTCCCGGCCGGGGTCCGAGCGGAGCGGCCGCGGGAGCATCCTCGGGATGCGGGGACCGGGGGGCGGCCCGGGGGGGCTGCGGGGCGAGGGCAGCCGGCGGAGGGGAGAGAACAGGAGCAGAAGAAGCAGGAGGAGCGGCGGGAGGAGGAGGAAAACTTTTGCTTCCCATGTGCTGCAGCGGCCGGGGGGGCGGGAAGGGGGTACCGCCGCCTTTGGCTCTTCCCACCTCCCCCGCTGGAGCAGCGGCCGGAAAAAATAACCCGGCGGGAGGAGAAGCCCTTGGGCCCCCTCCCCGCGGCTCCCGGGAGGAAGCGGCGGCACCGGGAGCCGGGAGCAGGGCCAGGAAAGCGGCGGCGGTGGCATCCGGGCTGCGGCGGCGGCGAGTCCGCCCTCCGAGGCGGGAGGGGCCGGGGGGGGCCGGGGGGGACCGCAGCGCCCCGAGCCCCTGGGGACACCCAGGGACACCCGTGGGGGACCCGCAGCCCCTGCCCCGGTGGTGCAGGGGGGTCCCACCCGCCTTCCTGCGCGGAGGAAGCGGCATCGCCGCCCCCAGCCCAGCCTTGAGCCCCCGACCTCTCCCACGGGCGTGTATTCCCCTCCCTGATCCAAAGGAGCGGCCACACCCACTGCCGGCACCTGTTGGGAACGGGAGGTGGGTGAGGGACACGGGAGGGCATCCTCACGTGAGTACTTTAAAACCTGCAGGGTTTTAAGAGCTGCGGTTTCTTCTCGCTAAAATACGAGCTGATAAAGGCATGAGAACAGCACAAGGAGAAGGGGGTGAGTGGCTTTTTCTTACAGTCACAGAATGCTTTGAGTCGGAAGGGACCTTAAAACTCACCCTGTTCTACCCCCTGGGACACCTTCGACTATCCCAGGTTGCTCCAAGCCCCAACCAGCCCGGCCTTGGACACTTCCAGGGATGGGGGGATTCCAAGGTCAGCGCTGAATTTTGGGGAGCAGAATGCCAGTCTAAGCGCAGGGCTCCTGCAAGTGAGATTCCTCCTGCAGGAGATTCCTCCAAGACAAAAGGTGCCAGCACAGGAAGTTCAAGCTGCCCATGGAGTGCCAAGGGTGGCACATAAACTGCACTTGGGAGACAGGTCAGGGCTTTCTTTCCTGGGTGGAAGGGCAGTTGTTTGCTTGCAGGAGCGCTGCGCTGGAGTTAGGAGGTTCCACCCAGGAAAGAAAGCCTCATGTGCAGTTGTTGGGCCACTCTTGGCACTCCATGGATAGGCTTTTTGTGCTGGCATCTTCTATCTGGGAGGAACCTTTGTGTTCTTGGCAGCTGAGCCTCTCCCAAGCACCTGCCTTAAAAGTGGGCTGTTCTCTCCTGGCAGAACCCAACCTGCTTTATCAAGGTCTGTGATGCACAAGGTGACTAGATGGTCCCTAAAGGTCCCTTCCAATCCAAACCATTCCATGATTCTGCACTTCATAGCACAGCCAAAGCCTTGCCCATGCTCTGAGCTCAGGTCTATTTAAGACCCCTGTGTTTATGATGCACCAACAGTCTGACTGTTAGGTTGGCTCACCTCTTAGCTCACAAGGATTTTTCCCCTGGAATCCTGCCAAGTTCCATATTTTGGGCATCTGGGGAATAAGCAACAATCATAACAATTCTTCATCAGCAATTCCCCTCTAAGAATCACGTGTGGTTTTATAAATGGCAATCAAATGAGCTTTACAGCACTGCAGGGAATCAGCTGAGTGGCATTTCTGGCACCTTAATGTGTCAATGGGAAACCTGAGGCACAGCAATTCCTGTAAGGTTATGATTTAACCAAAGTAACTTTTTTATGGTGGAGGTTTTTCCCCCCAAAGCCTTTGAAGTGGATTTGAGGTGTCTGCCAGACTCTGGGTGAGACTCAGCCTGCTGGAAATGGGATGATCTGCGTGGTGGTCCTGGCTCTGGGTACAGCTCCCAGAAAACATTACAGACTTTCCTTAATGAATTGACTGATTATTTCAGGGTTACTGCTTAACCCTTCCGTTCAGAATAGCACTGATGGGATGTTCCATGTGGATTTTGTCTCCCATGGATCACCCCCATGTAGGACCAGGGATAACCTGATTCACATCTCTCAGTTCCAGACACTCCACCTACCCTGTATCTGCCAGTCTTCCTGTCCCACTGTGTCTTTACACAAAAGTCCTGGGGGGGTTGTTGGATGCTCCAGCATCTCTTCAGGCTTTTTGTCAGGAGCTGGAATGTCTTTTGTCTGCATCCTGAGGACTGAGCAGGCAGCCCATGGGATGAGGGCTTTGAGTCTCAGTTTTGCCTCTATTCAGCACATTCTTCTTCTTTTTTTTTTTTTTTCTCCTGCTCTCATTAATTAGTTCCTGATGTGCTGGTTGAAACACTGAGAAACACTGGGAATTTCTGAGGCTTTGACAGAGAGGAGTCTGGAAAAGGTTAAAATCCTGAATTAGGGAATGTTTATCTGAGAAAGATTTGATTGACAGAATTTCTGGGATCAAGCACTTTACTCTTCTACACTGCAATAAAGGCAGTTATAGACTTAATTCTGTCTTTCTGCAGCAGATCTAGGGCCAGATGAATTGTACAGCCATGGTTAGAGCCAAAGGCTTTGCTTCTTGTTCGTGCTTTGCCAGTATTTGTGTGATTCAGAGGATTCTTCCTTGTGCAGAGTACAGCAACATCCCACATCCCCACAGGTCTACTGCCACCAGGCACGAGCATTTTTAGGAAGATACAGAGGAGGGAGAACCCTGAGCTAAACAAATGGGCCATAGGTGAGAGAACTCCCTTCAAATCCAACTCGAAATGCTTCGTGCCTCAGGAGATTATCTGATCATCTCCTTTTGCTCCCTCTAATCCAGTGGGTGATCACATCTGATGACAGCTTTAAAATAATAATCTGAGCAGAACAAGCAATTCCCATGGGAAAGCTCTGACTGTACGTGCTTGTAAAGAAAAATGCCACTCTTTCCCCTTGTAGAACAAACCATGAGTATTAACCATCTGTGCAAGTATTGCAGTCCTGGAGAGCTCCATCCTTTTAATGGGAGCTTTGGATTTCATAGCAGGCATTTAATCGGCTGGGGGAGTGTTTTCAGCCAGGTTATGTAAATGCTGTCAAGAAACCATGTGTCTGGAAAAGATGGATGTAAGGAATGTGCTAGCAGGAGGCAGAAGGGAGGTTGGATTGTTTCGGGGTTGCGGTTTCACAGCAGTGTTTTATAAACCTGCCGATCTAACTGGCAACATCCACAACCCTTGGAAATAGGCTGAGCAGGGCATTGTCACCCTACAGACTTGATGGGGCTTGGATGTGCATTCCAGGAAGATCCACTGTGGGAATCCAGTGCATAAATGTGGGAGGGAATAGGCTGAGCAGGAGAGGAGTTTGAGGCAGGAGTCCAGAGAATGAGAAATGGCAGGCACAAATGTTTGAAAGATAAAGTGTTCTCAAGTGGGCATCCGTATGTGCATGAATTTAGAGCACTAGAAGAACCTGCCAGCGCTCCTGGAGGTGCCTGCCCTTTCCCCACACAGACATTCCCAAAAAATTTCTTACAGGGGGCAAAAATGCCCTGGGACAGATCTCATCCCTGTGTCTCCAAGGTGGGAAAGCTGAACCATTCCTTCCTTCCCATAATGAGGAGAGACAGCTTCTAATTAGGATTCATTAGAGCTGCCCCAGGGAGCTGATGGGACCATTTTTCAGGATTCCTTGTTGGAATTATTTTTCGTCTCACTCTCTCCCTGTTGGCTCAGAGCTTTCCATTCTCTTCCCCAGGGCCTAAGGATGTGCTTTGAGTCATCTCAGTGCTCTGCCTAAAAGTGGGGCTATGGGATCTTGGGAACCCTTGGTGCTCTCACAGCCCTGGCAGACCTCGGGGACAAGCACTGAGCAAACTGTGGGCATGGCCACGACACAGGAGAACGGGAACAAGGGAGCAAAATGAGCATAAACCTTGTCTTTTTGACAAGGTTCTAGGGTCAAACTCATCATCTAGAAGAGTACTTGAAACTGGAGTGCAAGGGGAATTATGTTACATCCACAATTAGCAGAAGAGGTCTGGTAATTTTGGCGTGTTACTTGGTACTTGCCTTGAAACATCAGCTCCCAGAGTCAAAGTATTATGAGAGAAACTCATTATTCTTTCAAAAACCAATCTTCATTCCAAGAACTTACAGTGCAGAAAACCTCCACCATGTGAGCTATTGCACCTTAATTCCTTTGGAAAAAGAAAGCATCTTTCCCTTTTAATTCCACCTCATCTTTCACACTTTGGACTGGAAATCTTCCTGTGGAGGATATTTTGCCTTGAGTCCTGAACCGGTCTGTGGTTTGGGTTAGTTTTAATCCAAAGCAGTGAGAATTGGATTCAAAGGGACAAAAACAAACGAGAAGGACCAAAGAACATATTCTGCATGGAAAAGGCACCACAGCACAGCCACAGCCCTGTGACTCCACTGCCTGTTTGCTTTCAGTGTCACTCACGGAGCCATTTAAAGTGAAGCCAATGCCCTTTAAATATGTGCAAAGCCTTTACTGCCTTTCCAAGGAACAGACATTTTTATTAGAGCCAGGGAACATTCCAGCTTCCAAAGGTAATAAAAATGGAGTGTGCCAGAAGACAATAGCAAACTAGTAAGGGGGGGTTTTGCCTCGTTGAACTGAAGGGCCCTGAAGGATTCTGACTCCATGCTCTGCTCAGCCCCGAAGCATCAGCCAGCCAAGTCCAGGGTGGTAGAGGCTCCTCTTCTTCCACTGGATCCTTTTGTCTCCATGTCAGGTTAAAGGCAGAGGTGCCAGGAGAAGTCTTTGCACGTGGTTAACACGGATAAAGCCTCAACTGTTCATTCCAGAGAAGCATTAGTGGAAAAAGGTGGCTGCACTGGAGGGGAGCCAGTGAGGCAGTGGGTGAAGCCCTGCCCACGGCAGAAGAGCTTGGCAGGGCTAATCACAGCCTGCTGGGCTCACCCACAGGTATGAGCCTTCCTCATATCCAAGGGTGAAGGAATTTATCTCCAGGAGCTCAGTTTCCTTCTCTTCCTCGTGGGCTCTGTTCTGCCTGGAGAGAAATTGTGCCACAGGGAGAACACCGGCACTCACACTGAAGTTTTTCTTCCTGCATGACCACTGAGCTTTGTGAAGTCCAGTGTTACTATTCAATGAATAACATCTGCTCAAACTCCCCATGTTCAACTCACCTGCTGTAACACGGGCTGGGAAGGACTCCAGACATGAGTATGACCAAGACAGCACATCATTCTGCAATTCTTTCCAGCACCTCTGTGTTGCTGGGCTTTATTTCTACCTTTTCATGAAGTAACCCAGCAAGGCACTACTCTACACACCACAAAACGTTGCTCCCTGCATTTATCTTGAAATATATATTCCAGGAAGTCTGCATCAGCCACAGGATTCTGGATCACCTGTGCCTGGAAGTACAGACATTTTTTCCTTGCTGTGGGTGATTTGTCACTGTGTTCTTGCGGGGGAATTGCTGGGAAAAGCAGAGAACCTTTTAATTGTATTCCCATGTGAGTGGTTGGCTCAGCCAAGGCCGAGCAGGGAGAACACTTCTCAGAGAAAGAGGTGATGGTGGGAGGAGAAACCCTCAGCATGGAGCTGACACAGAACACTCAGCAGCGGATCTGCGTGTTCTGCTTCCTCCTCCAGGATTTTCTGCTCTGCCATGTGGCATCCTGGGGTGACACAGGGATGTGAATTCCTCATGATCTCACTGCAGTGTTTTTCTGGGGGAAGCTTCGTGCCTGCACAAGCGTTCCCTTGGAATGAGCCAGCCTCCTCAGTTGGACACAGGGCTGCTTTGTTTCACTTCGGGTTTGGTTTTGTGCTATTCAGAGAAATGCGTGATACATCGAGCTGGAAAGATCATTTATGAGCAACTTCAGCTGCCATCCCTGCTTGTGAGGTGTCAGCCAGGGGGATTTCAGGCTGGTTTTTAACACCCCCATAAGCCAAGAGCTGAAGTCATCTCTGCTTTGTCACTGTGTGTTAACTGTAGCCATCGACAGATTTATGGTGAGATTTTATATACTGCTTAATCATTGCTGATTTTAAATAGAATAGACTTTCCTGAATCATGTACTTGGTTCTGCAGATTTCATTCAGCATTTTTTCTGCACACAGATAAGGGGAACACAGTCTAAATGTATTTACCACAGAGATGTTGAGTCTGAGGTCTGCAAACATCTGTTTTGCAGAACAAGAGGATCTCATCTACCACTCAGACTATCTGGGAATCCTCCTAAGGTCTTCAGGAGCCTCCTTCCAGGTGTACACCTACATCCATGGCAGAGAAGGGACATGTTTAATAGTAAGACTTCAACAGAGAGAACAACATGGAGCTATAAAAATGGAAATCAGCTCCTGTTCTATAGCAACCTGTCAGAAATTCTCTCCGTGGCCAACAATCAAGTTGACAACAAGCTAATTACAGAGAGGCCTCTGAATACAAGAAGTTGTTACCTGCCTGTATTTCCAGCTCTGCATGTCTGATCAGCCCAGAAGTGTTTGAGCACATTGTTCATTTGCCCCCCTGCACACATACCAGAGGCTGTATTTAGAGCTAAAATCTGCAGAAGTGCCTGTGGCTCTCAGATCCTGTGGCTGGAGGCACAGGCAGACAATTTGGCTTGCAGGCCCTCAGCTCCTGCACAAAAATGCACGTCCTGGCCAGCGCTGCCTGCAAAGTCAACCTCAAGGAGCACAAACTCTGCTTCTTACATAACACCAAATAATGAACCTTGTGCAAAGGGACTCGCCCAGCCCTCTTCATGTCATTTAGACAGGAAAAAAGCCCCTCTAGGGCAAAGTAATTCAAGCCCCTCTTCTCCAGATGATGAGTTGATGGTTAGTGCTCTGCCTGTTAGGTTCAGTCCTTCAGTGCACTGACAAACACCCCGAGGAACGAGGCACAGGACAGTTCTGCTGATATTCCAGCTTTTTCTCCAGGAGACACTGCCAGTTACTCCCCTCTTTCTCTGCTCTTTTTTTATTTACCATTGGCATGTCCTCCCTACCTCCAGTTCAGCACAAAGGGACACTGCAGTGTCTCACCTTCCCCGCTGCAGTTTCCTCCCACCAGATTTCACATCTGGGGTGTGGATAGAAAAGAGTGAGGTGAGCCCTTGGAATCTCCTTCCCTGGGCACCACAGGGACAGTCAGGAGCGGGGACTGGGCTCTGGCAGGGGAATGAGGGGATGACCAGCATTGCAATGTCTCCTTCCCCAACAGTCCTGCAGCAAAGATGGGATGTCCCTTCTGAGACCCTCCCAGAGCACCAGGATTTCATGGTCCAGGTTTTCAGCTGCTGCAGGAGCTGCTGTTTGCAGAGATCTCCAACCCTGGCTGTGCAAGGGGCTCGGGGTTCACTGAGGACTGGAAGGGTGGGGCTGTGGGGGGCGGGTTTACTTTTAAAAATGAACTCGGTTTTAAGACAGGACCTGGCGACATTTACAGCACAAGCACTACTCATAAAATGGGGTTGTGTGCACGGTGCAGCCAGGGAGGCACAAGGACCTAATTCCCCTTGGTGCAGGGAGGAACGAAGCCAAACATTAATTACAGAACTTGACCTCAGGTACATGGGTAAGTTGCTTGAAACACTGCAGGAGCAGGGGGAAAAAAGGAGGATTAGTTTCCTTGTCTACTCTGGGGCTGGGACCAAGTTCAGCTCTGGTGTAATCCCACTGATTTTAGTGCAGTCACACTTGGGATCACTTTGGGATTTTGAAGGATACTGCACTCACAGGCTTCCCCAAGCATTAGCATTCCGAGGTGGTAGAAATTCATCCCATAATACAGTGCTGAGAATTTTAAAATAATAAAGAAGCCAAGATGCCTGCTGTCACCATTGCCAGCTAATTATAGCAGCACGGACAGGCTTCCCTTGCAGAATTCCATATGCTGTATTCCTGAGGCACAATAAATACACCATATTAAAGAGGGGCAGGCTGAGAAGGCATTTCTGATTTTAAAATCCTTTAACCATGGAGTTAGAAACAGATGAAGTCATTGAATGGAAATTTGCCTATTACTTTTTTTTTTTTTATATATAGCTTTTTTCTGAACCCTCTAAATGTGCTTCAGTGGAAGTGGGCAGAGGGCAGGGGGAGAACTTGATATTTAGCAATTTATTAGGAGTTTCCTTACTAGATTTCTGCACTCAACCCTGGGCTTTAGGCACAGCCATCCCAGAATTCAGCCAATCTTCCACCTGGCACTACCTGGACACGCAGCAAAGGCCAGAAGTCTGGAGGAAACAGATTGATCCAGTTTTCCTGTTTTTCAGTGATGCTGAGCATTGGATGGATCCTGTCTTAGATATTGTCTGGAGCAGCCATGGTGGGAAGAGGGGACTCCAAATTCACTTCAAACAGCAGAACTGCTGGCACAGGTGATTATCTCACACAGGGAGGTTCTCTATCATCCCCACCTGCTACAACTGCTCTTAATTGTTCTTCTTGGTACATTTTGCAGTTGTTTTACAGTGCTAAAAACTGTTGGAAACAAATAAAGAGGAATTTCCCTTGGGTTTGGATTCTATTAAGCCCTGCTTCCATTTGCTTTAGAGGAGAGACCTAAATCTGAATTTAGGTCTGAATTGCTGAATTCAGTCTGAACTGAATTTCCTCAAAATTAATTCCCAAAGCTGGGCACTGGATGTAGGTCACTCTCCTTTGTTCTGAGACTCAGCTGAGCTATAAATACCACTCATTTTTTGCTAAAAAGTGGAAGCACACACATCCCTGCTGTTCTATCCAGGTCAGTGCCTCTGAAGGCAGTGCCACAAGGTGTAACTGTGTAACATCCGTGCGGGATCCAGGCAAAGCTGCTGCTTCCAGGCTCTGCTTTCAAGGAGAGAATTCTCTGGACCAGTTTTTCCACATAAAAATTCCTGTATTAAGCACGCAAAACAGCACTGCAGGATGCAGTTCTTGGGGAAAGTGTCCTTCTATACATGACCCAAAGACACATTTTGGACAACATTTTTTTTTTCCATGTACAGTTCAAAGAACATCATCTGTTCCTGCTGCTGGTGTTGCCATCACACAGGGGCCAACCTTGGCGGCCCAAGTTCTCCATGTGCCGTGTCAGGAAGCTGCAAAATGTCAAGGAGGCTTCCTTTGGGGAAAAAAAAGGCAGGTTAACAGGGCTAAATTCACATGGCCTGGCTGACCCTGGAGTGGCCGATAGAAGGTGCTTAACAAGAAGCCTAAGAACTAGTCGGTGGATATTTCTGTGTAACAGCGGCATCCAGTGGGCAAAGAAGGATTCCTGGTAATGCCTTTGAAAAACCAGGATAGGGCCACGTAAGAGTAGAGGTTTCTCTCCCATATCCAGGGCTGTGCAACTCCAGCCCGTTGCAGCAAAACATCACAATGTCCGAGTTTTCCCTCACGCCCAACCTGAGTTTTCATTGCTGCATTTTAACCTATTAATTTTGGGCTGCTGATGCCTGAGAAAGTGCCTTCACAAGCAGTCTAACGCTTTTTTTTTTTTTTTTTTTTTTTTGAGATTAGCTGGACAAAAAAAACCAAAAGGAACAACCTGACACGACTCAGAGCCTGGAGTGTGCAAGTTCACGTTTACAACAGGGGCCAACAGAAGGAAGGCCTAAGTTATCTCTGTATTTATTGAGTGAGCCCAAAAGCAGGTGCTCCAGATGTGAATGGATCTTGTCAGACAACTGATGTTGGCTGCACTCACCTGTCTCCAATGTCTTGCTATATTTACACTAACATAAATCCACCTGGACAAAAGCAAGCTGAGGGAGGGAGCACCAGTGCATGCTCAGATCCACTTATCACCTTCCTAAATCCTTCCCAGCACTCAGTCTTCACCTCCTGGCCAAAGGGTGGCCTAAAATGCAGTTGTGGTCAGGGCCAAGGCAGATCAATTCATCATTTCACATGTTCACAGTCAGCCCAACGTGTGTTTACCTGGCCTGGCCAACATCGCTTTTACGCAACACAGAGGACGAGGGACACCGAGTCCTCCTGCTTGGCTTTATCAAATGGCAGTGACAAGCTTGGGTTTGGACAGGTCCTTTGTACCCTGCAGGCATCAAACTTACAGGAACAGCTACTGTGCTGTGGCACTGTCTCAGAAATTTGCCCTCTTCACTCTCCATTAGCTCCAGGCAACGCTGCTGCCTGATGTCTCTGTTTCCTCTGAGTTTTAGGGCTCTGATAGTGTTCCTGATGGGCAGGATGGGATGGCATATGTGATTTTTCTTTATGACCTTACTGCCATATTCCTGTTGTGATTGCAGGGTGTTACACTGGCAAGGTCTTACCTTACTTAGCCAGCATGTTTTCAAGGTGTCTCTGACCTCAGCAGGGGTACAGTCAGTTGACTCCTATCCCAGACAGGAGAGGTTTACATGGACACTGTCATCAGTATCGTCATCAGAGACGTGACACAAACTTGTAAATTGCCTCTGAAAGTCAATATAAACACAGTAGTAATTGTGCTTTTGGGTTCAAGGACAGGCTAGAGGGAGCTCTGAGCAATCTGGTCTAGTGGAAGGTGTCCCTGCCCATAGCAGGGGGTGGAACTGGATGATCTTTAAGGTCCCTTCCAACCCAAAGCATTCCATGATTCTACAGTCCAGGTGTTCAGATTCCTGTGTGGTGGCACTTAATCTCATCCAGGCAGAAGGCTGGGGGCAGGCAGTGGGAAGAGGATTTCAAAGCCCTCCTGGCCACCTGCCAAACAAGGACACAAATCTCCCTTAGAGTTCACACACTCATGGAATGGTTTGGGTTGGAAGGGACCTTAAAGATCATCCAGTTCCACCCCCTGCTATGGGCACGGACACCTTCCACTATGCCAGGTTGCTCCAACCTGGCCTTGGACATTTCTAGGGATGGGGCAGCCACAGCTTCTCTGGGCAACCCGTGCCAGGGCCTCCCCACCCTCACAGCCAAGAATTCCTTCCTGATATCCAATTCTCCTAACATCCAATTTTCCTAACGTCCTATTCCTTCCTTCCTTTCCTAATACCCCACTTCCTTCCTAATACCCCATTCCCTCCTTAACATCCAGCCTAAACCCGCTCCCTTTCGCCTCGAGCCCACCAAACCCACTACCTACCGGACTAAGCCATCCTAAAACCTCCCCAAAGAGACCCGCAAACCCTCGTTTCGCTCACACACACACACACACACACACACACACACACACACACACAGCGCGGTTCGCGCATCCCTCCCGGGGCCGCTCCTGCATCCCGGGAGCATCCTGCATCCCACCCCCCCCCCGCATCCTCCGCCGAGCCGGGCGGTGCCCGCGGCTCCCCGGGGGCTCCCGGGAGTTGTAGTCGGCGGTGCCCGGAGCTGGTCGGGGAGGAACTACGGCTCCCGTCGTGCCGCCGGAGGGCGGGCGGGCGGAGCGGGCGGGGCGGCCCCGGGGTCGAGCGGCGCCGCTGCGGCAGCAGCTCCGCGGGGCCACGGCCCGGCCGCTTCCCGGCGCTTCGGCGGGGCTTGGGAGGAGCCCCTGGGTGCCGCCGAGGGTGCCCCTGGGTGCTGCCGGGGGTGCCGGTGCCCAGCTCGCTGCCGGGGGGTCCCGGGGGGCTCAGCCCGCCCCGCGCTCCCGTGCTGTGCCACCTGAGCCCCGCCGCTCTCCCCCCGCCCGGGCCGCGCTGGAGCAGCTGCTGCTGCTCCGAGGATGAAGGAGGGAAGGAAGGCAGGGAAGCCGCTGGATAAGGGCTCTCGGGATCCTCCGCTCTCCCCGCGCTCTCGGGTAGGTGCGCGGTTTTCCCCCCGGTTTCCCCGCTGGGTTAAGCCGGGATCGGCGCTGCCCTTGCCGCCTTTAGGCGGGGCTGGGGCCGCCGGTGGGGCGAGTCCGCTGGCTCCTGCTCCATTTTCCTTTCTCCTGGCTGCCCTGGGGGATGTGAGCACACATCCTGCTCCCGAACAGGTACTGCAGGTAAGTCCTCGCTTGCCAAGGTGAGACCTGAAAGGCGGGCGGGGGTTCCTCGGGGGCGTTTCGTGTCCCTGCGGCTGTGCCGGCTCGAACTCGGCGCTGAAGCACATGTGGCTTTTTCTTCCCCCCCTCCCGTGTTTCCGTGATATTTGCGATCTTCCTGATCTGGCAAGAGGCATGGAAGCAAGGGCCGGACTTAACCCCGGAGAAGTTGGTACAGCTGCACTGGAAGCACTAAATGTGTTTGCTCTGATTTCCCTGCAGGCGCTCGGCTGCAGAATTACTTTCTGAATGTAACAAATTCCAATTTCTACGTCGCTGAGAAACAAGTGAGCTCTGGCTCACCTTCATGGAGGTCACTTGAGCTTGGCTTTACTGCTCAACCTTCTCTCTTTTTGGCTAAGAGCCTTATTACATCCTCTGCACTCCTCTGTTGCTATAGCAGGAGTTTATTTGGCTCGAATGAGATACCATTTTTATTTCTTCTCTCTTTAGTAGCTCCTTGGTCTCCTAAAACTGCTTCCTATGACGAATGATGCAGTTGTTCATCCTTCTAGGACCTTCCTCTGTACTTGATTACCTGTTGAATTTTTCATTCATGGTTTCAGAGTATAGATGAGTGAATTGCCAAAGGATGCAGTTACTGCAAATAACCCACATTACCCACATTGTTATGGGTGGAATGATGCTGTGTGACATGTTGATAATGGAAATTGGAAAGGGAAAGCTTCAGTAGCTTTGGCAGAGCTAGAGAAGGTCTTGCTGTTTTTTGAGCTTCGCTTTCTGCTCCAAGTTGTAGCTGTTTAGATTTGAGTCTGGAGCAGATAACTTCTGTTGGGCAGGTGATGGTTCCCTTCAAGAAGGTCTTTTTCAACTAACAGGCCAGTAGATGGGGTGTCCCAGCTCTACCACTGGTGTATTTTCAGTACCTTATGCCTGTTTTCTGTACTGATCTCATCTGTTTCTGTGGTGGAAGGATGTAAATTCCTTTAGGACCGAAGTGTGGCTGCAGCATATTAACAGTTTCTCTTTTTTAGGCTTCACAAAGGTAAATGTGTTTGCAATCCCTTCCTCTTTGCACAGCACAGCTCTCTGAGTCACTGACACGAGGAGAATCTTCATACTTGTGTGATATTTGGCTTGGCTCAATTCTCTGCTTATTCTGATATTGCTGTATAGCATCATATGTTTTGACATTTATTTTGAGTGCATGTTTGGAGCTCCGTGGCTGTGAAAATCCTGTGCCAAATTCGTCAATAAAGAATCTGCTATTTTCCTGCTTTGGTCTGCAGTGGCCACTGATCCAGTGCTGGGATTGTCTGGAAGAGCTGGGAGGCCATGCACAGCCCCTTGCCACTGAAACTTGGACAAATGTCTTGGAAAACCTGTGGAAGTGCTGCAAGTGTGGTGGTTGCAGTTGTCTCCTTCCATTTTTACGTGGAGAGGGGGGTGTCCATGGCCTTCTAAGCTGCCTTGATGAAGAAGTGGGTGGCTACAGACCCCCATGGGCTGCTCAGAGAGCAGTTGTCTCTGGAACAAGCTTGTCTTGTGCCTTGTGTTTGTGTACCAGTAGTAGTATCAGCAGTCCTGGTTGCTCACAGAGCCCAGTCCTGGTCTCTCTGAAGTTGAAGGCTTTCTCCAGCCTCGTTCAGCTCTCTGAGGTCGTGTTGTCCCTGCCTGTTCCCATCAAATCCGTTTGCCTTGCTCATCATCTCTGCTGCAGAACTGCTCCTGGGCTCTGGCAGGACTCAGGGATGAATGTCACCGTACCTCTCACAGCAGCACTGATCATGCCCTTTCATTTTCAGTTGCTGTTTTCCAGGGATCCAGGAATAGAAGGGAAAGTCCTGGGAGCAGACAATTTGAGTTCTGGTTGTTTTGCAAGGATTCTCTACATTCATGGCTTATCAAGGTCATTTTTGGAGGGGCCAAAGTGTTGTAATACAGTGTGCTCAGAGGGCAACCAGCACACTTTTCAATACACTCTCACTAAAAGCTCAGATGGGAGAGAGATCATTGGATACTCTTCTCTTCTTGAGCAAAGAGAAAGTGGAGTTTCTTATTTCTTGGGAGACTTACAGGATTTAAATATTTCTTTTCTCTCTGTGATGAGAGTTGTGGTGGTGGTTGAAATTTCCAGGAACACAGAAGTAGTCTGCCAGCACTTAGACTGGAAAACCAGTGAAGTTACGTGTGTGTGAGCAGGAGAGTCAATGGCTTGATCTTACTCATCCACATTCCCTGCTGTGACCCCAAGGAATGCAGGGATGCATCCTGGATCATGGGTTTGTACTTCCTTTTTTCCTGTGACTAGTGTGGGCCAGGCTGTGGAGAACAGGACTTGGAGCTGGGATATGTGAGCTTCGTTCCTGGCTCTGCCACCAGTTCCATGGAGAACTGGGGCTCCATTTCCCCTCTGCAGAGTGTTCCTGTGTTCTTTAAAATGCTCAGAGCAAAAAGATGGCATCTGTAATTGTAAAATGCACAAACTTGTGAGTTGTGTACGTGCTGACCCTCAAACCTTCGCTGAGTCCCAGGGAGGGAAGCAACAGCTACTGCTCAATTCCTTCTGCTCCTACGCAGCCAACGTCTCTCTGGCCAAAGGCATGTCAGGGTAGATTAGACTTAAACCTTTTGATCTGCTTTCAGAGCACAGAAAGGGCAAGTTCCAGGCTGGAAACGGGCAGGAGTGCAGTGTTGCCCCTTCTGAAAGCCTGCAGGGGATCTGAAGTCAGTCGGATGAGCTCCAGGGGCTCATCGGAGGTCCGGCAGGTTTTATGCTCAGCTCGCTCTGTACCAGTCTGAAGTAACTGCTTTTCATCTGGAAAAGCTGGAGGATGTTGTGTTTGTTCCTAACTCAGAGGATTTGTAATCCTATTGTACCTCCACTGCTGAGGGCACCAGGCTCTAAACCCCTCTGAGCAGCCCCAGCACTGCCTTTTCTCAGCCCACTGTTCAACCACCTCCCTTCTTGCAGGACTTCAGAATTAATTCCTCTTGATTTTTCCACTCCTGCAGTAAGTTAGTCTTTTGATTTTTGCACGACCTGTGGGGACACTTCCTGCCTTTCTGGGCAGACAGGGCAGTTGTGGGATTAGATTGGAGGTTCATGAACTTTGAAGTGATTTAAGTCGGGTTTTAAGGGTAAATAGGAGTTGATAGCTGGTGTGAGAGAGCTGCAGACCTGAGCCTTACCAGGGCTCCACACCATCAGCTCTGGGCCAGATGGTCTTGCCTCTGAGAAATACATTAGAGCAATGTCAAGTAAGAGCACAGTTGAAATCCGCTGCCAAGACAGATTTCTCACTGTTGGAATATGTTTCTGTCTGATCCTCTATTTCTAGATGATTGAAAATAGTTCTGGAAGGGATTTTGCTGAGGCCACCTAGTCCATCCTTTTCCACAAGGCATGATAAATACACTGAAACCCTTCCTGAAGGGTCTGTTAAGCTTGTTCTTTAAGTAATGGAGATGTTCTAGCTGCCCTGGATGACTTGTATTTGACTTTATTAAGCTATTTTTTAATATATTATGGCTTTTGTCAGTGTTCTGAGCACAGAAAGACCTGCAAGGGATGCAGGTGGTTGAGTATTGACCTCTTAATGCCAAGGGTCAGAAAATTGATGGTGGTTCTTGGCAGGAGATGGGATGCAATACTACTGGATTTTTGTTTTCCTTCTGCCACAGGGATCTTCCATGGGAAAGTTAAAATACCATTCTCCCATTTTTTTCTGTGTAAAGTGAAAACTTAGCAAATAATGTTGTTTGGTTTTGTTTTTTTTTTTCCTTAAACAACATTACCTAGTGGTCGTGTGTGTGGGCAGGGAGGGGTGTGTGTGTGTGTGTGTTTGTTTGTACTGTAATGCAATGTAAATTTAACTCTGAAATCCGCTCTTGAGGAAAAAAGTGGATTCTCATCAGCCCCAGCTACTGAGCTTTTCTGGGCTGGAGGCAACAATCTGCAAACTGTCGGGTCCAATTAAAGCAAATGGCTGGAGCTGTTTTTTCTCCCTCCTGGAGAGAACACAGTTCATCAAAAGCCAGAAGGAAATTTCATCGGGCTCATGAGCAATTATCTCGTGGGATGTAATAAGAGACATCCACTAGATGCCCAGTGTGAACTTTCACTTATAATCACTTTTAATTCTCCAGTGGGCAGATGAGCACTGATCTCAGCAATCTGAAGCCTGAAGTTGTTGTGTTCGATAGAAGCTGGTAGGGGGAACTTGTTCTTCTGTAGGGTTTGACTTAGAAATCTGAATTTTGAACGTCCCTGACCTGGCAAAAGATATTCTGCCTTTTTGTGTGTGGTGGGTTGACCCTGGTGGGCAGCTGAGCTCCACAGAGCTGCTTCCTCACTTCCACCCCCCCAGGATAGGGAAGGGGCTGCAGGGGTCAGGTTGAGAAAGCAGGATTTCATTAGGTACAAGGGTTGCTTTGGAAGGCGAAGACTGACTCCAAACATCCCCCCCCTTCCTATTTCTTCCCCATTTTTTATTCCTGAGCACCATGTCGTGGTGGCTATCCCTTTGGTCACTTGGGGTCAGCTGTCCTGGCTCTGTTCCCTCCCAAATTCCTGTGCTCCCTCAGCCCCTCACTGGCAGGGCAGTGTGAGGAACAGGAAAGGCTTTGGTGCTGTGTGAGCTCTGTTCAGCACCAGCTAAAACACCCCTGTGTTACCAACCCTGGGTTGGTCCCAAATCCAAACCAGAGCACCATCCAAGCTGCTGTGAAGAGAATGAAGTCCACCCCAGCCCAAACCAGTGCTCTGTGGTGTACCACAACCTCTCCTGGTGGAAGCCCGTGACAGATGTTTATTTTTGTCTTGCTGGTGGTGTTTCCCAAAGGTAATGTTTGCTTTTTTTATGGTTTAAAGCAAATATTGACCATTGTGCAATCCAGTGAATTTCCTGGTCTGGTCCATGGGTTAGCAGGGAGCTGGTTCATGAAAAGTCCTGTGCTCCTGGGGGATCGTGTGCCTCGGACTGGCACTTTCTTTTTAGCTGATGTTGTTACTCGTGGCTGACAGAAATCCCTTTTTGGTCCATGGAGCTTGGTGACAAAACCAGTTTGGACTGAGGCTGTGCAGATTAGGGTTCAGTTTTTGAAGCAGGTTCACTTTTCTGGGTCTGTTGTCATCGCAGGGGGGTTGAAGTTTGAGCAAAGTGAGAACTGGAGGTTCAAGGCCAGCTCAGTTCAGTTGGCTTTGTGTCCTCTGCAGCTGTTGGGTCCTGCCATACTCGTCCATAATGAACCCAAAATGTAAGATAGGCAACTTCTCTATAACTTCTTCCATTTTTAGGATCTATTCTGAGCTTGTTTGCCATTTTTCAGGAAAACAGAATGCTGGGATCAAGCTTCTCAGAAAGGTTTGCCCGAAACTACCAGTCCTGAGTATTAATAAATTTGCTGGTGCTTCCTTTAGGCCTCCATCCTTTAACAAGGTGAAAGAATAGCTGGTAAAGCAGCGTGATAACCTCTGAAACATTGCTGCTACAGCTTGCAAGGGAAGGGAACGTTCCCCTCTCACCATAACAACTCGGGTGCTAGAACACAATCGGTGTAAATGGAATGTGAAATTCAGTGTAGGCAAAACAGATCAATGGGCTGGCATTTGCAGAGGACAAGTGTTGATTGCAGAGATAAAATGCTCTCGGTGGGACTCTGAGCAGAGTGCCTGGCTTGGTATTTTTAGCTGTTTCCTCCCTCTGTGTGCCAGTGTTTGAGGATGTTGGGATGTGTCCCTGACGCTGGAATGACAAGATATTAATCCCCGAGCAAAGGCGTATTAATCACCTGCTTTATTCTGTTTATGTAATGCAGTTAAATATACTTGGGGAGCAGGTGAGGTTTGGGGCATGGAAATTATTTAACCTCACGGGCTTTTTTGGTTTTTTTTGATTGATTGATTTTACTGGTGGCAGCTGCCCCATTTCTGATTCTCCCCTCCCCCCGTTTTTCAGCTGAGACTAATTTATCAGGAGAATGGCTTCGTTTATCTGCTGTTGATATTTAAGCCACAAAAACATCATCTGCTCTTCTCTCTCCCTCCCCTGTGCCGGAGATGGCATTTTGCAAAATTTAGACTAAACAGAATTCCTGACTGCACATGGGAAAGGGAAGGAAAGGATCACTGAGGTCTCGTGGCTCTGCAGTGGAATATCACAGGATCTCAGAAGGATTTGGGTTGGAAGGGACCTTAAAGGTCATCCAGTCCCACCCACTGCCATGGACAGGGACACCTTCCACTAGACCAGGTTGTTCCAAGCCCCTTGGACCCTCCAGGAATGGGGCAGCCACAGCTTCTCTGGGCAACCCATGCCAGGGCCTCGGCACTCTCACAAGGAAGAATTTCTTCCCAGTATCCCATCTGAACCTCCTCTCTGTCAGTTTGAAGCCATTCCCACTTGTTCTGTCACTCCAGGCTCTTTTAAATAGCCTATTAAATAATATTAAACTATTCACTTCGGCCAATTCTGCAAATCCCTTTGCTGGGCTGCAGGGGGGTCAGAGTAGACAAGGAAGAGAGATTTACGAGTGGCAGAGCTGGCTGTTGAACTGGTGTGGGTTGTAGGTGAGGTAATAAAATGCCACAGGCTTGGCAAAAGTCTCCAGGGTGGAAACTACTGGAAAATGGAGCTGGGAATGCCAGGGTTCAGCTGTGGTGGGAGGCAGGGAGGGTCTCTCTGGGCTTGGAAGTGCCCAAGGCAGCACACCTGGGTCAGGGCTGGGGAGTTCTGGCCTCACCCGGGAGGTGCAAGGCAGTGTTCGGATGGTGGTGGGTCCAGAAGGGTTGTTTGCTGTGTGTTTTGCTGGTTTCCTGCTCAGTTTTCATTCACTAGTGATTACATTTGTGGGAGTTGTGTGTATCCTTGAGAGCAACTGCACTGCACCCTGTTAGTGAGAGCTCGTGTGTGTTTGCTGTGCTCTCGCTGTGCTGAGGAGAAAGAAAAGGGAAAGGTAAGGCTGAATTTGAGCTTTTTTTTTCATGGATATTAACTTAGGTAATTAACTGAGCAGCTTTGAGCCTTGGGCTCCAAGGGCTATTTGCTGGTTGTTTGCTGTTATTAAAGAATATAAAAGTATTAGTGGGGGAGGTTGGAGATTTCAGGCTCGAGTGAGCTGCTGTGAAGAGACCCTGTAATAGGAGTTCTGCTGCAGCCACCCCCACGTGTGTTCAGAAATGATGTGCAGAAATGAGGGAAGTGTCCAAGTCTGAGCCTGTGCTGCTCTTTTGGAAATTTGCAATTGCCTAGGGAAGCATCCTCTGGATAGGCAAATCTCTGTAGGGTGGAATAATTCACCTGAGAAGACAATTCAAACTGCAAAACGTGTGTAAGGAAGAGAGAAAAAAACCTGCTTTTTTTGTTGTTGTTGTTGGTTTAAGCACTTCCTCTGTTTGCCTTGCTGTTCAAATAATGTGATCACCGAGTTGCATGCACTGATTTTGCCAACTGTTTACACCACTCCTGGGTTCTGTTTGCTCTGTATCCAGAGCAGCAGCAACCTTTGTCTCCTGTGAGATGGATATTGGGTTGTTTCTAGAGCACCTTCTGCCTCTGGAGGAGTTGAACATTGGCAGAAATTTGCCACAGTTATTGCAACTGAAGGTTCTGACGTGTTTTCCCTTTGTCCCAGTAAAGTATTACTGGGATTTCCTAGGAATGGACTCACAGGTATGCCTGGGCTGCTCTTTCCTGTGTCACAGTAGACAAGGTCAGAATGTTACCTCAGGATTCAGAAATATGCTTGTGTCTTATAATGGAGTATTTGTTCATAGTTGCTTTAAATTCCCATGGGGAAACTGATGTTTTCTCTGTGAATCATTTCTGGCAGCTGTACCTATCCTTCCCTGGAATAATTATGACCTAGACAGCATCAAGAGAGGAGTATTTGCTTCAGTGAGTGAAACATTTCCACTTAGGAAGTAAATAATGCTGCTCTGGCAAGGTTCAGCCTGCAAGAGCACTGTAATTCATCTCATAAAGGTTTTGAACAGTCCTTTATTCTTGTTATGCATCTCCCCTGCAGAGCAGATGGGAATGCAGAATGCATTTGGTGCATTCTTGTGTGGAAAATGGAATATTCACATTAGGAAGACGGCCTCGGATCAGCCAGCAAGGGGCTGGTGGGGTCTTTGCAGCCCAGACAACCCCCTTAACTGGAATTCAGCATCACAGGAGCACACTGAGCTAGAGCAGCATCCAGGGGTGGTGGGAAGGGGCACAACGTGGGGGTTTGCCCTGTCTGTAGGTCCCACCTTTCTGGGCCAAGGTTGGTGCTGAGCTCCTGGACTGCTCTGTTCAGGTCACCAGCTGTCACGTGCCAGCCTGCCCCGCTGTTTCCAGGTGGCAAGGGATTATCCTCCTTTGTACTGCAGAGACTTCAGTTTTGTGGGTTTGTGGCACAGCCTGGAATGTTCTTTTGCGACGGACAATTGCTGGAACTGGCACTTCCTTCCTGGAAATGCTGGGAGTTGTGATGGAGCCTGTGCTGTTTCATTCATGCATTCATTCCTGGGGAGAGGAAGAAGAAGGTCCAGTGAAATGGGATAAAACCCTTTAGGCTGGGAAGTGTCACTCTGTCCTCATGTAAGATATCTTGTGGTATTTATTGTTTCCTTCCCTAAGCATGCAATTCCTTTTCCCTCTGTTATTACCTACCCCACCTACCCCCCTGTTCACTCGGACTAAAACAGGAAGGATGGTGGTGGTTGTTTTTAAGGAAAAGGCCTGTAGGAATAACTGAGCTACATTTCTCTTGCACCTTTGCATTGTTGGCTGCTCCCATTTGTTTTCTCAGGCTCTCGACTGGTTCACAGCAGCCTTTAAAAAAAGCAGTTCTGCCTTTTAGTTGAAGGAATAAATAGTCCACTTTAGTCATCTCTGATCCGGAGGAAGAGGGGGATCACACAAATCTCATTAGGCCCTGCAATGCTTTCTGAAAAGGATGTTCTTTGATGATTCCTGCTTTCATAAAGGCAGTAAACACTGGTGCACCTCCAGCTCAGCAATGTTACATCCACCTCCACTGCTCTCAGTGAGAGTCGCCCGAGGCATCTTTTGGTGATGATTAGAAGGAGAGATGACGGGAGGTTCACGAGGACATCTGGGTTTGATGTTGCTCTCGTGTGACAGTTGTCTGGATGTCACAGCCACGCGCGGCAGGAAAAGTCTGAAGCTGCAGAGGTGCTGAAGCTGAGCAGGAATCGGCCTCTCTCTGCACGCCGGGAACATGATTTTGCATCAAGCGACTCCCCCGCACGTTCAGTCGGGGCTCTGGGGCTGGAGGAAGGGCTTATTTTTAGGTTCTTGGTGGTTTCAGTTGCTTTACTGGGTGGGTGGGGGCATCGACAACACGTCACAGGGCCCGGAGCTGCTCCTCTTGCTGTGTCTGAGCACATCCCTGAGCTGGGCCAGGATTGTCACCCTGACACTTGTCACCCCGGGCTGAGCTGCTCTGTGTCGTGGCAGTGGGTGAGGGTTGCTTTTGGCACCTGCACTCTCTGGCCCTTGGCATTCTGTTGGGTCTCAATTTTCAAATTTTTGAGGCAATATTGGATGTTATGGAGGGGGACCCAGCAATATCACAGTAGATTTTTTCCAGGTCCTAAATGTTGAAAGCCACGCTCTTCTTCTCTGTCTTGCTGTTGTGGTAAAGAGAGAAACCAGGGTTTGATGATCTGATTCAATTCAAAATTGAGGATGTGATGCATCTGTGTGGTATTCACCTCATTTACCCATTGCCATGGCAACAGTTGGGAAGGCTATCCCAAGCTTTAACTGATCCCAGCACAAAATCTGCTCTGCTTGTTGCAGGTAAACAATAATAGCCCTTCCCTGTTCCTGCTCATTGATAAATAGCAGGGAAAGACTGAAATTTATCTGACGTTGGCAATGTTTTTAAAAACCGCAGGGAAAACAGACAAACGTTTCTTTCAAGTGCAGTTTTCAAACTTCCTGTATCCCCAAACCGAAACCAAAACTAACTTTGAGGGCAAGTGAAACTCCCCCCTGCAGGGTTAAGGATGAAGTGCAGTGATAAGTGATGAGGTGCACATGAAGGGTCTTCCTGAAAAATAGGTGGGTATTGACTTTTTATTGCTAAAATCACAGGGCTGGTGCTTTCCTGGACAATTATTCCAACTCTCTTTACTGGTTTTTTTTGTTTCTGCTGTCGGTGGCTGTTGCATTTATTCCTGAGTTTGGGGTCAAGGGCTGGTACTGGGGTGTGTAAAGACTCCTTGCCCAGTTCTCTTCCCTCACACACAGAGCTCTGGAATAAGCTTTTGGATGTTAGATTATCTGCCTTGGAAGCCTGGCTAGTTTGTGTATCATTCCCACCTGTGCTAAAGCTGTGAGGATCCCTGTTTTTAATAAAGTACATTTACTCGAATCTTAGCTTTTAAATATTACTTAACTAAAGCAAAACAGTATTTAAATATTTTACAAATAATCCAAATAATTATTTTAAAACAAATATTATTTAAATCATCTTAATATAAATAGTTTAAGTAATTCTTTAAAAATATTACAGTTGAATAAAGTAAATGTGTGTAGTTGGAGGGTCAGGCCTGTCCTGTGCCAGGTCCTTCTGGGAGGGGGGACGTGATGTGCTGGGCGTTACCCACGTGTGGATCCCTGTTTTTAATAAAGTACATTTGCTCGAGTCTTATCTCTTAAATATTACTTAGCTAAAGCAAAACAGTATTTAAATATTTTACAAACAATCCAAATAATTATTTTAAACCGTTCTACTAAAGCAAATATTATTTAAGTTGAATAAAGTAAATGTGTGTAGTTGGTGGGTCAGGCTCCTGTGCCAATATAAATAGTTTATCTTTTAAAAAATTACAGTTCTACTAAAGCAAATATTATTTAAATCGTCTTAATATAAATAGTTTATCTTTAAAAAAATTACAGTTGAATAAAGTAAATGTGTGTAGTTGGTGGGTCAGGCTTGTCCTGTGCCAGGTCGTTCTGGGAGGGGGGGATGTGACATTCTAGGAGAGGGGGGAGGGGGGATGTGATGTTCTGGGAGGGGGGATGTGACATGGGAGGGGGGATGTGACATTCTAGGAGGGGGGATGTCTGGGAGGGGGGATGTGATGTTCTGGGAGGGGGGATGTGACATTCTAGGAGGGGGGATGTGACGTTCTGGAGGGGGAATGTGACGTTCTGGAGGGGGAATGTGACGTTCTGGAGGGGGGATGTGACATTCTGGAGGGGGGATGTGAGGTGCTGGGCGTTACCCACGTGTGCCACGTTGTGTTCCAGGCGTGCTGACCATGCTGCTGCCCGTGCCCGAGCCCCGGCGAGGGGCAGAGCTGTAGGGGTTGCCGAGCACATCCATGGACGTGGAGCCCTGTGCCAGCATGCAGGTGGGCATGCGGGTGGTGCGCGGCGTGGACTGGAAGTGGGGCAGCCAGGACAGCGGCGAGGGCAACGTGGGCACCGTGGTGGAGATCGGCCGCGCCGGCAGCCCCACCACCCCCGACAAGACCGTGGTGGTGCAGTGGGACCAGGGCAACAGGACCAACTACCGCACGGGCTTCCAGGGGGCCTACGACCTGCTGCTCTATGACAACGCCCAGATTGGTGAGTAGGGCGAGGGCAGGGGGGTTATGAGCTCCTACTCCGTGGCAACACCCAAATTTATGAGCATGGCAAGGACAGGGGGCTTAGGAACTCCTGCTCTGTGGCAATACCCAAACTGATGAGTATGGCATGGACAGGGGGCTTAGGAACTCCTGCTCTGACAGCACCCAAATTGATGAGTATGGCAAGGGCAGGGGGGTTATGATCTACTCCGTGGCAACACCCAAATTTATGAGCATGGCAAGGACAGGGGGATTATAATCTCCTCCTTTATGGCAACACCCAAATTTATGAGCATGGCAAGGACAGGGGGATTATGATCTCCTCCTTTATGGCAACACCCAAATTTATGAGCATGGCAAGGACAGGGGGTTATGATCTCCTTTATGGCAACAGCCAAATTGCTGAGTATGGCAAGGACAGGAGGCTTAAGAACTCCTGCTCTATGGCAACACCCAAAATGAGAAGTATGGATGGCAAGGAAAGGGGGATTATGATCTTCTACTCTGTGGCAACACCCAAATTGAGGAGTATGGCAAGAACAGGGGGCTTATGATCTCCTGCTCTACAGCAACACCCAAATTGATGAGTATGGCAAGGACAGGGAGCACAGACCTTGGCAAACCCATCTCCTGCCTTAGTTTGTGTAGCATTTCCCATCTGTGAGGATCCCCGTTCTTAATAAATTGTTTGAATTTTATTTTTAAATATTATTTGACTGAAGCAAATGTGATTTACTTGAAATAAAAGCCTGGCTGGAAGTGTCGGGCGCAGGGACAGGAGTTGGACTCGGTGATCCCCATGGGTCCCTTCCAGCTCAGCACATTCCATCACTGTGTGATTCTAAGGGTCAGCCTTTTGCTCCTGCCTGTGGAGTGAGGCTGAGCAGCAGCAGAGCACACACTGAGCCAGTTCATGGTGAGGGAACTCCTGTTTGCCCCTGTGCAAAGGCTTTTCTTTCCTCCTTTTTCTGAGTTGAACAGTTTTGCTGACTTTGCCTTTGTTGGAGCCTGACCTGACTTTAGGACGCGAGTCCCTCAAGCCAGGAAATGGAGACTTCATATTACAGAACCCCAGAATGTCCTGAGCTGGAAGGGACCCACAAGGATGATCCAGTCCAACCCCTGGCCCTGCACAGACACCCCAACAATCCCACCCTGTCCCTGAGGGTGTTGTCCAAACACTTCTTGAGCTCTGGCAGCCTTGGGGCCGTGCCCGCTGCCCTGGGGAGCCTGGTCAGTGCCCAACCACCCTCTGGGGAAGAACCTTTCACTGATACCCAACCCAACCCTCCCCTGGCACAACTTGAGGCCGTTCCCTGGGGTCCTGTCACTGCCCAGCACAGAGACACATCACACGTGTTGTACATGCACAGGTCACACATATCCCTCACGTTTTATTATTGCATCACCTTCAACACACACACAGTCCATGAGTTTTTCCTTTGAGAAAGGTCCCGAGAGCCTGTTTCTCTGGATTTTGGGTGAATCCCGCACTCCTTTGCCCTTGTGCTCTCCCAGGTGTCCGTCACCCCAACATCATCTGCGACTGCTGCAAGAAGCACGGCATCCGTGGCATGAGGTGGAAGTGCAAGATGTGCTTCGACTACGACCTGTGCACTCAGTGCTACATGAACAACAAACACGACCTGTCCCACTCCTTCGAGCGCTACGAGACGGCACATTCCCAGCCGTGAGTCCTGGCAGCCGGGGGGGGCTTTGGGGGGGCTCCAAAATGGGGTTTGGACCCCCCAGGGGTGTGCAAAACCATCTGCCAAAGTGCAGGGATGATGCACAGCACCTAACTAGTACATGTCTGTATCATTTATATAGAAATAAATGTATTTCTGTATCATTTACATAGAAATAAATTTCTTTCTATACCATTTACATAGAAATAAATTTCTTTCTATACCATTTACATAGAAATAAATTTATTTCTATATCATTTACATAGAAATAAATTTCTTTCTATACCATTTACATAGAAATAAATTTATTTCTATATCATTTACATAGAAATAAATTTATTTCTATATCATTTACGTAGAAATAAATTTGACTCTATATAATTTACATAGAATAAATATGTCTATGTAATTTATATAGAATAAATATTTCTACGTAATTTACGTAGAAATAAGTATTTCTGTGTAATTTATGTAGAAATAAATGTATTTCAGTATAATTTATAGAAATAAATGTATTTCTATGTAATTTACGTAGAAATAAATATTTCTATGTCATTTATGTAGAAATAAATATTTCTGTGTAATTTACGTAGAAATAAATATTTCTGTGTAATTTACGTAGAAATAAATATTTCTGTGTAATTTACGTAGAAAGAAATATTTCTGTGTAATTTACGTAGAAAGAAATATTTCTGTGTAATTTACGTAGAAAGAAATATTTCTGTGTAATTTACGTAGAAATAAATTTGACTCTATATAATTTACATAGAATAAATATGTCTATGTAATTTATATAGAATAAATATTTCTACGTAATTTACGTAGAAATAAATGTATTTCAGTGTAATTTACATAGAAATAAATGTATTTCTGTATCATTTACATAGAAATAAATTTATTTCTATGTAATTTATAGAAATAAATGTATTTCTATGTAATTTACGTAGAAATAAATATTTCCATGTAATTTATGTAGAAATAAATATTTCTACGTAATTTATGTAGAAATAAATGTAATTCTGTATAACTTACATAGAAATAAAAGTATTTCTATATAAATGTAAAATATATTTATATAAAAATGTATCTATATTTATACATAAAACAAAATTCTATATCTAAATGTATGTATGTTTATTTTTACATTTATATAGAAATGTATTTATACATCAAATTAATTTTATATATAAATGGCAGTTTATATTTTATATATTTATATAGAAATGCATTTGTATTTTTATATAAATGCATTTTTATATAAATAAATGGGTATTGGGGAGCGCTCAAAATGTTTTTACTCCTTGGCTTGCATGATCAAAAAGGTTTGGGGACTCTGTCCTACAGAAGAGTGTAAGGCTGGGTTGGGCACTTTTATGAAGCTGCTTGAGAAAAACACAGCAAATAGAAATCAGAATTTTTCTGGGAAGTTTGATTAAGGTGAAAATTAAAAATATTAAAACAGTGGTTTTATTTGCACCTCCTCCAGCGGGCACGAAGATGAATCTTTTAATCCTCTTGCCTTCAGGGGAAGTCACGAGAAATCAGCTTGTGTCTGTCGTTGATTTTTCCTTTTCTTGCCTCCCTTTGAAAATATCCCAGTGCTTCGCATCCGCCCGTGGAATGGAAAGTGTAATTACTGTGCTAAAGGCAGCTGGGGGGGATTTGCAGCTGCTTTTCCTGCCTTATGGGAAGCTCTCCATGGAGTTAATTACCAGAGCTGTGCCGGTGTGGTTGAGCCAGAATTCCAAGTGCAAGCCAAGGGATGGATGTTTGTCCAGAGAATCTCCCCTCTGAGCTCTGGGGCTTGTGTTTATCCACCAGATTAGGATGTTTCTGGAGCTTGTGTTAAATATGGCAAGCCAGGCAGATCCTGCTTGGAAATGAACTCCATGATTTCGTGTATATATAAATATATATATAAAAATAGGCATGTGGGGTTTTTTCTCTTTCTATTAATATTATAATTATCTCCAAGTAGTTACTCAGGGATGCCTGACTGTGTCTTTTCTTTGAGCTGAAGGTACATAATCCTACTCACATTTAAAGAAAAAAGAGAAAAAAAAAAGAAAAGGTAGGCAGCAGTTGCTGTGAGAGGCTGCAGAGCAGCCCAGATTTTCTTCCCTGGGCATGGGATCTCCCAGCCCTGCAGAGCTGAATTCCCTTGGGAACACCCCGATCCAAAGGCAGATTTCTAAGGCAGTTTCTCCCCAGGACTCGGGGAAGGATGTACCGAGGGCAGTTTTTCCTTTCAGGGCTTGTCCCCACCCTGTGCCCAGACTGTGCTACTGGAATTGGGCAGGCTGGAATTGGGCAGCCTGGAATTGGGCAGGCTGGAATTGGGCAGGCTGGAATTGGGCAGGCTGGAATTGGGCAGGCTGGAATTGGGCAGGCTGGAGTTGGGCAGGCTGGAGTTGGGCAGGCTGGAGTTGGGCAGGCTGGAGTTGGGCAGGCTGGAGGCTGGAGTGGGCAGGCCTGGAGTTGGGCAGGCTGGAGTTGGGCAGGCTGGAGTTGGGCAGGCCTGGAGTTGGGCAGGCTGGAGTTGGGCAGGCTGGAGTTGGGCAGGCTGGCAGGCTGGCTGGAGTTGGGCAGGCTGGAGTTGGGCAGGCTGGAGTTGGGCAGGCTGGAGTTGGGCAGGCTGGAGTTGGGCAGCCTGGAGTTGGGCAGGCTGGAGTTGGGCAGGCTGGAGTTGGGCAGCCTGGAGTTGGGCAGCCTGGAGTTGGGCAGCCTGGAGTTGGGCAGCCTGGAGTTGGGCAGCCTGGAGTTGGGCAGCCTGGAGTTGGGCAGCCTGGAGTTGGGCAGCCTGGAGTTGGGCAGCCTGGAATTGGGCAGTTGGGTGGTTGCTGTCAGGGAGAAAAGGGAGCCTGGAGGGTGGCCAGGAAAGCTGCCAGACCCAGTGCTGTCCTGGGTGAGTTGTTTGACTTTCCCAGAGCACTGCAGCGCTGCTCTGGAATGTGCTGGAAGCACTGGAGGACTCTTTGGAGGTAGATGCCCATTGTAGCAAAAATCTGATGGTGCTTTGGTGGCTTTTGGGTTGGGTTGGGTTGGTTTTTTCCTAAATTACTTTGCCTTTTTTTTTTTTTCTGTGAGTGTGGCTCATTTTTTTCCTGTGAATGTGGCTCATTGAGTGGTTTTAGAGAAGATGTGATATGAATTAATTTTATTTGATAAAAAGAAGTCTAGACATGGGCCAGAATGTGACACCCAGTCTTTGTTAAAGTAGCACTATTCTGATTTACATCAGTGTGTTAGCAGGAACAATGACCTTAATGCCAAGCAGCAAAGAAAAAAAAAAGAAGGAAAAAAGGAAAAGGGGTGTGTGTGTGACTTCAGGGACACAGCATGAGCCTGTCAGGTGTGACAGTGGCTTCTGGGAGCCTCAGTAAGGGGTAAGGGTAAAGCAGCAATAGTTGTAATTGGATAATAAAACACCTCTCCTGCTGTTCTGTGTGGCAGGTACTGATTCCAGCTGAGCTTAGGGATGGAGAGGAATTAGAAACCCTCAAGGAAGAAGCTTCCAGCTGTGGGAAGCTGCAATTTTAAAGATGAATGAGGAGTGCATATTGTGGTTCTTAGGAGTCACTCAGCTGTTGGAGGAAACGGGTCAGGAGTGGGTTTTGTTCCAGGCATTTGGCTGAGCTGGATGGCACAGTGCAGTGTGTGTTTTGTGCAGGAGCTTTTGGACAGGGAGCTGGCAAATTGAATTCCCCAGAAATGCCTTTCAGTGCAGGAACAAGGAAGAAGCAGGAACATCTTTGCTTTAATGCAGATGCAGTCCTGTGATTTGTTGCTCTGGTGTTCCGGAGGTTGCTCTGCATTAAGAATTGAATGTCCTCATATAAGAAATAAAAAAAAAAAAAAATAAGTGAAACAAAGGGTCTGGATCACCTTTGAACAATGCCACAGAAAGGATTTCTTTGGAATAAGTGAGGTCTGAGCTGTACAGACACTGCCTCAGGCAGTGCACAGTCCTTTTCAAAGAACAGGAATTGCATGGCTCATGACTCACTGCACTGTTGCTTGGAGCACTCATCTCTCTCTTTTAGTTGTTTGTTTTTTTTTTTTTTTTTGCTAAATAAAGTAGAAGATAAAATCTTTGGCAGTTCCCTCAGGCCCCCCAAAAATCTGTGTGTTTAAAAAAGACACACAGGTAAATGCTGCGTGGGTTTGGGTTTTGTTGTTCAGTGGCTGTGAAATGCAGGATGAGTCTCCTTTGGAGACCAGGGTTGTCCCTCCTCCCTTTCTCTGGCAGGGAATGGGGATCTTTTGGTTCTTCAAAAGGAGCCTCAGGAGTGTGTTGGTCTCAGGATCCAGGCAAAGTGCTGTGATGAGCCCTCTGGAGTGTTAATTAGTCAGAAAGCTGAAAGGGAGTGGATGGAGAGGCTTCCCAACAAGTTTGACAGCATCCCATAGTCTTGGATTTGAAGAACGAAGTTGGGGTTGCTTACACAGTCCTTGGGTTGCCACTGGTGAGATCAAATGTAGGACTGTGGGATGGAGCTCTCACCTCGAGTCTTTCTTGAACCAGAGATGAAGAGCTGGGAGTTTCCAGTCCCTCCAGGCCAACACGTTGCTCCTTGTAGCAGGTCACTAATCCTGGGATTTAGGAGGATTTAACCCCAGACAGACGCTGCAGAGGGTTCCCAATCAGTTTTCCAAAGAGGCTTTGAAGACTCCTTTACCTGAAGGCTATTTCAGGTCTTAAAATGACCTGAGTTTGAACCTCTGGTGGCAGGAAGTACTGTTGGGGTTTTTTTTAAATTTGCTATTAGAGGTAATCTCTTCCTGACCTCTTCCAGTTGTTTTTCTATTTTATTGGTCTTTTTTTGGTTTGAGTTTTGTGGCTGCTGTGGGAGACGCTCTCATCCTTGGCTTAGAAGGATGAACAACTCAGTTTTTCTCAAGAGCTTTTTTTCCAGAGTTGTGTATCCATTTGGTGAATATGTGCTTGGTAATTGGAAGATAAATCAGTGTCTGGGAGCAGGGCAGCAAAGCAAAACTCATCAAGTTTATTTTAGGGCTGCAATAGTCAGGCATGCTCTGATGATTCTGCAAATAATCTACCTCTCATACAAGATATTAGTGTTATTATATCCCAGTGCAAGAGCAGCACTGGAATTTTGCTTGGATCACCTGCTCGAGGATGGGGCTGAGCTGAATTTCAGTGGGGGATGTTTTACCCAGGCTATTTTCTAGGCTTCACTCACCAATAAATCACAACAATTTTTCACAAGTCCTGTTTTTTCTTCCCTGGCCAACAATGGAGTTGGAGGAGCCAGCAAACCACACAGGGAAATATCCTGTGTAATCAAGCATAAGAAATACAAATATTTTCTCACATTGTGTTTTATCCTGTAGTCAAAATAGAGAGTGCAGTTATTTTCAGCCCTAATTCTTAAACCAGCTCTGTCTAGTCTGGTTACCAGCTGGATTTGGAAATCAGATACAGGAACAAGTGCATGCTCTGGTTTGGGTTTGCCAGTGCAGTGCAGACCCATTCAAGGCAGCTTTAATAATCCAACCTTCCATCTGGGGCTGCTTGGACTGTGAGCCTGGACTAATCCAGCAGCTGAGTGACAACTGCTGGGTGTTTGATTACTGGGCAATAAAGGGGATGCAGGTTTATTTACATAGTAACCTCTTCAACATGTGTTATTTATGCAATGGCAGTTTAAGCTGTTGGTCTCAGAAGTTTTGGTGGCTGTTGACTCAAATCTGACTCTTCTGTGATGATGGGTTTGTTTCCTAACCTGTAAAAAAAAATTAATTTCTTAATGTCAAATTATGTATTAATTTGTTCTATCAATGAATTAATATAATTTTACTTTTAAAAAAAATCATTATTTGCCAGATAAAATACCAAACTGTCATGTCATGTCATCATGGCTAGGCTTGCCTCCTTGTGCATTGCAGAACACCATTGCATATCCCCACATTAGGGCTTCCCTTGTTTATTTTGGAACATTCTGTTTGATTTGTAGAGCAGGGGTTGCATTTTAATGACATATTTTATCTTTACCTTTTGTGGAATTACACGATCCAAACTGTAAGCAAAAGAAATCTTCACTAAAACATCCTTAGCCTGTGTTTTGAACTGATAGTCATGTTTAAAGGATGAGGACAAGACATTTATTTCACTTTGTGTGCTCAGGGGTGCTTCTGTGTTGGTCTGAAACCCTGAGTCTGCTCTGAGCTTTGGAGGTCACCCAAAAAAGACTGAGCTTTTAGCCCAGCCCAGACCCGAGTTCTAAAGACACAGCTGGTTTTGTGAAGAACTGCTGCCTTGTCAAGGAAGGACAGGATTGAAAAGGAAGAATCTTGGTAAAGACAGTTCCTGAAATAGGTTTCCGTGATCCTGATCCCTCACCAGCGCCCTTGTCTTAGTCTGGTTCATGCTTGAGCAACCAGCAGCCCCTGCCATCTGTCAGAATTGCCTTCCTTTATCCTCTGCTGGAAGTGCTTCAGGAAAAGCTTTGCTGGGGGGGGGATTAGAGAATCTAGAATTTCTTGCATCGAGCTCAGTTTTATCTGTGGTTTCTGCAAGGTCTTTGTGTTGATTTTCTTGAGTTCACCCTGTGTAGATCTTTGCACATCCTGGAAGGGATGTGGGTTTTGTGTCTGCTGTGGGTTTGTGTCTACCGTGAGCTGAAAGTCTCGTTTGCAGCTGTGCCTTTCTGAAGAGATGAACGTGGTATTTATGGCCCGCTGCCTTTCAGGGTGTCCATCCCTTCTGCTCTCCAGCCCCATGCACTGTGCTTGTCTTTTTGGGATAAGAACTTCCTGCAGTGGAAAAGTCTCTGTCTTGCCAAATACTTCAGCTGTGCCTGGTGTGAAGGGTCTCTGACTCCTGCAGGGTCTCAGGTCATTACTGCAAGTTAAAAGCAATCTGTTTAAACTTCTCCAGGTCAGTTTATTTGGGTCCCACATCTCTCCAAAGCCAGGGTGATGCTGCTGTTGGAGCTGTGTGGAGCAGAGCTCCCAGGGATGTGAAAAGCTGTGTAAGCACCTCGGTGAAACTTGAGCACAGGCAGAATATCCCCAGGGAGTGGTTCCCAGCCTGCTGGAGAGAGACATAACTTCATTCTGTACAGTACACGCTCCCAAGTGTTTTCTGGACTCTACAGTAATTTAATATCGTTGGAATTTGTAGGGCAGAAATGGCTGCAGACTTTGGCTGTCATAATTAACGCCGTTATTAAAGGCAGCATCGCGGTGATTAAATTTATCTCGAGGGTATTTTAGCATCACACGAATAACTTCGGTTGTTACCCAGTGTTTGGAGCAAAACATGTTGAATTAGATTAAAAGCTAAGACACATTGGCTCAGGACATGAGGTTCTTGCATCGTTCCTGGGTGCTGGTCAGCAGGGTGGTTCAAGGCAGGGGCATTGTTTTTGGGAGGGAAGGAAGGTTTTTCTGGTGGGTTGTCTCCAGCAAGAGGTGGAGTTTCCTAACAGTTTTCTTCCTTTCTGAAGTGGTTGGCTTTGTTTTCTTGGTCTCCAGCCACAGATTTCACCGAAAGTGGCGGGTTAACGTGAGGGCTGTTGAGATGGGAAATGACTCCTGTTCTGTGACTACACAAAAAGGGAACTTCTGCTGGGAATAGAATGAGTCGTGGTTGTTTTGCTCTTTAAACATCTTGCTTAAGCTTAGCTCAGTGCTTTATTTTACTATCACTGAGGATCTTTGCATTGAAAGCTCCCTTGAGAGAGTAGGGTTTGCAGGAGAGAAGTATATTTTTATCACTCAGTCAGGGCTTGACTGAGAGATCTTTGATGAATTGTTAGAAAAACATGCAACAAAATACAGTGAAAACAGTGTTGTAGCTGAGCTGTTTCAGACACAGTGTCCAAATCCATGCTGGTTTTTGAAGCTGGTCTCTAGTGCCTGACACAGAGCAGTAAAATGAATGCTGATCAGCATCTCTTTTTAGCTGAGCTTTTCCCTATCCCACTCTCATTATCTCCTTTCATAACAACATCCAGCCTTGCTGGTGCTTAAACCAGGCAAAATCCCAACCATCAAAATAAAGGGTCTTCCTCTTGCTCCTGTTGAGCTGCAATCTGGACAATGAACATTCCACCATTGTAAGAGCCTGTGTAAATAATCTCTCCCTCTTTTTAAACACATTAGGTTGTAAACCAGAGGTGGGAGATCCGTCAGCAGGTTAAGAAAGGTAAAAGACTTAAGCATTTGGTGGATAAGTAAACAGTAAGTTCAGGCCTAAGCTTTTTATCCTTCTGAGTCTCCACCTTCTCTCTGTAGGTATTAGATGGAAAATAAATACAGTGTTCTGAGGTCAGCCCTACCCCCAGTAAGCTTCCCCTCCCCTTGCCCTGTGGAACAGCTGCTGAACTTGGTTTGCTCTGTCTGCTCTGGGAGTTGCCAAGAGCCTGTCAGGCTCCAGGGGTATGGATTGGGGCACCTTGGCAGTCGCCTCGAAAAGTGGATTGTACCCCGGGTGAGCAGCCCAAACAGCTCCCTGAGGATTTTGGTGGCTTGGTGACTCATGAGAAGGCTTTCTGCTGGGGAGCAGAGCGGGCAGAGCACGCACAGAGCCAGCAGAGGAGCTGCTGTGACACTATGGGAATTGGAAGCTGCTTTAACAGGACATCAGACCCCCTGTTCACTATCACGTAGGTACCTTCCCTTTGTCCGTGAGCTGGAGGGGGGGGTGTGTCTGGAGTGTGGAGTGCAGGGCACATGGAAAGGGCTGGGAGATCCTGGGAATGGTGTAGCCATGGTCTGATCTGCTCTGCCTTTCAGCAGGTGAACTGTGCTGTGCAGGTCAGGGTATGGGATGTACTGAACTCCTTGTGACTCCAAAGCGTTAATGCAATGGGCACCCCAGAGAAGTCCATCAGCATCCCCTTAAAATGAGGGATAGTCCTCATGTGACAGACCTCAGTTGGATCAGAGCTTTAAACAGTGTCAATAATAACAATAAATTCATTTGTTTTCTCTCATTTTGGTTTTTTTCAGAGTCCTGGTGAGTCCTCGACAGAATTTGACTCGCATCACCTTAAAAGGGACTTTCCAGGGGGCTAAAGTGGTCCGTGGCCCTGACTGGGAGTGGGGTAACCAGGATGGTAAGCTGCTTTTGGGATGTCCTGTAAAACACACCATTGGATTTGTTTTTAAACATAAATTACGTAAAATTTTATTTTTTCTTTTTGGCAAATTGAAAGTGCGTGTGCTGAGCAGCAGCTTCTGGGGAGCTGCTCGGAGGATGGAGGTTGCTGTTGTTTAGAGTATTAAATATTCCTTGTTTTCTTGGTTATTTGTCACATATCTGTGACATAAACCATATGCATTCATTGAGGGTGTGGGAGGGAAGTTTTGCTACTCCTGTTTCACAGACATGAAAACTCCTGGGAACCATCCTGGAAGTTCTTGTATAAAACTATAAGTGTACATGATGATAAACAAAGACCCATCTTTTCCTGAAAAAGCTTTCATTTACAGTGGGAGTAAGGGTTGTCTGACTCTGTGTACAGTACTCCTTTCTGCTCTGGAGTTCTGTGGAATATCCTTATTTGGACACTTTTAAGAACAGTGAGGAGAAATGCTCTAAGGATGGTTTCCCATGGAACATTAATGAACTGTTTGCTGTGGTTACTGCAGAATGGTTTCTGCTTTCAGTAGGATTTGTAACTTCAGGCTGAAAATGCAGAGGGACAAAAATGCCTTTTTTAGAGCTGTTCTTGGGTGTAATGACTGTACTTAATTCACTGATACCAATTTCTGTTAGTGCTGCAGGGTTCAGGAAGCTGTACTGTCCGTTCCTATTCCAGAGCCCTGCTCACACTGTAATGTTTACAGCTCCTTTTGTCCTTTAAGAATTAAGTCAGAAGTTCAAAGGTTTCCAAAGTTGACTCTGCCATTTATTGCAGCTCTGGGTTCAGTGGAGGACATGGATACTTGCAGGGTCTGAGAGCAAAAGCAGCTTATGCTCAATACAGCTTATCCATCCTGTTGAGATCAGATGGACATTTACATGTCTGAGACTCGCGTTGCTTACGATGGTGGTGACCTGAAACCAGTTACACCAGCAAGACCAGTGGGAAGAACCCTAAAAACCCTAAATCTAGCCCCTCAGGTGGTCTCTGATGAGCACCACCCTGGTTTTGGTGGAGCTGCCCCCACCCACAGCCGTTTGCTCCTCTTGTCACTGATAGGACTGGCACGAAAGCCCACTGGTTTGTGTTGTGCTTTTTAGTCAGATGTGCAGTTAGATGAGGAATTAAACTCCTTTAAGCTGTTAAATTTCAAGACTTTAGAGGCGATTAGAAGCTCTTTGTCCACTCAGACAGACAGATGTTGCTGTCTCCGTTTGGGACTTGCCCAAGTGACTTGGCAGCAGAGTTGGGTTGGGAATCTGCAAACTGTGACTTCCTTCATGAGGTTCAGTGTTCATAGACTGTTGTCTCTTGGATGACAACGTGTCCCATGTGCCCAGCCAGATTTATCTCCACACACATATCCTCCTGTTCTGGTTTTGTCCAGTGTACTGCTCCTTTCTTGGGCAGGTGAAGAGAAGTACCAGAACAAACCTTATTTGATGCTCTTCCACCTGGCTGGTGTTGGGGAGAAATTAAAGATCTTAGGTGGGTTTTACATCACTGTTTTTTGTCTTGCCACAGTGTGGTGCCATGACACTGTGTGTTCCCTAACCTAGGCCACGCACACCAGGAGGAATTCTGCACAGAACTCAGCTTTTTCCACATCTGTATTCCAAAGTAGATGGCTGGCTGGCTTTCAGCGAGTTTAAACGCGCTCCTAGCTGGCCAAACCGAGCCGTGTCACGATTTAATTTTCCCGATTTTTTCCTTTTCCCCCCTCAGGAGGCGAAGGTAAAACGGGCCGCGTGGTCGATATCCGCGGCTGGGACGTGGAGACCGGGCGCAGCGTGGCCAGCGTGACGTGGGCTGACGGGACCACCAACGTCTACAGGGTGGGCCACAAGGGGAAGGTGGACCTGAAATGCACCGTGGAGGCTTCCGGGGGCTTCTACTACAAGGAGCATCTCCCGAAATTAGGTGTGTAGAGCCAAGTCGCCCGCTGGGAGGTTGGGATGCCGTCGGGAGACACTGAAGCCGTTTTGCTTGGAAGGCAGAAAAGCAGCAGGTGGTTTTGTAAAGTTCCTACATCATATGTGCCATTCAAGAGAAGTGGCTTGTGTGTGACCTGCTGCTTGATTTCAGAGTGGTCAATGAAATAGTGCTGTGGTAAAACCATGAGGTGCCCACAGCCATGTCCCGGAGAGGGATCTTCTGCCAAGGCAAAGCCCTGCTGGAAATGCAGGAAACTCCCACTCTGTCACGGAGAATTCAACCCAGTGCCAGTTCTGTTAACCCAGAGCTTTTAGTTCTTCAGGCAAGCAGTGGTTCAGCTGGTGTTCACTGTGCTTTTACAGAGCAAAGATCATTGCTCTGGTGGACCCAAAAGTGTGTTGGAGGGGACGTGACCAAAGGGAGAGTTCTGAGAATGGAGCTGCCAAATACTTGCCCGGGAGAGAGAGATTAGAAAAAGTGATTGGAAAAGGTGATGTCTGTATTGGCAACATGCTGCAATTCACATTTAACTCTGATGAAACCAAGGAGACTATTTGTGCTTTTGGACTTGCAGCTTTTCTTTACCAATGCATAATTTAGTTGTGTTTATTTTAATGAGTTGCAGGGTCCATCTTTTGCTCCCCTGAAAGAAAACAAGAGGGGGTCTGTTCCTGTGTTTGCAGCAGCAGAATCAGGCCTTTCTCATTCTTTCCTCTCCCTGAGCAGCTTGGCAAGAGCATGAGGGAAGGGAAGGGTTGGATGGGGAGTTTATCCCAGTGGTGCAGCCTCCCTCTGCACGGGAAGGGTAGGAGGGGAAGGCACTCCTCAAAGCAAGTTATGTGACTGCCTGTGGAAGAGAACTTATTTTGGGTGCTGAGTGGGTGTGTCTGCTGAACACCAGTTGTGGGTGACTGAGCTGCTAAGAACAGCTCCTGATGTCTGCCATGACATGAGAGGCGTCCTTCAAAGGCATTCCCCGCTCTGGGAAGGGACAGAATGTGTCTTGTTAGAACTGCCTCATGTTTAATTCATAGAATTAGAGCTAAATCCTCCTGATTTCTCCACCTAGGGCATACCCCAAATAGAAAAGGGGTGTTTTTACACCATTCTACCCCAATTAATGTTAATTTGTGGCCCTTGTTACAAAGCCAGTGAGGCACAAAGGTGTATTATTGCATCCTGCATGTCTGTGGGTGGTGTTATTCTCCCCAGGAAAGCCAGCTGAGCTGCAGAGGAAGGAGAGCACAGACAGACACCCATTCCAGCACGGGGACAAGGTGAAGTGCCTGCTGGACATCGACATCCTGAGGGAGATGCAGGAGGGCCATGGAGGCTGGAACCCCAAAATGGCAGAGGTATGAGGCTGGTTACTCCTCTGGGTAAAGTATCAGTCACTGTCTCAGCCTGCACAGGTAGGCACTGGTTAGGAAGTTACCAGAACATCTTTGTGTAACACGGTACCTCCTGCATTTATATTGAGTTAACTGAAGCCCAAATACAGATTTTTTTAGTGGTAGGACACTGGAGTCAGATTTATTTTTAGGCTCGGATTTATGTGACAGTTGCCTCGTGGAGCCCTGCACAAGAGTTGCTCAGAAGTCTTGGGAGCAAAAAAATAATGGCTGGTTTGTCTGTTTTCAGATGAGCCCTGGACCTTTTCTTCAGGGTTCTGGATCCATTCCTTGTTTGGCTTCTTTGCTAATGGAAGTTATGTGTTTTGTCAACAGTGGGCTCTGTCCCTGGCCAGGGCTAAAATTTCTCAGCCCATATGATATTCTTGGAGCTTAGCCTGTTGTCTTGTCTTTAGATTGAAGAGCTCTCACTCTGCTGTCACCTGTTGTCTAAAAAAACCCAGAGAGCAGAGGAAGTAAAGATAGAAGTGACACCTATTACTGTGGAACAGCATGAAGCGGTGCTATAAAATTATAAAAGTCACTTTATATATGTATCCTGGCCCAACCTGCCCTGTAGGTGAGCAGGCTTTTTGAAATCAGGCTTTAAAATGTCGAGACAAACTGTGTCATTTCAGCTTCAATGTGGAAATCTGTTAACTGAGCATCAGCCTCCTGGTTTTCTTCAGCCTGGCAGGCAGGGACTTGGCATCTCCTGGCAGGAACTTTAAGAAGGCTGCCAGTGGAGCCAGGAATTTTTTATTCCATCCCCAAAGCTGTAGTTTCTGAATGCTGCTGTGTGGTTCCTGGTGTCTGTTGGTTGTTAAAACCTCTGTGCTCCTGAATTCCTGTTGTTGGTGAATCCAGGTGTAGAGGGGGATATTAAACAGAGATTTTTACTAGATGTAAAACAGTAACTTCCTGTCATTTCAGAAATTGGTCCTTTTTGCCTCCTTCTAAACTATGAACTGCTCAGGACCTGCCAGAACCAACAATTCTAGAGCACTGCACTACACAACTATACTTTATTTTGTCTCCTCTGCCATGCCCCTTTTTTTCCCTCTCTCAGGATGTGCTTTGCTGGTATTATAATGCAGAACAATGTTGTGATCTCTGCCCACCTTTGTCATTTGGGAAGAGGACAATTTGTGCTGCATTTTCCAGGATTTTTTGCACTTTGTATTCCTACCCCCCTCCTCCCCCAATATGCTCCTACTTTAAAGGAGCTTCTTAAGGAGCCTTTCCCTACTTTTGTAGACAAACAATGGCTGCATCTCGTGTGAAGCAGGTTTGGGAGCTCTGTTAGTCTGTGGATTGGAAATGCTGGGTAATTTAGCCACCTATGCCTGCTTTCCCCACTGTTAAGCAATGTGATTTATTTAGGGGCTTTCCCCTACTTTTTTTTCCCCCCTATCAAAAGTTCATTGGCCAGACAGGGACTGTGCACAGGATCACGGACAGAGGGGACGTGAGGGTCCAGTTCAACAGCGAAACCCGCTGGACTTTCCATCCTGGAGCCCTGACCAAGGTACGTGCTGGGCTGGGCCAGGGCTGGGAATGCTGCAGGGAAGAGCTGTCCTTCAGCCTGCTGGGCTGGGACATGGTGTGGCACAAGCAAGTGCTGAAGGGATGCCCTGCTGGGCCAAACACAGTGGGTTTGGGCAGAGCTCCCTGCAGCCCATCAGAGCTCAGGCAGATGGTTGCAGGCAGTGGGAGTTGGGCTGCTGGGCTGGCCAGTTTGATGAGCTTCTGCATTTTAAATGCAATTTCTTCAGGTAAATTCCATTTCTTGATTCCAGCTTCTTTCATATGACAGTTTACCTACAGTAGCTCATCTTTCTGCAACTGCCTTTCAACCTTTTTCCACATAATTGCCATTTGATTTTGTTTTCTTCCATTTGATTTTGTTTTCTTCCATTTGATTTTGTTTTCTTCCATTTGATTTTGTTTTCTTCCATTTGATTTTGTTTTCTTCCATTTGATTTTGTTTTCTTCCATTTGATTTTGTTTTCTTCCATTTGATTTTGTTTTCTTCCATTTGATTTTGTTTTCTTCCATTTGATTTTGTTTTCTTCCATTTGATTTCGTTTTCTTCCATTTGATTTCGTTTTCTTCCATTTGATTTTGTTTTCTTCCTTTTGATTTCGTTTTCTTCCTTGTTCCCGTGTCTCTGTGTTATTCTCCTTTTTTTGCACCTTTGTCTCCCTTCTCTTTGATTCTTCTGGATGACCTGAGTCTTTAATCCAGCTCTTCTAATTTTGTGTCTGTGTTTCTAAAGCTCATAGCTCTGGCCTTCCCCAGAGGTTTGAAATGTGGATGATTAGAAACAGAGATAATTAGATATAGAAGAAGCTACTGGAAGACCACAAAATTCTGAAAGACCTGAACAAGGTCACAATGCTAAAAACTCCAAAATCAAGGGAAAAATGCAGTGTCAGACTGTTTTGCACAGAACTAGTCTGCTTTGAAAAGTGTGTTTTGACAGTGCTCCCTTCTTAGCTCAGTGAGCAGAGGGAGCATCTGGCATATTACCAGAACAGATAAACTCTGGTTTCCCTTTTCTCTTTTAAATAAAAAACAGATTTAACTCCCTTATTAAAGTGAATTAAAATCTCCAGTGCCAGGTCAGGTGTAGTGAGGAGATGGACCGAGGAAAGCCCCACAATTTTATACTGCCATTAATTATAAATGGCTTGAAGAAGAACAAAAAGTTAGAAAACTGTCTGTTGCAAATTATTTCCCTACTTAAATGTGCACTTGGCTTGAAAGAGAGTTACCCCAGCCCTTGGACTGTGTTTCTTTGGCAGTGCAGTGATTACAGTTGTACTAATGGTTTGCAGGGCCTTGTTTTCTGAGCCAGTGGGTGTTTTTTGAGTCGACGGGTGTCGTGTTTGGTTGGGTTTCTGGGGTTGGTTTTGGGGGTTTTTTTGGTGGCTTCATCTCCCAAAAGCTTATGACTTTCTTTTTCTTGTAGCTGAACACGTTCTGGGTGGGTGATGTGGTCCGGGTGATCGATGACATGGAGACAGTGAAGCGGTTCCAGCCTGGCCACGGCGAGTGGACGGACGAGATGGCCCCTGTGAGTGCACCCCAGCCCCAGGAGTTTGCCCAAGCAATCCCTGAGAGTGATGGGCTTGCACTGCCCGCCCAGACACTCCTGCTGGTCACTGAGTGCCCAGACCTTGCTGGGGCCCTGCAGAGTCCCTGCTCCCTCCTGCTGTTGGCTCCTGGTGACCCAGTCGTGTTGCAGCACCCAAAGCAAACAGGGACAGGGCAAGTCTGACCAAGGGTTTGGCTGCCACCAGCTCAGATAAGAGGTTTTGCTGACCAAAGTAAACAAGTCCTCTTACACCCTCCCTAATTCTCTGGAATGAGGCAGGGAAGTGTCCAAGTGGAAGAATGGTCTGATCAGACCAGTGCGGCTAGAAAGTGGGATACAGGTTAATTGATCCTCCAGGAGCAATTAAACACCCAGAGGAAACCTTTCCTAGTCCCACTTTGGTCAGTTCTCTGTGTTCTTCAAACCACACTTTGTTGTTTCACCGCCTCCTTCCCCAGACATTTATAAGGTGTCTGGGAAACCCTTCTGTGTAAAACTGGTGAGAACCCTCTGATGCCCTCGAAGTGGGAGCTGCCTGTGAGTGTGTCCCTGTCCAGTGCTTCTCCCCACCCAGCAGGGCTGCAGCTTGGGGAAGCCCTCTTAGAAAACATTGCTTTGGGGCTGAGACCTTTGAGAAACCACCTTCTCTTTCCTTGCAGACCCTGGGGCACATCGGGAAGGTGATCAAGGTCTACGGGGACGGAGATCTGCGCGTGTCGGTGGGAGGGCAGTCCTGGACGTTCAACCCTGCCTGCCTGACAGCATACCAGAGGGAGGAGGAGGCAAACCTCATGACCACAGAGAGTGCAAAGGAGTCAAAGAGTGAGAGAGATGTCAGACCCTTCAGGGACCTGGGAGCTCTTTGCTGCAGCTCTTTGGGCGGTGTTAAACTCCAGCTGTTCTTCCCCGGACAGAGCTCCAAGACCCAGCTGTGCCTTACTGGCCAAGCCAAGCTGGCCTTAACAGGAAAATACAGAATAAAACCCAGCTGTACCTTACTGGGCAAGCCAAGCTGGCCAGCTGTGCCTTACTGGGCGAGCAAAGCTGGTCTTAACAGGAAAATACAGAATTTAGGACTCGGAAGTGCTGACCACAGCCCTGCCCTGGGTTCAGTGTTTGTCTTGTTCTGTCTCAGTTTCCTGGTCCATCCTGTTTCCTGTACTAGGATACTAATTGTTGAAGGCTTGTGAAATAGTCCCAGGACTGTGTGTGGAAGTGTTGTGAAATCCACAATTATTTTGCCCAATCCACCCTGAAATTGAATTTGGGATCACATGATGTGGAGAGGGGTTTTTTGGTCTGTTTTGCACTTCTGCTCATAAATTTTTTTTGTGGCCTCACCATACTTACATCCTTTAGATGTCAGGATCATGTGGGAGAGAGGACAAGACTTGCCAGGGTTGTTTTGTTTTGCTTTGTAGATGGCTCTTACACTCAAGATAGACTTCAAGGACAACTTGATACTAGCCCAGACTTTTTCCACTTTGCTCTGTCTGGAGAACTGTAACACCTCTGTCCTCTCAGGCACCCAAAATTGTGGAGTTACAGGTCCTTTCTGTTCCTCATTCAGGTACTTTGGTGGCTGTTCTGGAGAAGCTGCTGTCCCAGAAGACAGAGTCAGAGCATGCTGGGTGCCTGGTCATTTGTGCAGCCCTCAACAACACAGCCAAGGTCCGGGAGCTCCTGCAGAAATACCCGGACAAGGCAAGTTCTGGAGACATCCTGAATGGCTGGTTTTCTCTTGCTTTTCTGTCATAAAATTTTGTGGTCCACTGGGGAGAAGGATGGGAGAAAAACGATAGATTTTTCAGACCTATTAATATCTCCTAAGAGCTGGAAGGTTATTTTGCTGCAATTTAGGGTTAAATGTGCATATTTTATGCCTCTAGTTTGTGGCATTAAATCTGAACTGGAGTTAAGTCCTTACAGCACATTTCCAGAGCTGGCTTTTCCCAGATTTCCTGTGTGGACAGTGCACCTGCAGAATGTGGGGGAGAGGGGTTTATCTGTATGAAAACAGGAGGAGATACCCGAGTCTCTGTTGGAAAAGGAAGCCAATGGGCTGTGTCTGGCTGTGTCTGTCCTTAGATGACCTTGCAAAATCATATTGTTGGAATCAGGAAAGAGAAAAGCTGCCCAGATCTGTGCAGTGTCTTATCTCATGTCTGACTGGAGCAGAGAACTGGGCTTGACTTGTTGCTGAACAATTTTTTGTGCTTGCAGACTGCCAAACTCAGGATCATGACTCCTGAAATCTCTGCTCTGTCAGGCTCCTTCAGGGAGGGGTTCAGGCTTTATAAACAGATAAAAAAAGAACCACCAGAGAACAAAGTATTTCAGCAGTGTCCTTGGAAACCATTGGTAACAAAAAAGAAGTTTTGTTGAAGCTGTGTCTGTGTGGCTGGAGGAAGCAGCTGGATGTGTGAACCAGCAAAAGTGGGATCAGTTGTGAAGGAACCCCTGTGAAGCTGATTGAGTGGATAGTTGTCTGGTGTTCATTATAGTTCTTTATTTTACAAAGTTAATGGGGCTTCTGGAGATGGGAATAATAGACAAATACCTGCACTTGTCAAATTGATCTCAGATAAGGAAGTGCCAGGAGTAAGGAATCCATTATGTGATTAGTTACTTTTTTATTAGATTTCTGTTTCTATTCTGATACTCATATTAACAAATTAGTTCTTTCTCTTAGAGTGTTATACCCAGCAAGAGGGGGCTGGATTTGAGGCTCACTTAGTGCAGGTTGGAATTGCTTGCCAAGGCCTCTCCAGCTTATCAGCATTGTCTGTTGTGTGCAAATGGAAGAAAAGCACAGTGGCCTCCTTGTCAAAATGACTCTCCCATCATTTGGGTGTTCCAAGGGAAGTCCTGCCTGTCCTGCCCTGGCTGCTGCATAGAACCAGCTGCAGGGGGGAAAAAAAAAACTTGTTCATTAACTTGTTCTCCCTGCCGGTCTGCTGAGGTTTTGTAGCTCCTTCATCTCCTCTCCTTAGCCTCCCACCGGTTTCAACAGCTGCTTTTCCCTTTTTTTCCCTTGCTTTTCACATAGGCTCTCCTTGCTCTTCAGTCTCTTTAATGCTCAACAAATCTCACTGCAGCACTTGAGCTCTGTGATATCCCCTCCAGCCATTGCACCCAGTGAAGTACCTGCAGCAGCACAGAACAATGGGGGACTTGGCACCTTCAGAGCCTTATGCAAAGCTAATTTGATTTCCTCACACATTTTCCTATTGGGAGAGGAATTGTTGGCAGAGGTGGCAAGAAGTGTTGTGCTTGCAGGCACAGAGTGATTTGGCAAGAGAGCTGCAATTAGAGCCCTGGCTCCCGGCTCTGTTCTCTCACTTCTCCCCTCTTGCCTCCATGTGCTGTCCCCTTCCCCTTGAGAAACGTTCTGGGACAAGGTCAGCTTGGAGTTGGTGCCCGGGGAGTGGAGCCAGCGGGGCCCAGATCCCGCCTGGCAGTTGGGAGCCTGCAGCTGTTCCACTCCCGTCCCACTCTGGCCCCGGCACGAGGTCGTTCCTCATCTGCTGTGCCTCTGCCCTTCCCACAGGTCGATGCCAAGAACCAGGGCAGGACTGCCCTGCAAATTGCCTCCTACCAGGGGCACCTGGAGGTGGTGAAGGCTTTGCTGCAGGCACATGCCAGCGTCAACCTGCGGGACGACGAGGGGGACACGGCGCTGCACTACGCGGCTTTCGGGTAGGATGCCTGACTCCTTGCTGCCTCTGGTGCAGGATCTAAAGGGCTGCAGAATTTATGTTCTGGACGTAAATGGACAATCTGTGGGAAGGATGTGTGGCTGGTGGAGGCTTTTCTCTGATTTTACCCTGTATTAGAAATTGGTGTTTGAGATTAAGCCCCCCAGGAACGTTTCTTAGCACACTCCTTTATCCTCCGCAGCAAGGTTTCCATGCTGGGAATTTTGGGGGGAATCAGAACAAGAGGTTTTGGTGAATCAGAAAGAGAGCTTTTGGTGATTAGATTTTTTTTTTTTCAAGGGGTAGGGGGAGGTGGTTTGGTTGGTTTGAAATCACTTTGGTTGGTTGGTTGGTTCCTGTAAGTGCATGTGTTTTCCAGAGGAAGATGGAATTTTTAATTGTTTTGTCCATCACCAGGGAAGAATTCATCAATAAAAGTGGGAAGTTCCTGTTGATTTAGAACAGAGGGATCAGATTCTAGAGCACAAATTAGGAAGGTTTTGTTGTGTGGGGCTTTTTTTTAATACTAATAAGAAGTGGGATGAAACCGCAGGGATACAAAACCCAAGAAGCTCTGTTACTTTTCAAGGAGGAAGAATTTACTGTCACAGGATCGGCTCTAACCTGTTTTGCTCCTTGCTTTTAAATCAGAAACCAAGCTGAGGTTGCCCGTGTGCTCATTGGCAAAGGAGCCAGCGCAGACCTGTTGAACAATGCCAAGTGCACGGCGCTGTACGTGGCTGTGAGCCAGGGCTTCACCGACGTGGTGAGGGCCCTCTGTGAGCTCAACTGTGATGTCAACCTCCCGGTGAGTTTGGGGCTCGGGGGGGATTTGGGGTAAAGGGGTGTTTGAGTTTTTATTTTTTTTCCTGGTGGGTTTTTTTTTTGAGGTGGGGAGGTGCTTCTTTATGTGTTAAACCGCTCGGTGCTTTGTCGGGTTTGAAAGTCGTTCTCCTAAAATGCACTGCTGTGCGTTGCACAGGAAGTATTCCTTTCAATAGGATTATTTATACTGAAGTATTCCTTCAGTGCTCTGGAATTCCAGGTTTGGGTCTGCCCAGCTCAGTGCAGTGACAGTCTCTGTGCTGGACTCGGGCTCCCAGTGAGGGCTGACCTGCTGTTGGTGGGTGTTGTTGTTGCAACGCTCCTGTTGCCAGCAATAAGGAGGGCTGAGATTTCTGAAGACAGGCAGTGATGGTGGCTTGGACCCAGCCCATTTTTAGGCTGTGCTTGTGTGGTGCTGGGGCTGGACTGTGCTGGGTCAGTGTCTCAAAGCTAGCTGGGAAGGTCAGCAGCTCTTAGGTGGTTTCCCTTGGCTTCCTGAGGTGGGTAACCTGTGTTCTGCTTGGGTGTCCATGTGCAGGATTCCCAGGGAGACACCCCCCTGCATTATGCCATCACTCTGGATTACAAAGTGGTTATTGAGATTCTCACTGAAGTACCCAACATAGACTTCACTGTCCAGAATGGCCAAGGCTTCAACCTGCTCCACTATTCTGCTCTGAAAGGCAACAAGCTGTGAGTGACCTTTTTTTTCATTTTTATGGCTTTTGCAGATCTTAACTCATGCTTGTCTCAGCAGTAACAAGGTGGCAGCTGTAGTTCTGGATAGATGGGAAGAAAATAGATATGACTGGGTGTAGCTGTTGCCCTCCTTGCCTTCACAGCAAACTCCTGCCTCCTTTCCCCATCCCATCTCTCTCATACCTCCCCAGCTTGGCTTGAAAATGTCTGCTTAGTTTCCTTAAGTGTTTGGGTTCACACTTGGAAGGGCAGGAGAAGGTCTGTAGTAAAGACTGTGTCTAATTGAGAACCTCTGGAACTCTTCCAAGGATAAATCTGCTCATTATTTCCAAAGCAGTGTGACTTTACCCTTTATTACTTTATTAGATGATAACTGAGGGCTTTTGTTGTATTCCTGTAATTCAATCTGTGAGTTAAAGGGACTGCTCTGCATCACCAGTGTCAGCTCGTGGTGCTGCCTATTAAAATATGAACATCCATAACTCCTTTTTTCCTGATAAAGTAACTCTTCCCTCTCTGTTAACCTCCAACACTCCAGAGCCATAAAGAAGATTCTGGCAAGAGCTCGGCAGCTGGTTGACTCCAAGAAGGAAGATGGTTTCACTGCCCTGCACCTTGCTGCTCTCAACAATCACATGGAAGTGGCAGAAATTCTCATCAAAGAGGTAAGGAAAAAAACAAAACAAACCCGTCATGATCTGCCCCACTCCCATCTGCCCCACTCCCAGCCCCCCACATTTCTGCTGGGACTCACAGAAATGTCTCTTTGAAGAGCTGGCATCGTTTGCCAGACTGAAGAAGAAGAGTTGGCATTCCCAGGGGTGTTTTCCTTTGGCACTGGCAGAGAGGAGAAGGGTGTCTTGGCCAGAACAAAGCGGGTTGGAACCGGAGCCTGCTGGAAAACGTTCGGTGAAGACGGACTCGAGGTTCGGGACCTCGCCGGGCTGTTGAGCAGCCAAACCCAGCAGCACCAGCTCACTCTGGTGCAATCCCTTCCCTTCCAGGGCCGCTGCGACGTGAACCTCAAAAACAACCGGAACCAGACCCCTCTGCACCTGGCAGTGATCCAGGGCCACGTGGGGATGGTGCAGCTGCTGGTGGGCGAGGGCAGCGACGTCAACGCCGAGGACGAGGACGGGGACACGGCCATGCACATCGCCCTGGAGAGGCAGCAGCTCATGGCCCTGGCCATGGAGAAGCGCGAGGGGGACATGGGACCCTCCCTCCTTGCCAAGGTGAGCTGGGAGCAGGAGGAATTCCAGCACCCAGGGCAGGAGAACGCTCGCTGTCGGAATGTCAGCGGGATCCGAGGGGGCGAAGGAAGGCAGGGAAACTGTGGCAAGCCAGTGCAGATGGGGAGCATAGAAACAAATAGGAACAAGCCTTCCTGCTTGTGGGAAAGCAAATAGGTCCTCTGAGGGGGTGCTTGAATTTATAGCATGGAACTCGACATAGCCAGACAACAATTCATCCCGTCTCCCCCGATATTTTTATTAGCATTGTGCTTCTTTCCTGACATGGGAAAGGTCACGAATCCACTTGCAGAGCCAAGAGTCCTGGGTTTAATTCATGCCCCAGGACCACAGCAATTCATTTCTGTCTGATGGCATGGAAAATATGAGGACAGCAAACCACAGCCACCCCAGTTATCTGCGGGAGGACAGCAGTGTGTGAGAGGTGAGGTGGATCGGGCTGAAGGATAAAGACAAAGTTGTTACAAAGCCTGAACTGGATTTCCCTGTGCTGTTCTCTATTCATGGATATAAAGACCCTAGTTCTAGAAATCAGTGCAGCACATGCCAAGGGTGTGGGGATAATTTAATGCACTGGAAAATCCAGCATGGATTTTTTTTTCTTTCTTTATTTATTTTCAAATGATCAGAATAAGCAAAACCACCCGTTCCTCCTTTCTAACTGTTGGTGCTTGGAAAAACCCAGTGCATTGGTCATCCATTCTGCAGGTTGCCAAACTGCCATTCTTGTGGTAGCAAGAGCTGATGGCTCAAGTGCATGGCCAAAGGCAGCCAACAGCTGGTCCTGGATGCAGGAAATCTTAAAGAGGGATCTGTGTGTGTCATTCCCACTGTTATTTACAATAATATCATATCTAGATGCTGTAGGGTCCTTCATGTCCAATTTTATTTGCCCTGACTTAACACACTCTGGTCTTTTAAGTCATTGGGAAACGTTTGTTGACTTTAATTTGGGTCATGTACATAAAAATTTTGTCACTTAAGGCTCCATGGGCCAGCTGTTCATCAGCTGGTGTGTGCTGTGGTGTCTTCACCTGCTTCCTTTTCACCACCTGCAGAAGTGAATGCCCATTACTATGATTTGTGTTGATTATCACCAGTTAGGGCCAGCCTTATGCACTGTTGTCCCTGGAATGTAAATTTGAATCTGCTCTTTACGTGCTGAAGGGTCTTTTTTGTGTTTTCAAAAACTAATGCTAAGTTGTACTTTCAAATTTTAAGTACAGGGTGTAAGACTTTGTTTAGAATTTGATACAGGTCGTGTCCATGTAACAGAAACTTTTTGTGCTAACAGAGTGTGTTCCTCCACATCCTTTAGCTGCAGGCTTCTGGCTTTCTTGGAAACGTAGAGCTGAATGTGGGGACTGCAATTGCCTGCTACTTAGCACAAGAAGGAGCAGATATCAATTATGCAAACCACAGAGGAAAATCTCCTTTAGACCTCATTACAGATGGGAGGATTATCCAGATTGTCAAAGACTTCTCACAGAAATTCAGGTAAACCTTGTGCTCAAGCCAGTGACAGCAAACTCCCCTGCAAACCACAGAGTGCTCCCTCCAGCTCTTCCAGGAGGGATGGAGCATCTCTGGAACACTTGGGGTGTCAGTCTGAGCACCTCCTGTTTCTTCTGGAGCTGGTTGCTGCCCCGTGTTTCTGGAGGGGTTGTGTGAGGCTGGGTGCTGCCATTGGAAAGTGTTGGGAAAAGCAGATTAATGTTGCTCAGTGCAAACTCAGCCTCCTGACTTAACAGAGAGCCCTGAGGCAACCTGAGGAGTCTGGCCACTGAAGCCAAGAGCAACTTTGCAGAGTCATTCTGGGTTCTGTTTTATTTCCATTTGATTCTGCAGTTGCAGGTATTTAAAGTCTAAGCAGAGAGGAAGTGCAGCAAAAGGGTGGCCACCAGAACCCACAGAATTCATTCCAGAGCCGGATAAATGCTTGTTTTTCAGCTGATAAGAGAAATAGCTGAGAAAAGGGAGAGTATAGCCAGTCAAAGATGGCTTTAACTCGGGTTCTGAGAAAATATCTGTTTGCATTTTGACTTTGCAAACATGAAAGCAGAGTTTGATATGAGGGCACAGACTTGGTCCTGTTACTGCTGGAGGAGGAACCACACAGCAGTGCTGTAACTGGCCATGCCTCTGGTCCACTGTGGAAAAAAAGGTGAAATGTGTCCCTTTAAACATCTTGCACAGGAATTTTGTCAGTGGAGCATATGTTGGATTGAGGGTTTTTTTGCTTAAGGAATGTCATTTCTTTCAGACTGACATTTCTCAGAACAGCATGCTGGTTTCAGCAGCTGATTGTGCTGTCAGTACCTCACTGCTGCCCTCCAAAAGGGCATTTTCAACCTGTGTAAATATGAGCCATCCTTGCTCTTTTCTTTTTAGGTAGAACTAGTCAGAATCCCAGCTGAGTCGGTCCCAGTAGGGCGAGTGAGGGATCACAAGTTTATGCCGCTGAGCGTTTGCCAGGGATCAGCACAAAGCTGCTGCAGGAGGATCTGGGGTGTGTGGCTCACGTTTTGTGCTGCTCCTGCTTTCAGGGAACAGCAGGTTTCTTCGGAGAGCTCCACCATCACCTGCAGCCTTCGCCGTGTGCACACCACGCCCAACACCATGACCAACCTCAGCGTGTCCAGCGTGGCCGTGCCCACAGAGTGCCTGGTCTGCTCAGAGCTGGCCTTGCTCATCCACTTCTTCCCGTGCCAGCACAGTATTGTGTGCGAAGGTGAGTCCTTCCCCTGTTCCTTTCCCTCTTTCCATGTTTTTCTTTCCCGTTCCACCGCCCAGCCTCCTTAGCTGGGCTCCCATAAATCAGGCTCTGTGTGGACACAGAGTGAGCCATTGTGCTGTTTGTGTCCTGAAACAACCCCAGCATGATTTCAGCAGCTCGGGCAGGACATCCAAAGTTATCTTTGAAAAGCACAGAATGTTCTGCCCACCTGCTGATTGGGACCCAAGGCAGCTTTACTTGTGCTTGTAGATGCCTGCACGATTCAGAAGGAAAGGCAGGTGCCTCAGTTCTAGCTGTCAGTGCTTTATCCATCAAAAACCTCCTCAGAAGGATTTCCCTCTTCTCTGGCTTTCACTGCTGTTTGCATTTCAGTTGTTTTAGTGGCAGCCTGCTCAAAGATGTCAGCAAGTTTGTTATCTCACAAGGCACTCACAGTCTGACCCCAGGGAATTTGGGATTTTTGTGTGCCAGAGCTGCTCCCTTTTCCCCCAGAGCTGTTTGGATCCACAGTGCAGCAGTGCCAGTGCCACAGAGCATCAGGGACTTAAAGGTGTTGTGTTTGCTACTGACCTAGGAAAGATTAAACCAGGAGACTTAAGGCACAAAAAGCAGGTTGTGACCTCCTTCCGTGCAGAAACAATCTCTTAATCACCAGGGAGGCCTCAGGTTGTTCAAAGCTGGTGTTCTTGAGTCCGTTGCTTTCCTCTCTGTTCTGACATCAGGGGGCTTAACTGTGATCTCTTCTCGTGTCATTTGTGCTAGAATGCTCCAGGAGGATGAAGAAGTGCATCAAATGTCAAGTGACAATAACCAAAAAGCTGAAACAAGGTAATGTTTGCTGTTCCTGCTGTGAGTGCTGTGGGAGGGGTCCTGTACAGGGGTGGGTTTGAGGGGCATTGATGATTTTCAGTGGAATAGCAAAGAGAGTTAATTTGTTTGGGCTTGTGTGTGTGTGTGTGTGTGTGTGCCTATTGCCTTGCCCACCTTTAGAGGGAAAAAAGAACATCTCAGATGTCACAGGCCAAGCTCAACCTGCATAGACAGGACATTTAAGGAAGCTTTGCCTGGGTCTGGCTTATTCTGTGCATTGAAAGCAAATATCAGGCTCTCCAGTCTGTTTTCACATGTGGTGGCTTAACAGTGAAAATTTATGAGAGAGGAAAAATTGCATTTTGTGCAAGCCTTGCCTGTGCCTTGGCCAAAATCACAGTGCCTGTGCAGGGCTGGCATTACCCAGCTCTCCAGGAATCCCTGAGCTGGATTGTTTCAATAAGGCTCTTCAGCTCAGTTCCAGATGAGACATTTGCATGCAGATTTTTGCTGGAGGAGGAACATCAAGGTCTCCAAAAATACCAGCTGGGTTTCCCTGTCAGTGATGTCTTCAGTGCTTTGTCCCCAAACCCGCTTCACCTTCATGGATTTGAAACCACTCCTTGCACCACAGATGTGCAAGTGGCCCCAGAATGCTGAGGAAAGGGGCATCTATATTGAATTGTAGAGCTCCCTAATCAAGGATTAGAGGAGCAGAATATGAGCAGTGGGGCTGAATTAAGCTGAAACCAGGAGGAGTCTGTTTACCTAAGCTGGCATTTGGGGTTCTTTCATTTCACAGAGTTGACAGAGTGACCCTATTTGTGTAAAAGTCAAGATAGGTCATGTCAAGTAGTTTCTTCTTGTTTGACCATGTGTGCCCTGAAGGGCTTGACCAGAAATTTGAGTGCCAGATGTGAACAGGGAGAACACTGGAAGGATTCCTGGGCTGGCGTGGCAGAACATCCCACCCAGCTCTGAGTGTTCTCATGTTCCAGAGCACCAAGGCAGGACATCTCAGCCAACATTTTGTTTCCTTTAAAACAAAAAAAAAAACCACAACCCACCAAGCCACCTCAAACCCACACACACACACAGACCAGAAGGGAGGAAAGAGCACTTTCTGGCCAAGTCTGAAAAGCGTCCCCCGGGCTTTTATTTGAGGAATTCCTGGATAAGGCTCAGTAAGGAGAGTTTAGGGGCGGAGTGTGACCTGACTAACCCTCCCTGGTGCCCCGCAGACAGCACGGAGGTGGAGTGCAGCCCCAGCTCGGAATCCACGGACCAGAGGAAGCTCATGGAGGAGCTGCAGAGCCGCTACCGGCAGATGGAGGAGAGGATCACCTGCCCCATCTGCATCGACGACCAGATCAAGCTGGTGTTCCAGTGCGGGCACGGCTCCTGCCCCGACTGCAGCACGGCCCTCACCGTGTGCCCCATCTGCCGCCAGGCCATCCGAGAGAGGATCCCCATCTTCGTCTAGGGCTGCTCCCGCCCCTGCCTCCCCCCTCTGCCCCCTCCTTGGTTGCGTTTTGGGGGTTTGGCTCCTCCCTGCAAAGCCCTCCTGGAGGAGAGGGAGGTGTCACACACACAGCTGGTGTCGGAGGTGGCCCCTCGGCACCCCCTCCCCTGTGCTGCTCCTCCATCATAAACAGCTCTGACCCGTCTGCCCGGGGTAAAAGAGCCCTTCTGGAGCAGAGAGATGGACAGAATTCCACGTGGAGATGTTCCCCACTGGCATCCAGCTCCAGGACTGCACCACAGCCAGTGCCCTGCGGGGTGGGTTTCCCTGGACTGCCCTGGAAGGAGAGACTGGAGCAGGATGTTCCTCACCCCTCATCCCGTGGCAGGTGGAGCAGGATGTTCCTCACCCCTCATCCCTTGGCAGGAGGTGGAAGAGCACACGCTGCACTTCCCCCGAGGAGATCCCAGCTGCCTGCCAGGGGTAGGGAGGGATGTCCTGAGAGTGTCCTCTCCAACCCAGAACCTGTGGACTCCACTCTACCAGAACAGAGGCAAACTGGATGTAATAAGGTCCTAAAGACAGAGCATGTGCCTTAGAGATAAAGTAGTGAACACTGATTGAAGAAAATATGTTGTTACAACAAATATTTCTAACCTCTAAGTGACGCTCTTCTTCCATATTTTATTTTTTTTTTTTTTTTGGCACAACTGTGTGTTCAGAGACTCCTGAGCTTTCTATCCATAATGCCAAAGGCAGGTGTTAAATACTCCAATCAAAGTGTAAAGAAAATAAATAGTTAATAATTAAGAGACGAGAGAGCGGAAGAAAAAAAAAAAGGGGGGGGGTTGTTCATTTTTGTTTCTTTGTTTTGCAGCAAAACTTAATAAAATAAAGTATATATTTTCCTGAGCATTAAAATGAATGTACAAACAGTAGCTGAAATGTGGATCCAGCTGTATTGTGTTTTCCAGCTGAGTGAAGAAATATTATCCACTGAGTCATCCTGTTAAGTAGCTGTTGGTGGAAGTGTGGCTCGCGTGCCACACGTGTGTGTACGTGCACATACGTGTTTGTGTGGGGTGTCTCCTCTCTGACGACACAATTATGCCCAAACACACTGTTTGTTACGTATTTGGAGCAATATTTAAACCAAGCAAAAACCTCCTGTGTTCCTCTGCTCTCTTTGTTCCTTTTGCAAAGAGGTGGCGAAGCTTCTAAAGGAATTTTTTAGCTCCGGGGAGTGGGTGGCAGTTGCAGGGATATTTATTAACTTTACAACCCAGTGGTGTGTTGAGAGAGTCATTTCACAAATTCGGGACTCCTGTAGATTGGGGGGGCAGCAATACCAAAGTGTACAAGTGTAAAAGTACAAATCTGAGCCATTTTTATCATCCAGGAGCTGCTTTAACCACTATTTGATGCAAGTGAATAATTTCCCAGACTATACATCACCCCAGCCCCATGCTAAGAGTTTCTTTTTAAACACATTTCTTTTACAAGCCTCTGCATAAATCCAAAATCTGTGCTCTGCATAAGTCCAAAAGCACTTTGCTAAAGGTAAAAACTGCTGCTGTTTCATCCTGTGTGTTGAATGTGGGGAGAGGGGACAGAGGTGACAAAGTGCTCAGTGTCAGCCCAAAGATGTCATTTTATTCAGGAAAAACAACATGGAGCATCTGCTTCTTTTTTTTTTTTTTTTTTTAATAGTTTCTTTGGGTGCTGAATGAAGAGAGGCTTCCAAGTGATTATTTTCCCTAAAGGAAAAAAAAATAAATCCTAGGACAACTGGAGCCTTTGACTTGGGAGCTGTGCAGCTGTTGCAGAAAATTGAGGTGGTTTAAAAATTATTATTTTTTTTTTCTTCTCGTCCTGTCTAATGAAAAGAGATTTTTGTAGGGAAAGAAGAGCTCCCCTCAGTTTTGTGATGTAACTTTTTGCAAAACTCAAGCTCCATTTTGAGGTCTCCTGAGCTTGTTTTCATGTCTGAAATTCGTTGTGTGGCCAAGTTGGGAGTTTTGCACAGCAAAAAAAAAAAACCTGCTTAAGAGCTACAGAAATGGTTTGTATAAATGTTGTGTTTGTTTTGGGAATATTCTTTTATTTTCTGTTATTTTTACGTGTTCTCTCTTATTTTCATGAATTTTCCTGCTGTGGTTGCTCAGAAGCACCATTTTAACCCTTTCATTTTTACCCAGTAAGAAGAAGGGGAATTTCTGCACCCACCAGAGAAGAACCAGGATGGTCAGTGGAGCCCCAGGAACAGGAGATCACAGGAGGAGCCCCTTTGTACCAAGTATGTTTTTGGCAAACTTTGCCCCCCTACACCAGGCTCAGCTCCATGGGAGGGGGAGGCTTTGCAGGAGGGAAGGAACTCCTGCTCTTTTATCTTCCTTGATGAGCCTGAATCCAATTTAGCTGGAGAATATAAGACAGGAGAGGTAGGGGAAGATGCTCCTCCTCTCTCTCCTTTTGCTCCTGGTTGGTTTTCTTGGTTTGAGGAGCAGGGAGGCTGTTCCTGCTGCTGAAGGGGGAGGCAAGGGGTGCCAGAGCAGGAGCAAATGCTCCTTCAAAGGCAAATATTGTCATTATTTAACTGGAGTGGACAGTGAGCATCCTTTCTGCTGGATGTTTATCACCAGTTGCTCTCCCACAAACGAACTGGGGAGCTCCTGGTTTTCACTGGAGCTTCTGTCATCTCCTGAATGCAGCTCTGTGCCTTAGATATTCCCAAGTTTTTCAGGTGTACAGCTTTAGTTATGAGATGTCAGCTGGTCTCATGCTTGGCACGGGGGTTTCTAAAGCTCCTCCTTTGGAAGTGTGGCCAAAAATCCACGTTTTACAGACCATGTGAGGCTGAGGGAGTAGAGAGGGAGATTGTTGAAAGGCAGAGTCAGGTAAAGAGCCCATCTCTCCTTTGATTCTGTTCCCACTAGTCCGTGCTGCTCCCAGGATTTCGGGAGGATTGGTCCATCCACGAGTGGATTACAGGTCATTAGTAACAGCCCCAACCACAAAACCATCCCCACGCAGGGAAGCAGTTCTTCCTCCCTTGTGGATGCACTTTGTTATCTTTGTGATTTGAGGAAAAATTTCTCCCTCATTTCTGAATTTCTCCCTCTTTTTCATTCCTGACGTCCTGCGTGGCCGTGGCTGAGCTCCCGCCTGGGGTCAGGGCTCTCTGGTCACACGAGGTCAGGCCAGTGCAGGCACCTCTGTGAGCTGCAGCTCCAACTGACAGTTAAGCAAAATATTCCATTTTCTTTGCCAGCTGGAGCGAGCCCTTGTTTTCAGCTCATTTGTTATTCATCAGACCGTGGACTTTTCTAGGAACATCAGCAGATGCTGATCACGAGGGGCTGCACGACAGAAAGCGGGAGAATGTTTGGGGGCTGAAGAGCATCATTATTGTTCTCCCCCTCCCTGGGGAACGTTGCTCCCTGTTGCAGCACATACAGTCCTTTTTTTAGTGCCTGACCCCCTGAAAAAGCACAAATTTGAACTGCCATTCCCACAGGAACCCCGGGCAGGAATGTTGGGTTGTTTTCCCCACCCCCCCAGGTTGTGAGCTGCAGGGCTAAATCTGTAAGTGCTTTTAAAAATAAGAGCTATATGAGGGTTTCCTAATTCTCTTCACATGGGCCACCAAGGAGCTGATCTGTGGTAAATCACATTCACCCCTGTGCTTTACCCCCTTCCTGGCCTGGGGCTGGGTTTGGACCAGTGCCCTGGAGATGAGATGTTGATCCTCGTGCCTTGAGCCATCAGACACGGTCAGAGATCAGGTTCTTCTTTCCCACCTCCATGTAGAACTGCCAGTCCACAACAGGGGAAGCTGACGGGGGGGTGGTTTGTTTTAATCCTAAATAATGGGCTCTTATCCATGTGAGAGGTGAGATTCCCTTGGGACAGTCAGGCAGCTGCAGTTCTAGCTCTGGTGGTTGTTCTCTCTGTGGCATCTCTTAATACAAGTTTGTTGTTGTGGATTGTTGTAATATTTGTTGTAATGGATTGTTCTCGTGCTGTTTTGGGGACTTGAGTGAAGCAGTGCCAGTGTCCTCCCTGGCCTGGGCACCAGGGCTGGCTTTGCCCTGGGATGGGGCAGAGATGCTGGAAATAGTGCTGAAAATAACATTTAATGTTAACAGTGCTGAATAAAGGAAAGGAGAGAAATACTAAGAATAATCCACAGAAGTGAAAAAGTATTTATATTTGAGCTAAAGCTTGCCCTGGGGAATGGAGCCATATGTTGTGCATTACACAGCAGCCCCCCTTTAAACTGAACATTTCAGCAGTTAAGTGAAAAGAGCAAAGCCAGGCTGAGGTGACTGAACAAGGAAAGCGTGTTGTGCTGTGCAAATGATCCAGGGCTTTATGTTTTCCATAGTCTCTAGTTGGCCATTGTGGGTTTTATGCAACATTCCACATAAACATTCCTTCCCTCCTGACAGCTGGTCAGAGCCTGCTGCTCCAGGGACATTTAGTGCATGCAGGGATCTCGGGATACGCATCCCTGACTGTTTGCTTGGACAATCCCAGCTCCCTCCAAAAGATGTCCAGGTCCTGGGCACTGCCAAGAGCATGAAGACAAAGCAAAGTCAGTTCTGTGCCTGCCTCCCTTCCCTTTCCCCATCCCACCATATGGGTTCCCTCAGTGTAATGTGTTCCACTGCTTTCAGACACTGTGCAGAAACCAGAGCCAGGAATGTTTTTCTGTCCAAATATAGTCAGGATGACAGTCCTTGCCTGGAGTCCAAACCAAATATCCTCGCTCCAGAACCTGAGACCTCTTGAGCTCAGCAGAACTCTGAGGCTGCAGCAGCTCCCTCAGTGCTGAGTGTGGGGAATACATTCACCAGTGACACTGGGAATTCTGGCCAGAGCTGGTGCCCTGGTGGATCCAGGTGCACAGAGGCTTTCTCAGGAGTGTTGTTTGTGCACAGCAGTGGGTTCATGTGTCCCCCTTGGCTCCACGAGCTCCATCTGTGAGCCCTGAATGCCTCAGCACAGGAGCACAAGAGCTCTCCCCACCGGGCTTTCACTGCCCCAAACACTGGGCTTTGTCCTGGCCTTGCTGCTGAGGTGCTTTCTCAACAAATATTTGGCTTGAACTTGAAGAGTTTTTAGAGCATCCTGCAGCCAGTGGCTTGGTGGGGTTGGATGCACAGGCATTCTGGGTGAATGGGCACAGAGCATTCCCAGCATAGGGGGGGAAGTGAACTAAGGGCTTTCCAGGAAACTCTACTCTCACTCCTAATCCATCCAGGTGTAACCTGCTTGCTACCCTGACAGGGAAGCAGGATCCTAGATGTCACAGAGGTTGTGAGTCGTCTCTCCAGGAAAAGATTCCCATTCAGCCACCACATGTGGCACAAGATAAATGGCTCACGGGCAGTATGGTCCCTTCCCATCCAGAATATTCCAGTAACTCCTGGGAAAAGGGTTGTCTTGGCTGTGCTAACCTTTAGTAACTGCATGAATAAGTATTCAGAAACAATGAGATCCTAAGAATGCACTGTTACTAAAGCTCTGTACAGTAACTTTGCAAGGCTCTGTGCTGGGAAGTATTTTACAAAAACTTTCTTTACAATGGGACAAAGGAAATTCCTGGTTCCCTCAGGCTGTGGTTGTGTGAGTTCCCAGTCTGTGCTTTAAAGCTCAGGTTCCTGTGCTCCTCTTCACAGAAACAAGGCCCTGACTGTGTGCTTAGAAGATTTCAGGTTGCTGTTCTTCAAGATTCCACCCTCTGCCTCAGGCAGGTCTTTCTCCTGCCCGGTGCCGTGGGTCTCACCCTGCAAGGTGCAGGTTCAGTGCAGTCAGGACTGGTGTGAGATCCCCTGCTCTGAGGTGCTCAGGTGCTCTGGCAGGAGGTGGATGTGCAGTGCATAAGCTGATTTTCGAGCACTGCTGACTCTTCCTGGCTGGGTGAAAGGCAGAGGCACTCGAAGCTCTTGCGCAGTTCTGTGGCTGAAACTCAGTGTTCTTCCAGCACTCTTTGATAGCAATATTTTTCTTTTCAAGCCAGTGCTGTTTTACTGGAGAAGAGCTCTTGGCTGAAGGTTTTGAGCCTCATTCCAAGGCAGCTTTTACTTCAAGACTCCCTTCTCAATCAGTCTTTGTAGGTGTGTTCTCACCTACAGAAAGCAGCTTGTTCGGGGGACTCGAGGCATTGATCCTTCAGGAGTTTGTTGTTCCCACTTTCTCACTTGGTGCTTTGATCTGCAGCTCAAACCACAAACGGAGCTGCATTTGCATCTCTCTTTGGAGCTCCAAACAAAGGGCTTTTTCAGAGGGTTCATGAACAGGCACGTTCCTTCTGCCAACTGTGCTGCTGGGGAAGGAGGAACCATCCCTAGAAAGCTGCAGCAGCAGCTGAGGTGAGCCAATTCCACAGGAGGTAGAGCCCTGCACCCTGACTTTCTGCTTTTCATCACAGTTCCAGCTTCCCTTTGTAATTCTATCCATGGCTTCCTTCCACGTTACCCCTTATTCTGTCCTTCTGGTATCTGAACAACTGCTGCACGTTGTCCTCTCTCTGCAGAAAACATGGGTTTTCTCCAGGGGAGAGCTTGGGGGGAATGGAAAGGGAAAATTTTCGTGCAATTTTACACACAGACTCATTGGTCTTATTTATTCTGAGTTGTTTGAAAAGCCCCAGGCCAGCTTTAGTCTGAAAAATACATGAAATGTTGCAAGCTCATGAACTAGGGGGAAAAAATGCAAATTAAACAATTTTTCTTTATTACAATTACAAGAATTTTCTGAAACCTTTCAAATGCCTCGGATACCCCCAAGGAATGTTTTATATGGGCTGGCAACAGACCTACCCCCCCCTCCTCCCTGGCATTTGCTTGTGAAACTGGGAGCTTGCAGAGTTCCTTTTCCTTTGGCTGGGAAGAACTGGAGCTGAGGTCACTCCCCCCCCTCAGGACCAGGGGGTGACCCCACAGGGAAGTGCAGCTGTCTCTGAAAACCTGAGAATTTCTGAGTAAGCTTTTTTTAAAAAGTCCTGAACCGATTCAAGTCTGGAGCCTGGAGATGCCTCCAAGAACCTCCCAGCTCAAGACAAAGCGGCCACTTCCCCAGGTCAGTCTGTGTGACCCCAAAATCAGTAAGGTTCTGAAAATACTCATTTTCCTCAGCGTGATAACCCAAGTACACCAGAAACTTGCAGATCCCTTGCTGAGCTTGATGGGAGAGGGAGCTGATGTTTACTTTTCTGTGAGTTTGTAAACTCCCCGAGCAGTTTCCCAAGCAGAGAAAGCCCTGCCTGCTCTCACTGCATCTCGTTTTTGCCTCTCTCCTCCTGAAGACAAGCCCTTGACAAATGACAGCTCTCAGCGTTCAGCATCCCTAATGAAACATTCCAAGGGCATGATGCTGGCTGCTGGATTCCCTGGGCTGCCCCCTCCCCCAATTCTTTCATTACATAAAGCTGACAACTGCAGATCTGTCCCCTGTTGATTACACAGTTAAAGAAAGGAGTTCATGTCCACCCCAGCTTGTTTCACTTTGCTGCTGTTCCTCCGCCAGCCCAAATTTCAGCTGCAGTAACATGATCCCACTTGGCAGAGCCTGAGAGAATCTCTGGCACATTGGGAAGAGGCTTAATGTAAAGTCTACTTTTTTTTTCCTTTTTTTTTTTTTTTTTTTTTTTTTTTTTTTTTGAGAGCTTTTTTTGAAGCTCTGGTGGTTCTGCACAGCTTTGGCAGGAGCTGCAACGGGCTCCTCACAGATGCTCCAAATGTGAGCACAAGATGAGCTCAGTGCAGGGGATGTCTTAGTGCCTGTCCCAGCTCCCTCCAAAAGCTATTAAAGAGAGACATGGATCAAGCAGAAGAACTTTGTGCAGACAGGAGGAAAGGCTTCCCCTCACTGGACAAAAAAAAGAGCAGTGGCTGGAGAACCGTGGTGGGATTTTTGTGCCTGTTCCCTGTGGTGGCTCTGCTGGCGGTTGTGGAATATCCAGCTGGAGCTGCAGTTCAGGAAAGTCAGGTAGGAGAAGGGATCTGATTCTCAAATGCCTGGAAGGGGTGTGGGGTATCAAATACCTGTGTATGTTCTGTTTGGCAGGTGGATGCATTCAGGGAGAAATCTGAATAGAGAGATATCTGATCTAAATAGAGAAATATCTCGTAGGGCAACAAGGTGTGTTTAGGGCTGGCTGAGTCCCTTTTGGCAAAGGATCCCTGAAGGTGATGGTGCATCCCAGTGGAGTCAGGTTGTCAGAGGTGTGTGTGCAGTCTGGGGCAACCAAACAGTGGAGGCACAAAAAATTTGGGTTGTTTTCCCCCAGAGCTTTGGCTGTTCCTGTGAATCCTCTGCTCTCCCAGCCTGGGATGATGTGGCATTGCATGTCCTGGGATTTCTGGAGCAACTGAGCTTTCCTAGGGACTCAGGGCTTGTGTAGGACCTAAACTGGGTCCCACAGAACTCTTGGCTGGTATTGACTCCCTTTCAAGGTCCTTCCATTATCAAGATGTGCTGGGACAGTCTGAATCCAGGGGGAACTCTGGCAAGGCTCTGGGACTTTCAGGAGCTGATCTTTATTTTTGCTTTTATCTTAAATTTAGCTTTTAAATTTATATGTTAAAAAAAAAAATCTTGAAGTGCATCTTCTCCTGGGTCTTTTTGTGTTTATGAAGCTCTTGGCACTGGCCCCCCTTGTTTGCATCACATGCTCAAGGCTGTTATTAATTGGTCCTGATTCAGAGTTATGTTATTGTGTGGTTTGAGAGGGGAACTGCGTGGCCAGGAGGGAGAAGGGAATTAATTACAGTCGTTACAGCTCAGTGAAGTAACTTACTGGAGGTCTGACTGCAAGGGGGAATAATGCAGAGCAGGGATGTTGGCCAGTGTCTGCCTTTATATTTATATATATATGTCTCATATATATTTGAGATTATATATATGATTTCAACAACTATGTGTGCTGCTGAGAGGGAGAACTGAACACCTGCCCTTCTAGTACCTCCCAGGCATTTTGGAGTTTTTGAGACCTTAACCCACAGCTGAATGAGTTTCTTCCTGGGAGTGTCTGACCTCTTCAGTTCTGTGTATTCCCAAAGTCTTGGATCTCTGGCACCCGGGCAGATCCTTTGATGGAAGTTATACTGTGAATTTTTAACGAGGTCACTCCATTTCTGTCAGAACCCCACGTCTGAGCTGCACTTTGGGTGGTTCCCCACCCTTCCCCAATTTGTTCTGCAAGGCTTTTCTTAATTAAAAGCATTTTGTTGCACCAGTGGTGGGTAGAACTTGAGCCTAAAGGAGAACAGAGACTGGGCAGAAGGTTTGAGCAAGAGAACTCAGGCTCTGCACCTCTCTTGGTCCAGTGGGTCACATTCATGTCTCAGGGGTTGATGCTGGGCCTGGGTCACCCTCAGTTTGGTTTGGATTTTGAGGATAAGTTCACTAGTGACACATTATTTTAATTGTTTCCCTTTGCCTGTTCAGCACTAATGAATGGCCTGAGGGTTTTAAGCTCAATGGCTGTAGAAAAGACAATCATTTTTCTCCCTTGGGGCTGCAGGAGAGAGCAAATTCAGTGTTCTGGCTTTGCTCAGGAGCAGGAACATCCAGCACAGGGACAGAGAGCTGCTCACCCCAGTGTGAGTTAACAAATCTCCTGAGCTGGAGTCCAGAGACTGACAGAATTCCCAGTAATCCTGGGCTCTTCCTGACTGATGCCAGATTACATTAATAATGTAATCAACCCCAATACTGGCACGGGATTGCAGAGAAAACAACAAAGACAGAAAGGATTTGCACAATTCTTCACTGCTTGAAAGAACTGCAAAAAAATAAAAGGGGAAGATAACTTATTATCCTGTAATTATGAGCTAATCTTCTCCAGGCTTCTCTTGCAGCTCCAACAGATCCTCCACCTTGTCTGTGCTGCTCAAAAGGATGCAAAATTTCCCTTTCATATGGAGGGAAAAAGGCATTCTCAGAGTAGAAGCCACTGGAGGTGAAGGGAGAGGGACAACAGCCACTGCACCCACATCACCTGTGCCTGGGGAGGAAGGGGCAGGGCCTTGAGCTGAGTGACCCAAAAGCTGTGATCCAACCCCCTGCCAAAGGCTTTCAGCTCAGAGGGCAGTGCTGGCTCCCACCTCTGTCTCTCAGGGATGTCCCTCGAGTTCCTTGTGGGCAAAGACTGTGCTGGGCTCCGATGGTGAGTCAGAGCCAGGGCTGAGCTGCAGGAAAGGCTGAAAACTGCCCTCCTGGGAAAGAAAGAGGCTGAGATTAGATCAGGGTGGAGGGAAGAGTGGCAGTGAGACGTGAGAAAAGAGGCTGGTTTGCTGTTGGGATGGAATCCCTCAGGATGGTGAGCGCTGGTGCTCCGGGCACATCTGGCAGCCGTCGCTTCAGGCCTCTTGTCCTCCCCTGCCACCGCCTCGCTGTGACACCAGGGACGTGCTGCTTTGGCTCTCAGAGCCTCGGTTCTTCCATGAGGAAAATGAGGACAGCTCTTGTTTCCTGTGGAATGTGCTGTGAGGCTGAACAGACTCGAGCTGGTGCAGCTTTTGTGCCACAGCCACTGTACATGTCACTTGGGAAGTGTCCTGGTGCCTCTGGAGCAAAGATGGCTCACAGATATTCAGTGTCTTAGTCCTGGAAAGGGGAGACAGAGCAGGAAGCCATCCAGAAAATCATGTTGGGTCCCATTCTTTTACCTCCACTGCTCGGGATGAAAAGGCTTTTCTAATTGGAGTCAGACGTGTCACTAAATTTAATGTCTCTTACTTTTCGATGGTTTAAATCCTCTCCAGGGTTTCCAGGGCTGCTGTTTACTTTGAAGGCATTTCAGATCCACAGCACAGCTCTTATAAAGAGCTCTCTGCACAAAGAGCTGCCTGTTTTAGTCATTTTTCCAGCTTTACATTTCTTCTGTGGCGAGGCTGGAGAGCAACAGGAAAGCGAAAAGGAAATGAAAACTTTCCAGGCAGAGCTGCAGCACTTGCCGTGGCCAGAAGCCTCCTGAAGCTTCTTTTCTGCTCCATCTGTGCCACACTCCAAGAGGAGAGTGGCTGCAGTGCCCTGGGGTGGGATGGTGCAGCCAGACAGGACCATCTTGTCTCCTGGACACCCCCAAGGCAGCTCCAGTTGTGCTCCCCAGCCTGCAGCTGTCCTGTACTGGTCGTTTTTATTGCACACTGTTCAGGCCTGGGGTGTCTCCCACCCCTTCCAACCTGCTGCTTTGTCTTTAAGGAAGATGCCACATCCCCTGGCCTGCACAGAGAGGGTTCCTCAGCTTCACAAAGCCCAGCTTTCCCTCGTCCTCCAGCGCGGAGAAAACGCTACACCATCACCCCGGGGCACTTGAGATGGGACCACTTCAACCTGACCTACAAGTAAGAGGGATCCTGGGGCCTGAGTTCTTCCTGCCACGGGTTTGGGTATTGCCCATGTGGTTATTCCTCAGCCCTGTGCAGGGAGAGCTGCTAAAGCCACTCTGAAATAGGAATAATCCTACAAATGCTGCACCTCTCACTTCAGTGAAACCCTTCAGGGCAGATTCAGGCTTCCTGAGCAGGGACCTCCCTCAGAAGGTCGTGACTGGAGGACTAGCTCTGTCATGCTGATGTTTTTAACAGTTCTGTTTGAACCTAAACCATCCCTGAGGGAAATCCCCGTTGGGATTTCGAGATCTCTCTGATTTCAGGAGGACAGAGCTCTTGGTACTTTTAGGAATCTGTCTCCCTGTTGTCTTTGGGAAAGGATTTCAGCTCTTGGATTATTAATAAACAACAAAAAGCCCATGACAATCCTGGGGTGAGGGAATGCTGTGCTCCTTTGCAGGAGCATCCCAAACAGGCTCAGCCTCACCAGAGCCTTAATTGTCCAGGTTTCCCCTCGTTAACAGCCTGGCTTGATACGAAACCTTCTGCTCCCTTTAGGATGTGCTGGGACGAAGGGAGAACATAATCAGCATAGCTAAAAAACAACCAGAGGGGATAGAGAATATACCCAACTTTTCCCCATTGAGGCAATTCCCTGAATGCAGATCTTCCCGTGGGCCAAGGTAAGTTTCCAGGAGCCATCTGTGCATTCCCATGGTACAAACAGGGCCTGCACCAGGAGTTTTCCCCCAGCTCACTCCGTAGCCTAACCAAAAACCTCTCTTGAGTCTCTCTCCCATGGGATTTAGAGCTTTTTTTCTAAAGGAAATAACTTGATAAGAAAACAAGTCTTTGATATTCTTTGGGACTCTCTTTCAGAAGTTCTACCTGGGAGTATTTTACACCACTGTGCACATCCATTGTAGCCCAAGTGTCAGGAGCAGGAGTTCCCTGCTGCTGGAACGCAGTCGTTTCCTCTTCCAGCAACCCTGCACGGCAGACTGGGAGACATCAGGATAAAAATAGTTATCTGAGGGAACCTTGTCTTAAGTGCTGTGCTTGAGAGGAGGAGCAAAAGCTGAAGTGCAGAGCACGTGACTGTGGAGAACATCAGCTCTTTATTCATCCCCACGGGGGTTCATTAAACGTGGGTAACATCCAGTTCAGGCGACTCCCGATTTGAACCTGTTGGAGTGAACAGAAATCCTTGTCTGCCTGACTGTGGCCTCCAGCTGGTGTTTGAGGAGGGGAGGGCGTTTTTCCTGAAGCTGTCGTGTGTCCCTGCAGAATCCTGTCCTTCCCGAGGAACCTGCTGAGCGCCAGGGACACGCGCCGGGGGCTGGCGGCCGCGTTCCGCATGTGGAGCGAGGTGTCCCCGTTCAGCTTCAGGGAGGTCCCCCGGCACCTCCCCAGCGACCTCAAAATCGGTGAGTCCCTGAGGGATCCAGGGATTGACTTCCAGTGTGTAAAGCAGGGGGTGGGAGGCAGGAGATGTTCCTCCTGCGCCGGGCGGGCTCGGCCTCTCGGAGGAGGGTTGGGACATCCTTTGCCTTTAGTCAGGCAGAGAAACTGCTTTTAGCTGAAATTACGTATTATTTTCAGAGAAACTACTTTTAGCTTTTATTACTTATTGTTTTAGCTTTTATTGCTTATTAATTTTTATTGATTTTTATTAAAATTCCTTGTTAATATTTAGGAAATGTTAATATCACGATTCACGCTTTCTGTGAACCTTGTGGTCAGGAAGCTTTAGGGATTTGCCAAGAATTAACACTCTGCCACTGGGACAGATGGGGAAATCCACATATTCCTGTCCCAGAAATGCAGAAATCCCCAGATTTGTATTCTAGAAATGGGGAAATCCATAGATTCCTATTCCAGAAATGGGGAATTTTGCAGAAGAATAAGAATCTGTAGATTCTTGTCCTGCAGATTGGGAATCTGAATGTTGGAAGGTGAAGTGCCATACCCAGGGTCACACAGAGCCAGAGCAGGAGATGGATTCCAGTTGTTCCTGGGTTTGGTCTCCCTTTTGTTGATCCCACTGGAGCACTGTCTTTGCTCCCTCCCCTCTCTCCTGCCCCTCTCTTGCTCTGCAGTTGTTCTGGAGTTCCTGGGACCTGGAAAAACATCAGTGCTGAAGCTTTTTCTGCTCAGCCTCAACCTCAGATGTAAATCCTTCCTGGGATTTATGGTCTGTGTGAAATCCTGATTTCCTGTGCATGTGGCAGCAGGACTGAGACAACCAGCAGACTCCCCATCGTTTCGCAACTCGCTCTGGTGCTGCAGGACCCTGCTCAGAGCACATGATGTGCTTCCAGGGGTCTGTCCTGCTCCCTGTGAGCTCCAGGTCCCCAGTTCCAGGGGATGCGGGATGCACTGTGATCCTGCTGTGGTGCTGACAAAGAGCTGGGGAGCAGCTCTCACTGTAACTCTGCCCCTGCTTATTGACATTTAAAATAGAACAGTTCCATCCCGGGGTTATCAGTTCAGCTTCTCTCTTAAAAAAAATGATTTCCACGTGATGTTGCAAGACAAGCTCAGCATTCCCTGCTGGGAAGTAAACTTATTTGTGTCCATTGGGAACAGCTCTAAATCCAGGGGCAGCACGTGGCCATCCATTGCTTTGCATTTGTCTTTGCTTTTGTGGCTCCGGAGGTCGGAAAACACGTGGGATCCCATCAGAGACCTTTTTAGTGACTCAGGAGTTCACTGACCCTGCCAGATCCACTCAATCTGCTGCTTTTTTTTCCACAGGCTTCTACTCCATCAACCACACGGACTGTCTGGAGTCCCTCACCCACCACTGCTTCGATGGCACCACGGGGGAACTGGCCCACGCCTTCTTCCCACCCCACGGAGAAATCCACTTCGATGACCACGAGTACTGGATCCTGGGGAACACCAGGTTCAGCTGGAAGAAAGGTAACAGGGAATGCCTGGGATTTCGCTTTCAATCTGGGATTTACCTGACGTGGGAAAGAGGCAAAAGAGCCAGCTGTGGTTTTGTGGGGGTTTGGAAGCTGCTCCTCTGCCCCGTGACTCAGCTGGGCCAAGGGACCCTGTGGGGTGGCAGGGCTGTTTCTGGCTGAATTATTCCATGGAATTATCCCATAGTTCAGTCATAGCCTTCAGTTAAAATCCACCCCTGCTGGATGCATGGTTCAGGATGCTGCCAAGAGGCTTGAGTTTGTCCCGTGGGCTGAGGGGGATGCAGAGCTCAGTGGAGGCCCTTTCAGACTGGAATATTCCTGCTAAAAACCCCAGTTCCAGCTCAGGGCTGTGGGAACCTGACAAGAGTGAGTGTTGCACAGGGACAGGCCTTCAAACATTGCTCCTTTGGAGTCTGGCACTGCTCTGTGTCCTGCTGCTGGAAATTAGGAGCATGTGGAAATAATTGGCTTTATTTGGACCCAATAAAGAAGATGAAACTGGGGCAACCTTTGACAGGACCGTGCTAGTGCTAAACTATTTCCTCTGGTTTTAGGATTAGCAAACACACTTTACCACACAATTCCAGCTGGTTTTCCCTTCCTTCCAGGTGTTTGGCTGACAGACCTGGTCCATGTAGCAGCTCATGAAATAGGCCATGCCTTGGGCCTGATGCACTCCCTGAACCCCAACGCCCTCATGCACATCAACGCCACCCTGACTGGGAAAAAGACCATCTCCCAGGATGAGGTGTGGGGAATCCACAGGCTTTATGGTGAGGAACCAGGGCTCTGGATCCTGCAGAGCTCTCGTGGTGTCAGAGCCCAGCTCTGTTTGTGCTCCTCCTTTAGATTCTTCCCTGTCCCAGCTCCCCCATTTACACAGGGGGATCTGATTAAGTGTTGATTTTTTTCTCAGAAGGAACTCCCTCCCCCAGCCCCTCTAATGCCCGTTTCTCCTCCTGTTTCAGGCTGTAAAGACAGATTATTTATGTGCCCAGCATGGGCAAAAAAAGGCTTCTGTGAGAAGCGCAGGAAGCTGATGAAGAAGCACTGCCCATCCACCTGTGACTTCTGCTACGGTATCCAAGGTTTCTTCTGGGATTTGGGAAGGGGTTTTGCACAGAGAGAGGAGGTAAAAGTTATTTAGGGAGAGGCAGGATCTTAATTTCACGCTAGAGATCAGTGGGTGCAAATGATGCAGCTCCAAGCAGCACAACAGAGATGGGGTCTCGGGTATTAGGGGGCAACTTTTATGTTTAAACATTCATGGAGTGGAACATTAAACTGTCCTGTTCCTCTCTAGTTTAACTGAACCAGTGACAGGGGACAAATACCACAGGCAGGGAGAGGGAAGGGCTGCAGGGCAGTTCCTGAGGCAGGGAGGGGACAGAAACAGGACAAGGGGCATCTCAAGCACAGCTGGGCTTGAGCTGCTCCCAGAAAAGGAGATAAAGGATGTTAATCCTGATCCAGCCTCTCAGTTTTACAGATCCAGATAAGGGACTAATGCAGGATCAGGCCAAGTTGCTGCAGCTGTGGAATTAAATTCAGACAAATAACTGGCCTTAAGATGTACCGTGAACTGGTACCTCTTCTCCAGCACAGCATTGGGGTTTTTTAGGCCAGATTAATGCAGAGATGCAATCAGACAATTACAAACACTTTGAGGACTGTTCATATCCTCTTCCATAGCTGTGGGCTAGTTGATTTTTATCCATCTCAGTTTACACCCCACAAAGTAAGTTTTTATCTTTGCACGTGAATCATGTTACGTGTCCGTCCAAAAACTGCTCATTTTTAAATTAATACTTTCAAGGCTCCTTAAATGACAACCTAATTCTGTGCAAGTGTTTTGGAAGGACCAAACTTGCTGATGAGAGCTGCTCACTAACTGCTGCCACTTCCCTCTCTCCTCTCTGGGGGGACAGAATTCCCATTTCCAACGGTGCCCCCGACTCTGCCCCCGCCAAGGACCAAGACCAAGACAGTTTCTGAGGGCAGGAACGTCACCTTCCGCTGCGGGCAGAAGATCATCCACAAAAAAGGCAAAGTCTAGTAAGTGCTCCATCCCTCCTCCCACTCCTTGGGAGCCTCTGCAGGGAAAGGATGAGGGAGGATGGCAAACCTGGGTGACTGGGAATGGAGTTGTTTCTAATCTGGAGGGTGTCACTGGCTCCTTCCAGAGCTGGAAGAGGGGTGGGAAGGGAGAGTGATTGATCAGAACGTGGCAGAGCTTTTCTTTAGCCTGAAAGCAGAGCTCTCAGAAACCACCAGGAGGTCAAAAAAAGGATAAAATCCAGTTCTCATACAGAGCACAAAGCTAATTGCTATGATCAAGCCAAATTCCCTGATCTATATTCTGAAAAAAAAGAAAAAACAGTGTTAAATTTACCCTTTTAGTTCATTGTTATTTAGCTGTTACTAAAATACAAGCATGTTATTTAATGCTGAGAGATTGGCCCATGAGTTGGTTTAGATTGAGGACCCAAATTCCCATTAACTTTTAGTGAGATTCAAGCTCCAGAATTACTCAGGATTGTGCCCTGTTACACTTGAAATACAGAGTAAAACCCAACTGTGTTTTCTTGAAGTCCATCTCTGCTCTGCACTTAAAAATTTAGTGGGAGAAAGAACAATTAACACACACATTGAACTGTTCTAGACATTTGTAGTTTAATTTCTGTTGTTTTTCTTATGACAGCTGGTATAAAGATAAGGAGCTTCTGGAATACTCATATCCAGGTTATTTATCCTTAAATGAAGATCACATGAGCATCATTGCAAATGCAATTAATGAAGGAACTTACACTTGTATAGTGAAGAAAAAAGAAAGGATCCTGACTACTTATTCCTGGAGAATCAGACTGAAGCACTGACAAGGCCCTGGAATGAGCTCCTTCAGTTCCTGCTAGTTCTGTTTCAAATTGTTTCTTTGGCATTTTTTTATATTTAATTTCCAGTAGTGCAACTGAACTTCTCCATCAGCTGCTTCCTCACCCTGGGCAAAAGAGACTCTTGAGACTGGTTACTGGAATGTAAAACTCTCCCATATTAGTTTTAATGACAAAGAATTTATCAACTAGGTGCTGTACAGAGAATTAAAAAAAAAACAACATTTTTTTTTTTTAAAGAAAAGCGTCAGATGGTGCAGTTGAACTGTGTGGATCCCTGGGAACTGCTGGAAAACAGGAGCAGAACTGCATCAGCCACCAGGATGGCTCAGCTGGGCTGCACTGGAGGCAGACTGGGGAAGGGAAAAGGAGCAGTTTAATACTCTGCAAGTGTTTCTGCCCTTGTTTTAGATCCTGGTGCTCTGCAACACAAGAAGTTCTACCCAAGTCTAAGCCCCAGGATCACGTTTGCTCCTCCTGCTCAGGAGGAGGGTGTGGGGCACAGCAGCCCTGTCTCACTCAACTCCACAGTCCACCGTGGGCAGGTCAAGTATCCCCAGAACATCTTTTCCCCCCCGATCCCCTTCCCAGGGTCTGTATTTATTCCTTTGATCCCAACAGGCCCCGAGTGCTCAGAGCTTGTCCCTCAGGTGTCCGAGCCAGGAGCAGACAAGGTGATTTCCATCGCTGTCCTCCCCCAGGCTGAGGGAAATGTGCCACATCCAGCTGGAAGAGAGCACGAGGAGTGGTTGGCGAAGCTGGGAAGGGAATAATTCCATGTCAGATACAAACTCTGCAGTCAGTCATGGTTTAATCCTTGAGTTCACACAGGCTCTGCTTCCGTGGACTCCTGCTTTTCAAGGGGTTACTGAGCTCCCTCTCCGAGGAATCTTCTGGAATCGGGAATGTTTCAGTGACAGACCAGTGACAGAGCTGTTTCTCCTTCAGAAACAGAAACATTCCTGCACAGGGAAAACAACCCAGCTGCTTCCAAACCTCACCCCAACTTCAGCACCTCCCCTTCCAGCTCCAAGGCCTTTACCCTCAGAAGAACTCTTCAGAATGTACTGAGAGGGATAGAATGTTTATGATTTCTGTTAATCCTGTTCCTGGCCTGGTGCCCAGTTCTGACTGCTTGAAAATTTGGTGTTTTCCAAACCTCCCTTGTTCCCAGAACAGAGTGAGCCCATTATAAATCAGGAACTGCAAGGGATGTGATATTCCAACACAGTTCCTCCTCTGGTCGGTCCTGAGATGTGGCATTACACAATCACTACACAAGCTCTTCTTTTGATGGAAAAAGGGCATATTAAAAGAACTTCCATAGAAAATAAAGTTTCAAGTCTCCATATTGCATCTTTTTTGATTTATAAAACAATAGAGGAACTTCTTTTGCACCACTGGAAATACATGGAAAGAACAAAGCAAACAGTTTTCAGCTCAGCAGTGCACCCCAGGCTTCTTCTCTCAAAGGTAACAGGAAAGAAATCTCATAACTGGCACTTTTTTCCTGCCCCAAATATATTCAGACACAAACAATTCCCTTAAAATAAAAAATAAACTCTATTTACTGTCACCAGCATCCAACTTTGCTGCAGGTGAAGCAATGAAATCCTTCACACTGTTAAACAATTGAAAATGTATTTTAATTCTACAAATTTACAAGGAGAAAAAAAAAAAACCCACCAAACCAAACCCAACAAAACAAACAAACAAACAAAAAAAACCTAAAAAGAAACCAGAAACTGTTCCAGGACTGTAGTTCAAGTTGTCCTTTGTCACAGTTTGTGATGATCCTGGGGTTTTCAGGTAACTCCAGTCCTCTAATGGAATGCAGCAGTTATACTCCACGTGGATTTATAAAACAGAGCCTTGGAATCCGTGATAAGGTTTGAGTTTTTCACAGGGGAAAAAAAAAAACCAAACACATCTCGTCCCCCTGACACGAAGAACAGAACTGGGGCACTCAAATCCACTCACATGAATGGTGCTTCTTTTTCTTTGTGGGGTTTTTTTCCCCCCTCCCTCTTTCACGTTGAGTTTAAAACTTGAGGCTGAAGCCAGGTCCTGCAGCAGATGCTCCCTGGTTGGTGGTGGTCAGATGAAATCCTGTGTCTTTCAGATCATCATCACCCTGGGAAAAGCAAGCACAGGTCACTGATCAGTGGCTGGTTTTACCTCTCCAGCACAAAAATCTCAACAACAACAACAAAAAGTAAAGTATCTCTAAAAGAGAAACAAATGTTTGCTGTTGTGGCATCACAGCTCAGGTTCTGGGCAGGGTTATCTGTGATCTTTAAACATTCCTAGTTCAAAAGCTGGCTTTGCTAAAGGCAGCTCGAGTGTTCCTGGTTCTTGCACCTGCTTTTGACTGCATGGAAAAGATAAAAAAATTGGGAACACACTGTATGAATAAGTGTAAACTGCACTTAGTGAGCATCTGATCAAACACACTGTGGTTGTGCCATGACAATTTTTATACCCTGAAAAATCAAGGCTAAGTAAGTAACCTTTTCAGCTTCCTTACACTGTTAAATTGGGCACAATATTGTACAGTGCCATTTCAACTCTGCTGAGACGTGGAACTGGAATTAAGGTACCTGAGACTCTGAACATGCCAGACTTACATGGGCAGCACAGTCCCGTGGACACCCCAAAAGACAGAAAGAACACGAGCCTGGCCTTTTTTGAATTCCCCAAATACTGGAATAAATTGGGGATATTTCTACCCCTGAGACCTGTATAACTCACCAGGCTGCAGACTAACTTCCCAAACAAATGTGAAGGCTTAGCTGGAAGTGTAAAACAAGGTACACTTTTAAAAAGAGAGTGTTCTGCACCAGGATAAAACCAGGCCTGATTGTGTCCTGAACACAGCAGTGAGTGGATTTGCCCCTTGGGAAGGCACGGAGGGAAAGCTGGACTTTCCAAAGGCCCCCCCAGCTCCATGGGCTCACCAGCTGGCTGTAGCCCAGCCCTCCCTCGGGGGGCCGGGGGCTCGTGCCCCTCTTGACGCGCTGCTGCTCGCTCTTGGCCGGCCAGGTGGGGAACATGGAGGGGTCGATGGGCAGGGGGGTCTCCCGGAAGTACTCGTGCTTCAGCCCGTCCTCCGCAGTGATGCGCCGAGCCGGGTAGTACGTCAGGAAGCTGCGGAGAGGGGGGAAGGGAGCTGAGCCCCTCAACTAGAAATCCGTCCAGAACACAACTGAGGGGTTTTGGTGTTTAACAAAGAATCCTAGGACTGGGGATTGGGTACAATTCTATTAATTTGGTATCATTCTATGACTGGGTATTGGGTTTTAATTGTAATAATTTGGTATCATTCCATGACTAGGTATTGGGTTTTAATTGTATTAATTTGGTACAATTCCATGACTGGGTATCGGTTTTAATTCTATTAATTGGTTATAATTCCATGACTGGGTATTGGGTTTTAATTCTATTAATTGGTTATAATTCCATGACTGGGTATTGGGTTTAATTCTATAAATTGGTTATAATTCCATGACTGGGTATTGGGTTTAATTCTATTAACTGGTTATAATTCCATGACTGGGTATTGGGTTTAATTCTATTAACTGGTTATAATTCTATAGAATGGGTATTGGGTTTAAGTCTAACCTATAGAATTAAACCCAATACCTAGTCATAAATTGGTTATAATTCTATGACTGGGTATTGGGTTTAATTCTATAAATTGGTTATAATTCCATGACTGGGTATTGGGTTTAATTCTATTAACTGGTTATAATTCTATAGAATTAAACCCAATACCCAGTCATAAATTGGTTATAATTCTATGACTGGGTATTGGGTTTAATTCTATAAATTGGTTATAATTCTATGACTGGGTATTGGGTACAGTTCTATTAATTGGTTATAATTCAGCCTGGGGCTGACTGTTTCCAGCCTTTCACAACCCAGAACCAAGCTCCACTGCCCACCCACTCCCCAGGAGCCCCTGGAAGCTGCACTCACTTGTTCATGAGGTCAAAGCCCTGGTCCGAGAGCAGAGCCCCGAATCTCTTGCGCAGGTTGTTGTAGGGGTACTCTGTGAAGGTCATTTTCTTCACTGCTGGCAGCTCGTTGTACCCAGGCCAGATTTTTTCACTTGGAGTACCCAGATCCTATAAATTAAAGTATCTCCTTAATAAACTCAAGAGTGCAACCCTTTACTTAGGAGTTGGGAAGTATCCAAAGAAAACGGACAACACCCAGATCGTGGTTTTGGTCTACTCTGAGTAAAGAGCCTTTTATTAAGGCTGAATCTCTGTCACAGAGCAACAAGCACTTTTAATTCCTTACTACTCATCTCTAAAACGAGTCAGAATCCAAAAAACATTAAAAAAATTACCTTAAAAACTTTGTTAATCTGGTCAATCTCTGACTTCCCTGGGAACAGAGGCTTCTGCGTCAGCAGCTCCCCGAAGATACACCCCACTGACCACATGTCTATGGCTGTGGAATATTCCTGGAAAGAAGGAAAATAAAATTATGCCTTATAAAATCAGTGACATACTTTCACTGGTTGGGGGGGGAGGGTTGTGGTTTGGGGTTTTATTTGTTTTAGAGGTTTTTTTAAGGATTCTACACTCTGACCAGGACACACACACAATCATTCCCACACCCCAGGTCTCAACTCTATTTATTTAAAGGTTGTAATTCCTGTGAATTGTGAGCAATAGCCATGTACACAAATACTTCAGGATAAAAGGCGAAGGTCTCCACACTGATGTCTCTCTTTTCCATGCACAAACAAAGCAGCACAGCTGATAAAGCAGGATTTTTTCTGGCATGGTTCTTGTCACTGAACCCGACTGATTTCACCCAGATTTCACTTAATCAGCAGGGAACATTGCCAGGACCTTGTTCTGCTCTCAGGTGTCACAGATTTTAGATTAGTTTAAGAAAAAAAATTAAAATCCCAACTGCAGTTTGCCCCAATCCATGAGAAGTCCAACAGCACTGACCACATCATCATTCCAAAGGAGAAAAACCCTCTGTCTGGGGAAGATGGAAGGTTTTTAGCTGTGTTTTTAGGAGGAATAATATTGAATATTCAGAATTTCCAGCTCTGAATCAACACAAAGAGCATGCTCTGAATCAACACAAAGAGCATGCTCATCCTTTGTTCATGATTTATAAAATACAGTCAGGCTGAAGGGGAGGAACCAACCTTGGCTCCAAGCAGCAGCTCTGGAGCCCTGTACCACAGAGTCACCACCACGGGGGTGTAGGGCTTCAGGGGAGACCCATATTCCCGGGCTAACCCAAAATCTCCAACCTAGAAGGAAAATAAATGGCAATTAGAAACATTTCCAGCACTGGCCATTCACTGTCAGTGCCTTTTTGGCCACTGTGTGGCTTCACCCTTCAGAAACAGCCACACACAACACACAGTTCTCAGCTCTTGCCAGAACTATGACACAGTATAATCCTGCAGCACAAACTCTTCCCTAAGTGTGGTATTTTCCATGGAATTCTTACTTTTAAAATGCCTGAATGACTGAGCAGCAGGTTGGAGGTTTTCAGGTCTCTGTGCAGGATCCAGTTGTCGTGAAGGTGTTTGACCCCTCGCAGTAACTGAATCATCAAGGTTTTCACTTCCCCTGGAATGACAAAAAGAAGCCAAATGCATTTATGAGAATAAATCTACCTTTCATTTTTGTTTCATTTGGAGAACAGGGAAGGGGGCAGGAAGGGGTGTCGAGTTAAAAGCAGAGTATAACTTGTACAATAAAAACATGTCACAGAACAAGAGCTGCTGCCAATAAGGCAAAATTCATTTGGGTAGCTGGAATGCACCCAAATTATGCTCAGCAATTATTGCCTCTCCTAGGAAGCAGCCAAAATTTAAGCCCAGTGTTACTTTTCAGTGTAGCACAGGGGAAATTCCCTCAGTTCCACTTCTGAACACCTCCACACTGGATTCATCAGCCCAACATCAGCAGGAGTATCAGCACTCCCATCCAATCTTAATTTGTGTCAGTTTTTACAGCACTAACAGAAAATGCAGGGAATGCTCTGTTCCAAGGAACATGGGACATTCCAAAGCACCACATGTGCTTGTACGAAGCCATTCCCTGACGTCAGAGCTGCCATTTGTGGGGGCCAGTTTGGAGGATTTCAGGAGACTGTGGCAAACAGTACCTGGCAGGAAGGGCTGTTTCATTGTTTCCATCAGGCTCTTGAGGTCGTGTTCTACATAATTCATGACAATATAGATTTTATCCATATTACTGCCCACAACGATTTCCTACAACACAGAAACAGACCGTCAAAACCAGCACGTGGTGTTTAAAAAGCACCCAAAAATCAATGTTTTAAATTGATCCCGGCAAGAGGATGGAGGCTGCCACTGGTAAAATCCATGGAAAACGTATTCTTCTATTAAAAAAACACCTTATTTTTGCAAAACATCAGGTTATGGAGACAGTAATACCTATACAGTCTTGTGAGGAGCACACAGCTGCCCATGAGCTCTGCAAGGATTGCTAACATCAGGCATTTAAAAGCTGAGAGGCAATATTTCAAGAACAGAAATACTTGTGACATAGAAGATTGTAGCCTTACTCTGACAGTGACAATGTTTAGATGCTGTGCTTTCAGAATAGTATTTATTTCCCTCAGAGAAGTAATGGGAAAGCCTTCCTTCTCCTTTTCCATCTTCAGTCGCTTCAGAGCCACAATTTCATCTGCAAAGAGAACACATTTCCCATCACACAGCTACTAAATACACATCAAGGGGTCTCCCAGCGTTCTGCCACCCATTTGTTTAATATTTAATTTACTGTGCTATGTTTTGCCTTGAAAATGACCTGCTTGCTGGTAAAGAAGCGTTTTAAATAATTTTGTTCCTCAATGAAAAATGTAGAACCATAATTTGCACACAAGTGCAGCCCTAAAATCCCCTGAAGGGAACAGGAGAGCACTGATACCAACCAGTCTTCTTGTCCTTTGCTCTGTACACCACCCCATATGTTCCTTCTTCAATCCTGTTCAAACACTGGAATTCCTCCACGCTGCGACATCCCTGAAAAAAATACAGGGACAACATTTACCCCTCCAGCATCTGGGGGAGGGTTTTGCTTGGGTTTTTTAAAAAGGCACCCAGCAAACTTCAGCAACTTCACAGTTTAGATTTACCAAGAGAATTCATCATTATGGCTACACCATCTTTGGGGGTTATTTTTGACAGGATTTCTAATGGAATCCTGGACAGAGTCTGTGTTTCAGCAGATTAACTAAATTACTACTAAATTATTAACTAAATTATTTCATTAAATCTTCACTCATTCACTTTTGCACAGAATAATCTGAAATTTCTGCCACAATGGCAAAGGCAGCAACTCGGCACCTCACACTGATACCTTTCACATAACTCAATTATTAAAAATCTGCTTTTTACTCATATTTCTCCACTTTGCTGTTGGCTACATAAAGAATAACCACCCATCAGACTCCTGTTCACCATAACAGAACTCCTCTCTCACAGGGACCTATTTTCAGGTGGCAATACCAAGATAACAGAGCATCAATTATATTATGCCCTTCTTATCTACATTTAAGAGTTCTCCCCTACCTGAAGTGCAGGAAGGTACTTGGGAAGCTCCTGTTTCAGTTCAATGGGAGAGGAAGCTGGGGAGTCAGGAATATAGTCCCCTTCTGTCATGGCATTGGAATGAGGGGATCCCTCCCCTACCTCCTCCTCCTCCACTTCACTTCCCGCTGAATCTCGGTCAAACCTCGACTCTGTAACTTTAAAAGTCAGAATCAGTGGTGGAAAGAGGAGCTGTCTGGAATAATTACATTCAGGTTTAGCCAAATGAGGGGAGTTAGACACTGATCACTGCTGAGAAGCCCAATCTCTCCTCTTTGCACAGGTGATGCTTTCAAGGACTCATTTACAGCCATGGACACACAATTTCCAGTGTCAGAAAAATAAAACTTTACACTGGAATGAAAGAGAAAACTGACCCAGGATATCTCACTCTGATTTTTGAGGAGAGGACAGGACAAGAGGCCCAAAATGAAAAAGAAGGAAACATCAGCTCATTAGACTAGGATCTGATTGCCTCTAAGCCTTGGAACAGATTTCAAGGAATTTCTGATTCTGACACGAAAATGGCCTTAAAATGCCAAGTATATGATGCTTTAGAATGGTGGCAAAACTGCAACAAGAACTGGATTCAAAATATTTAAAGTATTTCTAGAAATAGATCGATTTGGCCGCAGAAACAGTCGGGATTTGCACTGTACCAACTGGGATGTGGTTTCCATTCTCCCGCTCCTCCTCTTCACTCATTTCCTCTTCGCTCACCTCTTCTGCAAAACAGAATCGAGTTCAGCTGAACCCTCCCCGCGTTCCTGCAGCACCTCGTGAGGCAAATCACTGCTGAGATGCTTTTCCACCTCACCTCTGCACTGCCTGTTACTGACCAAGCACTCCTGCTTCACTTGGACAGCAAATGCTTCCAAGAGGGAACACAATTCTTACCAGTTATCTGGGCATTTGGGGATGGATTATGAATATTTGCTTATTAATTGTAACTGATTTTAAAGAAAAATACCCAGCCTGTTGTGCCTTTTCAGTAATGACCAGAATGCCCGTATGCAGACTTCTTTACTGCATTTTTGGTATCATGTTCATTTACTTGTACTGGGATGAAGAATAAATCTGAAATGTGCAACTGAAAATAATTTGAAATCACAGAAACATTTGTATTTCACCACCCCCCAAAGAAGTGCAGAACTGTTCTCTGCAGAATATTTGATGTGTTAGAAGAACACTTAGTCTGTTGGCCTTACACCAGTTAGGAAGACAAAAGTGGCTTTCAAGTTTCTGATCTGGCTTCTTAGATGAAGAATTGGTATTACCTCTATACAAAAGGACAGAAAATGACTTGTACTTGGTTTTTTTCTTTCTAGTTATCTTGACCTGTGAGGTCTCAGCCTACCCTAGACTAAGAGAAAAGGAAAATGTTCAAATAAAACAGCACAGAATGAGAAACAAAGAAAGTCATCACAGCCCCTTGTGGGCCCTGCTTTGTGCTGCTCACCTGCTGATTGCTCAGACACTTCCTCAGAATTGCTTCCTGTCTCCTCCTCCTCCTCCTCCTCTTCCTCTCCTTCCTCCTCAGAACCTTCACTGCTGGACTCTTCTTCCTCCTCTTCTGAGCCTGATCCAGATTCTGTTGAGGAATAATCAAACACAGAACTAAGCAGGGACACACCAACGACAGTGTTTCCTCAGCAGAGAGATTAATTACACTTGTACAATTAATTACATCTGCATTTAATCACCTGATGAAGACTCTGCTGAGCTGGTTTTCCTCTCACTGTCACTGATGTCTTGCAAGTCAGAAAGAGGATCTCTCTCTTCTGGTTTCTCTTCTTTCACTGCTGAAACCACAAAAATTAAGAACAGGGTGCTGACTGAGCATCACTTTAACACTCTGAACACCCAGGTAAGTGCTGCACTTTCAGCTGGCATTAAATCAGTGCTGAACATTCTGTATTGGAAATTCAGAGCACTAAAAACAAAATCATTCCACGCTCTGCTCAGTGACAAACAGCTTTTCTGAACTGCAGTGGTGCAGGATCAGCTGCCAAAATCATGGAATACTGGCCTTTTGGTTTTTAAACATGATATAATCCTGAAATTAATTAAAAAAAAAAAGGGGAAAAAAAAGGGGAAAAACACCCTGGTAACAAGGAGTGTCCCTAATGTGTGTCCAGAGGTGGTGACTGTCAGGGCTCACTATCCAGTGCAGACTCTGCTCACCATGACATAGCCCATGTCAATCACTGATGGTTCATTAGGCAGGAGTTTCCAAGGACTCGCTGCCTCCAACTGGAATTCCAGCTGATTCCATCTGTAATCAGCTTGCTTTGAATGGATACACTTATTTTCACAGCTGCACATGTTAACAGGGCAGACACAGAGCTTTTCTTCTTCAAACAAAGACATTTTTATGTCAATTGTGCAAATTTTCTACCCCCAGTTAGAACCTTCCAGGCACAGGAAGGACCATTTTCTGACTTAGAAATCAAAATTCCCCATCTAACCAGAACACTGCCTTATGCATTTATTTGCTTCTACAAGATGACAATATCAGTGATGTTTAAACTACACTGATCCTTGTAAGGTAAGTTGTTAAGGTAGCTTAGCTCCTAATAAAACAAATCCATCCTTTTTCCATCTGCAAGGGAATTAAACGACCAGATTTTAAAAATTCAGTCAGCTGCTTCTTTCACCACTGAATGAAGTCACTCACTTCGGAACTTTTTAAACTACTCCTCCTACTACTAAAAAAGGAAAGATTCATTCCATTTGTCACTTGGCACAATTCCTGCAAAACCCAGCATTGCTTCAGAAACCAGTACAAGTGTTTATGGATGTTCCAGGGTCGTGCCACCGTGGCTGAGGTGGGTTTTTAACTGAGTACCTGGGATATATGTTTGACACTAAAAGTCAAACACTACCCCAGCCCAGCTCCTGCTGCCCCCAAGGCAAAGACATTGTAGAGTGGCAGGTTCTACCTGGTTTCCTGCTCTCTCCTTGCTCAAGCTTCTCTCTCTGCTGGCGTAAAGGGCTGCGACTCCAGGGTCTCATTTTTACTTTGTCTCCATATTCTTCCCTCACTGTTCTATGGTGAGCAGAAACTAGGGAAAACAAAACCACAAGAAATTGTTACCCCTCCCTGCCCTGCTGAGAATATTCCTGTCTGCCACGGTCACCTGCTTGGAATGCTTTTCATTTTTCCTTACAAACTAAAGGGTAATGGGGAGGAGCGGAGTCTAACTCTGTGTGGGAGAACAAAGGACTGTGATTTACCTCAAATAAAATAATATGGGTTTGTGCTACCTAGAGAAAGCTGCTGCCACGCTTGGAAAACAGAAGCAAGATGCCCTGTGTGTTGCACAGTAAACACCCTGACACTAAAGCATCAATGCCAGAGAAGGAAGTGGAAGATTTGCCAAAGAATGAAACCAGCTGAGGTTTAGAAGGAGCTGACAGAACATTTAGAGCAATAAAACCAATTAAATGAAAGGTTACGTAGATTGAGCGCTGCCAGCACAAAGCCAAGCACAAAAAGGAGCTGTTTGGTATGAGCTGAGCTAGAAAGCAAAGCAAAAATATGGTTTTTTAATGCTACTCTTGAACAATCTTTGTCACTTGTTTACAGGAATAGGCTCTGATTTTTACCTCTGAAAGCTGAGACAAACAGATTCTTCAGCCAAAAATGATCTGAACTTAGGGCTGCAAGCACCTGACATGCTGAGCAAAGTGAGGTTCATGTGTAGAAGTTCAACTGCTCAGTTACCACATCTTCCCCACCTGACTCCCACTACCACATCTTCCATGGGTGAAATGCTTACATGACCTCTCCCTCCTTTTGCAATTTATTTCCCCAAATCCTTAAAACACTGAATTCTGAGCTTTCAGTCTCTATCAAACTGTGTTAGACTCTGATGGATACACACAGAAACACAGTGTCACTGACAGAAATCTTGTTTCTATAGGAAACCAGACTGACAGAGAGGCAAAGACTCACTGACTAATCAACCTGCCAGGATGTTTAAGGCAATAACTTTATAACCTTGTTTATTTCCCCTTGTAGAACCTGCATTTCCTTTTCCCTCCCACATAAAAGGCCCCCCCACTTTAATTTTTTTTTAAATTCTGGCACTGCCCTAAGTGAAGGAGGTTTTCTATCCCTCCATTCCACCACTGAGTCAGCAGGGAGTAAACTGATGGTAAGCAGGAAGAACATTTCTGCAGAGCCAGTCACCTTCTCTCCTGGCTTCCCGCTCCTTCCGCCTCTCCTCCGCTCGCCTCTCCCGCTCCTTCTGCTCCCGCTGTTCCTTCTGCTGCTCCCGGATTTTCCTCTCTCTTTCTCTCTCCAGTTGCTCCAGACGATCTCTGGAAAATAATTATTGTTTGTCACAAATTCAGCCCACGAAGGGAGGGAAAGCTGGTTTGCTGTTACAAACCACCGAGCTCAGTTTCATTATCAACACCACTTGTTCACCAGGCCAAAAAAAAAAAAAAAAGATGGAGCTTCTCAGCTGATCCTTTAAAAAATGTGTTTCAAAGACCATGAGTTCTGCACCCCTAGCAGGATTTCAACAGAAATTAAGCAAGTTCAGGTCATTAATCCCCTAATGTGCAAATCCAGTTTGCACCTTTTTTTTCCCCCCACAGAATAATTTAGGTTGGAAAAGACCTCCAAGGTCATCAAGTCCAACCTTTCAATTATGGTGAAACACCAGCAGTGAATGCACCTCGGAATGTCCCTTGCAACGAAGCACTTAAAAAGTAATTAAAGCCAAGAACTCATTCCACGGACACCACATTCCCAGGAATACTGGCACCAGGCAAGTTTTGCCTCTGGATTTTTTTGTCCTTTCAGAGCAATGGTTAGAGATAGATTAGAGGAGGCAGCTGTTCATGTCTGTGCTGGGTGGCCCCAGGGGAGGCAGGGATAGCTGTACCTCTCCCTCCTGGAATGCTCCCTTGCCATCTCTCTCCGTTTCTGTCTCTCCCATTCACGACGGGCTTTATCCTGCTCTTCTCTATGTCTCTTCCTACGCTCATGCTCCCGTTCTTTCTCTTTCACTCTGGCATGTTTCCCTAAACAAACAAAAGTTAATTTTGGAGTGTTACTAGTCAGAGTAGTCGGTGCTCCCATTTTTACCAAGCAAAACTAGAGAGAGGATGAAACCTCTGGGAACCTATTTCCATGTTCTCTGGCGTTTTCTCAGTGGGAAAATCCTGTTCTGAAAGGGGGGGTCGGAGAATCCAAAGATTAGAAGATCTTGCACAAATACTTGCATTAAAGTAGAAAATGGCTGTTAGTAGCAGGAAGACAACGTGAATGTTTCTAGAAAGGGTATGCTTTTCCTTTGCAGACAGGTACAAGGATCAGAGCTCAGCCCACTCACTCAGTGAAGCCAGGAGGAAGCTTATCAGACTGGAAGGAGTAAAAGTGAACTCAGTGTCCCTGTCCCAAAGTGATTCCTGTCCTCTCAACCACAGTTATATCCCTGTCATTGCCATAAGGGCACTAAACATAGGCAAAGAAATAATAAAAGTTTAAATTCCTTTGTCTTATCCACCTTTCTTTAGACTGTACTTATTGTTATTTACTCTATGTGGAGCCTACTTGGCTTCCCCTTGGGAAGCTCCCAGAAACCAGAAGCTTCCAAGTGCAGCAACAACCACCTTCTGCAGAGTGACTTCGGTGCCTGCGTTTCTCTTTCCTCTTCTCATCTTTCCTATGGTGGGTTTTTTCTTTCCGGGACATTTGCTGGGGTGGTTTTATAGCCAAGGAATCATCTTCTTCTCCCCTAAAACACAGCACACGAATAAACTCAGGGAGGTGACAGGTACTGTCAGACTGCGAGTTGTTTCCTCTTTTCCCCATTTGGAAAAGATCCCTGGTTTTATTATTTTATGTTCAAGTTGATTTCCATAATAGCCCCGAACCAAAACTGGAACACAACACACTGTTAAGCCTTAACCACTGCTTCAAAAAGTTACCCTGGAGTTGGCCCATCTGCACGCTAAAAAATTAGAATTTTCCCTTCAGATATTTTAAATCCTCTTCCTAAAAGTTCACTTCAGTAGCTCCTTCTGAGGTAACAAGGTGATTTTCTCATTCTTACCTGTCTTCCATGGAGTCCTCCCTCCTGTAAGGTGAGTTTCTGATGGTTATTTCCATGCGATGGTCTCTCAGCTCCCCCTCTTCAAGAGAATCCCGCTTGGAATCCCTGTCATCTGACTGATGGGAACACAGGGAAGGGAAAAAGGCAATTAATCTTTGTGTCACAGAATGAAAACAAATTTAAATATTACTTAAGAGTACTGCTGGCTCAAAATCCATCCCCAACTGGTTGCCCCCACTCATCTATAAACCACATCCATACTGTAACCAGGCAAATGCAGTTGGACTGCAATTAAAGCTGAACTGCTTTAATTCAACATAATTAACACTGATTAAGGTGGATTGCACTAACTATTTTGTGGGCTTTTTTTCCCAGAAGAATTATTTTCTACATAGTTGTACAAATAGTAACATAAAAGTTACTCAAATTCATTTTAACCCCGTTCTTCTATACTTTTCTATACTCTTCTATTCTCTGAAAGGCTGTTCTTTGAACTGCAACTTCCAGTTAATCACATCAATTTATTTACCTTTTCTGACCAAAAACTACGAACAAAGCAGAGTATAAAATGTAAAGCCAATGAAAATGCAGTTTTCCATTAATACAGGCACCGGTTCTTACATTTTTCATACGTTTTATCTCTGCCTTCTCCTCTTGCTCCTTCCTTCGCTTCTTCTCCTGGAGAATTTCATCTAAAGTTTTCACTTTCCAAGAATCCTTTTCATCACCCATTTGAGTTAAAAAAACAAAGTCTGAAAAAGAAGGAGACGTCAGCAAAACCCACACAAACCACACAGCCCAGCACAGATAAATCTATTTTACACCAATTATTTTTTTTTTCAGTGCAAACACTCGATGTTCCATCTTCGAGCAAAGCCAAGTGGGGGTTGACTTGCGCTGAACCAAAAAGGTCTGTTTTAAACCTAGAAAGTTTAAACCCAGAAGAAGGAACACAGAGTTGTTGGAGAGCACAAAAAACGTGGTTTGTGGCCATGGTTTGGTGTCACGTTCTTCAACGATCTCAGACCCGGGGCAGGGGGGGATTAACAAAGCTTGGGATTAAAGGATGTGCCAGTGGACACAAAGAATTTATGGGACAGAACTGCCAAGATAAGGAAAAAACTAACAAACCCAACTCAGCAGCTGTGCTGAAATCAGCTCCGAGGGGGTAAAAGGTAGTAAAAATAACAAGTAATTCTAATTTGGCAGGGGGAAAGCGACCACCAAGTCAGGGACTACCGAGCCGAGAAATCCACTGACCCAAAAGAGAGACCGAACATGGCAATAATTAGCACGAGAAGTGAGAGAATCGTCAAGCAGCACAAGAGAGAACACTAATTTACAAGAGAACTATGCGACTCATAGCAAATAAACGCTAATTCCTTTGGTTGCTACGATGCCTAAACAGCACAAGTTGTGGTAGTTGTGGGGCTCGGTTTATGGAACAGCACCGGGATCGGAAATAAATAATCAATGTGCCAATCGAGCTTGTCATTACTGGCCTGTCTTAGAGCGGGGAATGGACCCGATTTTTGCGTTAAACGCCTCAGAATAAACAAACCCCCGGGGGGTTCAGGGCCGGGGGGGTCCAACAGGCCCTCACGGAGCGGTGTCACCCGCGGGCGCGGCCGCTGCCCGCTCCCCCTCAGCCCCCCCGGTGCTCCCGGTTCCCCTCAGCCCCACAAGACCCCCCAGACCTCCCCGTGTCCCCCCATGTCCCCTCAGGGTCCCCTCAGGGCCCCCCGACCCCACTCACCGCCGCCGCCACCGGGCACTGCGACCAGCGCGGCTCTAACGCGTCACTTCCGTGCCAGGCGCGGCGATGACGCCCGGGAAGTAATTAACCAAAAAAAAAAATAATTAAAAAATCGCTAATGAGCCGTTAATTGAGCGGTTCCTCCAGCGGCAGCGCGGTGATTAACCGCCCAGCTCTGCCCGTGGGTACTGACCCGGCACACAGAGGCGGGAGTGCAGGCGCCGTCACCGCAGGCGCCCGTTAATTACCCGTAAACAGGTTAAATTTCGCCGTCCGGTCGAATAAAGAGCGATTTTCAAACAAGTCACATGAGGGGAACGGCCAGCACAACAATGTCGATGCAGCGTGAGGGAGAAGCGACGTGAACTGAGCGCAAACGCAGCGGTTCTAAACAGGGGAGTTCATGAGGGGGAGCCACAGGAAAGGGCTGAAGGCAGCGCAGGGAAACTCATTATGTGCCACCGCTTAATTGTGAATCCCTCGCTTCGGCTGGGTAACGGTGACATTTGGGACACAGTTACACCTTGGTTACGTTTAAATTTAAATTCACATTTAAAGGAATTCACATTCAGGGTGGCTGTTCCTCTGCAAATAACCCTCGTCCTCATCGCGGCCTGGGTGGGGCCGTGAGAAACGAAGTGAAGGAAACCCTAAAAAAACGTCCCGAAAGAGGATTTTTCCGGCAGAAACGGAACTGCTGCCATCACAAACTGGGGTGCGACACTTGCCGTGGATTCTTAACAAAGAGGAAAAAAAATGCTCCTTGTTTACGCAGCCAGCAAAGGAGATTTAGTGGTATGACTGCGGAGGAAGGAAAGGCTTTAAAAGCGGGCAGTCGAGGGTTTGTTGAATCTAATAAAAACAGAGGGCAAGGAGAGGGCAGAGAAAAGCACCCAAGGTCAACAAACCCCAAGGAGAACAGGATTGTTGTGCTGCCACTCAGGCGTTGAAAAGACAAGTTCCAAAATCCTCCCAGGGCTGGGTTTGGGTCACTCAAAAGATTTTTCAGCACTAGGAAAAGCTGAGGTTTAAAATGAAGCTCAAGCAGGTGGTGGTGGTATTTACAGGAGAACAGAGCTGGGATTTCTGTCTGCAAAAGTAGAAATACGATGCAAACCACATTTTTTTTTTTTTTGGTAGTTATACTTTCAAAAATCTCAGTGTATTTGGCAGAAAACAAACAAACAAAAAAACCCCCACAGAGCTCCATGCCACAGTCCACAGCTTTTATAAAAGTGACAAGAGTACAAAAGAAACAAAATACCACAGACACATCACATACAGAATGAGGAAAAACTGGCATTTTTAGGGGAATATGCCCCAGGCAACCAGTCAGGTGTGGGAATGCAAACTGAAGTGAGCATTGGCACCAAACAAGCACAAACTACTGAAACAGGGACAGCTGCTCCAGAGAGGCTCTTGGACACATCTTTGCTCTCTGCAGGAACAGCTCACTAAAGCCAGTGGAATTCCTCACAAGTGGAAATGTAACCATGAGCCTAAATTTCACAGGAACTCTACTGGAAACTTCCTATTAGCAATTATTTTTACCACTATATCCACGCTACAGTCTTCCAGAAGAGTGGCAATTATTAAAATCCGCTCATTTGAACTGTTAATTATGTTCCCAAAAAGTCCATTTGAATGCTTTTGTAGCTACTTGTGCTTTTTTTGCCAAAACTAATTACTAGTCTTGAGAATTTCGAAAAGGAAAGTTAAGATTTAATCTTTGACCTACCACGAAACAGAATTTCCTTAAAAAAAAAAAAAAAAAAAGAAAACTTAAGAGCAGCAGAAATAAAGATTTGCCTCAGTTTATGGTTAATGTTCCTCCCTTCAGCGACCTCTGTTCCATCTGTCGCAGATACCTCAGATTATTTACATAATCAGAAATTACACAAATACTTTACACACAGGTCAGAATCATAACCCTGAGTTTCTAAAAGGCAGCGTTTTGTTGCGCTCTTAGAAATAATACAAAAAACCGTCCACTTATTTCCTCATAACAGAAATGCATAATAAAATGCAAGAAATTAAAATGGTTTCTTAGAGAAATACAGAGCTCCTGCTTCCTTTATCACCGAAGTTTTCAGTGTTTTTTACCTCTAAGCAAGTGCAAGTATTTTAATTCACCACTCCACATGTGTGTGTGTGTGTGTGTGTGTGAATACTTGCATTTCAGTTTTGTCAATGCATGATCAGAATGAAATTTTAGGAGAAAAATCAGTTTTCATCCATAGATTGGTCATTGGAAATAGCTGCTCACCACTGCTTTGGGGCACAGACTCATTCCCAGAGTTTGCTCCAACTAAACAGACACCAGAATAAATTGTTTGTGGGGAGAGAGGGGGGTTCCCTCTTCGAATCACAGAATATCCTGAGCTGGAAAGGATCATCAGTCCAACTCCTGGCCCTGCACAGGACACCCCAAAATCCCACCCTGTCCCTGAGAGCGTTGTCCAAACGCTCCTTGACTCTGGCAGGTTTTGGTGCCCAAAATGCAGGAAATGTGGAGTAACAACCAGGAATTTCAGTTACGCCCCAATTCCATCCCACTGCCAGCAGAACACAGCCATGGGCCCACGTTTTCACATTACTTTGATGGGGAGGGAGGCAGGAATTGCTTTCCCACGAGCCACTGAAGTTCTTTCACTAATACAGGCTCGGTCATTATTTGCAGTCAAGGAGAGACACTAAAGCCCACGTTTAGCACGTTCCAGGACACCAGGTCCTGGTTGGGGTATCAGTTGGTCAGTACATCAAGGCTTACTGGATCCTCCCCAGGTCCTTCCTGCTGAAGGTCCCGGGATCAAGGGGAGCAAGGCTTGCTGGATCCTTCCAGGTCCCAGGCTCGACCTGAACTCCAAGGAACCCAACAGCATCAGCAGCTGGAGCAACGACCCCTTTCGGGATGAGTTCCTTTGAGTTACACTCGGTCAGAAGAACAAATGGCCATATTAATCATAGGGTTCCAAATCCTTGGGAATCAGTGGCTCTGTGTCCTCAGTGGGACCCTGTGTGGGCTGTGGGGGGGTGGCCAGGCTGTGCAGGGTCTCCTGCTGATGCTGCTTTGCCTTGTTGTAGAGCAGGACCCCGATGGTCACCAGGACGGTGCCGATGGCCGAGAGACTGGTGATCTTGTTCCCAAACACGATGATGCTGAGCCAGATGGACAGGGCGTGTTTCACAGTGCTGGCAACACTGCAAGGCAATCAAAAACCAAGGTCAGAAAAAAACCCCTTTGTCAGATCCCACACACAACCTCTGTCTTCCTTTCTTTTCAAACACCAACTCAAACTCCACTTCCAACCCCAACCATTCCACGATCTACCTCCTTCAATTCTTTGCACACCCTCTCCTGCCCAGTTCTCAAGCAGAAATACTGAGCAAGGAGAAAAGGATGTGAAATGGTGCTCCTGATAGTTTTACCTGAAAGTCACAGGAGAAATTTTTCCCATCAAGGCATAGGCTGTAACACTTTGGAGGTGGAACAAGACTCCATCTATCAAGAGAAGTATGACAATATCCTGGTTGTAACTGAAGCTTCTCCCACTTTTCCCAATCACAGGCACATCCTAAACAGCAAAAAAAAAAAAAAGAAATTGAAGAGTTTAGTTTATAAGCAAATCCAGAAGTGATTTTCCACCTAACTCATTCCTATTAGAAGCATTTACAGTTTTACATTTAAACTTCAGCAAAACAAAACCTAAAACATACAAGACAGATAATATAAATTTTCCCCTAAAATACATCAGAAAACCAGCTCTCATCTGACTGAACTTCCCAGTGTGTTCGGCCCGTTTGCTTTTTTGAACACTGATGCACAGCAATGAAATGCCACAATTTAAAGGATACATACTCAACCTGCTGTATTACACTCACTTTAGCTTAATTTTATTTTCAAAGAGTTAATGTTCCTGTACACCATATGAATATCGACAAAAAGTCAACAAATATGTAAGATTTTGTTTTCAAGTCTTCATCTAAAACTTCAAATGGACTTGGACAACATTTGTCTCAAAAATCCTGAGATAAACTCAGGCATTTTGGATCAACTCATGTCTGCATTACATTATTTGCTGAAAGTCTTCTCTTTTTTACTCCCCCAATCCCTTGCAAAAGGTGAATTCCAATTACCATGAAAAAGATCCAAGCTGGAATAAGCATAACCACTGCAGCAGCACTCGTGTAGAACTGAAGCTCTGGGGCTCTACAAAGGAGAAAAAACGCTAATTAAAATGATTAAAAGCTTCCTTTTTCAAAGCAAAGAGAGGAGTTTGCCTTTTGTGCTGGCTGAGAGGGCACATATTTTCAAGACCAAAACCTGCATTTTATCCCATGGTAAAACACACACACACACACACACACATATATATAGATATATATAAGGGGAGTTTCCTTTCCCCAATAAAAGTATGACAGTGAAGGCTGTCTGTAAACAGTCTGGTGCAATACAATCATAAATATAAGCAGCCCAAATCCCATCCATAATTAAACCTGAAATATTTTTAATACTTACGAAAATCTGTATTTATCTCCGCTGAGAAGTTTTTTGGAAAAGACGTTTTGCAAACTGAAAAAAAAAAAAAAAATTTGAAAAAAATCACCATTTACCTGGATTTTAGTTAGGAAAAAAAATCAATCAATCCCTGATAATGACAGTTTTTTTCCTTCAGGTGGGGAAATGCATTTTCTACAACTAAAGAAAGGAGTTTGGTCTTTTTTAACTAATGGGATTATACTATTTAATCTCATTGATGCTCGTGGATATGAGAGAGAAATTGTATCACCTGTTAAAATGCATTTTAAATACCAACATTTAAATGCAGTGTACAGAACTAACTACAAGAAACACTAAAGAAAATCCCTTTATTCCACACACACGGCTCTCCTTATCCCTTACCAGTCCATGATATTGGTGGATAAAGCTGCTGAGAACCCCAGAATGTTGAAGCTGATTTCAGTGGCTGTACACAGGGCCAGCCCTCCCATCACAGGGATGAGGGAGAGATTCACCAGCAATCCTGCAAAGGAAAAGGGCAAAACTCAGCTTGATTCCTGCATTTCCAGCATGGCAGTTACTCTTGAAAGTTGAAATTCTGCCTTTAGCTGAAGGAAAGAACAACTGTCATGTGTAAGGATTTAAAAGCAGAGAGATACCTCAGACAACAGCAGGAGGGTCTTGAAAACAACAGGGAAATAAACTCAGTGATAAAATATCTCCTCTGGGAAGAAAAATGCCCTGGAGACTGTCTTGGGTTTCATGTTTTTCACCAAATGCCAGAAGAAAGTTCCACTCTCTCTGTTCACTCTGTGACTGAATTACTCTCCTTCCTCTGCCTTATTG